TTAGACTTAACTACAGCAATCTCTACCTACAGAATCTTCATGCAACGTCACTGGAAACGCACCAACATTAGCCAACAGACCAAATGAACTAGACTCAAAAGCTAACGACTTTCATAAAGCAATTTCTAAAATTAGTATCCCCAACTCACCATGAATGTTTAACCGAAATTGTCTATTCATTTTCAAACCAACTTCAATGAGATTTATTATGACTTTTAAGATCTTTTCATCTGGAAACCTTTTGAAATATTTGGAGCCAGTTGACCAAGAAAGCAAAGAGGATTTCTGTCAGCCTTTGTTGTTGATTTACAAAGAAACATATACTTTGAGCATTTATAAATATTTAATGCAGAGTATATAGGATTCTATTCAGCCTGATTGGATCTCCTCTTCGCCTAGGCTAGCTGATATGAATAAGAAATTGTCAATGATACAGTACTTATAAATCCCTTTAAGAACGGCGTTATTAAATAAACCCTCACCCCACTCCCATCCCTACAGCTTACACCCAGTTTAAAGCTTGGTGAAACATTATCATCTATTAGAATACCCCCATTTGCTTTCATATATTTTAAAAAACAAAACTTGGATTTAAATTCTTCAATATATCATCTGAGGCTCAGATGACCTCTCGGCCCTAAAAGTACAAGAAAGCTTTCAAAAGGAAATATCCTAGCATTGTAGTCACATTATTCACCATACAATTGACTCGAAGTCACGAGATGGAAGAAAATATTCACGGTAGAAGAGTTGGGGTGGAAAATCGAATCCCCTATAAAAAATCAATTAGATAGCTTCGGGAAAAGTACTTCAGTTAGATAGCTGCGGGAAAAGTACTTCTTTTTCGGGGGAGGTTTTTTGGTGACAACGAAGAACCCTTTCCCAAGGCGGTGAAAATTTCTTTGCGGCTGATTCCCCACCCAAGTATGCAGGTCTCGGGAAAAAAGTATCTATAACCAAGGAGGGGAAAGGGGTAATTTCCAGGAGCCTCGACCAAGACTGTTTCTAGACCCATAGTCTCACTTTTTATGCTTTTATCCATGATTTCCAAAGTTTATTGCCGCACCATAACTTCTCTAGACATGCTCAAGCGAACTCAGAACCGATGCCAATGGGGGGCATGGGAGGGCGCGTCGCCCCCCTATAAGACTGTTTGTCGGAAAATCTGAATGCTTTTTGGAAAATTTTCGGATTTTTCACAGTCAGAAGTCACATCCCAACGACTGGCTGATGATATTCTTCTTAGCTTGCCATATTTTATTATTAGCAATTTCACTTTCAATCGATTATTTTATGTTGCATTGACTGAAAATAGCCAAAGTTGGTTGCCTTGACTAGTCACTACACCAAGAAGGCAACTAAACCTTGAAAAAATCTATCTGCATCTAAAATATAACAAATTGGGTTGGGCTACTAGACCTATACCTAGCAAATAGGAAATAACAAATGAGACGCATGCGTAGTATTAAATTTGCCATTGAAGTAGACATGTCGTCGGAAATATTATTATCTCCGCCCCCCTATATTTCACTGCTGGTGTCGGCCCTGAGCGAACTTAAAATATTGACTAGAATTAACGGGCAAAAAACCCTAAATTCTTGTGTACTTCAAATAAGGAAGTTAATCTCCTTTTTCATTGTCAGAATATGGTCCAGCAGTGGATCTCAGTAGCAATGGTAGATTGAAATCTAGGATTGACAAGAATCATTGGGTGCTTCTTATGAAATGTTTGTTTGCTTTTTATTTTGCCCTAAAGACTGAACATTGAGAACCAAATCGGGAAGGGCAGTACATTTTGAAGCAACAAACCCCCCTCCCCCCCTCGAGACCAATTGGGCTAGGCTCTTGGGACAACTCAGTTGAGAGAACTTATAGATATTCCGCGTGGTCGAAAGACAAAGAACATTTGATTTCAAAAGTGATAAATTAGCGGGCGGAACGACATGCATGGACTATGAAAACCTCAATTGGACACCTGCAACACCAAAATACAACTAACCTTGCTTGAAAGACAATGTTTTCTCAAAATCGTTATATGATTCGCCAGATGTGAATACAAGGAGAGTTTTGAGGCGTTTCCAGCAAGTAGAATCAGCTAGAAACACATATTTCAAATCAAGTACGCATTACATCAAGTATAATTTTGGCAACCAGTATTTTTCAATCCAGATAACGAAGTGCTTTGGTCATTTAGGTCACTACATAAGAGAGGTACAAGATAAGAACCTTGCTCACTAAGGATTTCTCTACTTGGGGGTCTTTTAAATTGGGTGTTGAGGCAACAATTTACACAAAATCAAATTTTGTATACATACTTTACTTTTGAGATTTTAAGCACGCCACAATGATAGCTTAATCCATAATTTCGTTCAATCCAGTATTAACAAGTGACGGGGCTAGTCCCTTCAAGTATAATCTTAACGTGCGTAGCGAATACATTGACTCAAAAGATTTCTAGACAGCAAGTTGCCCAGAAATGCTGTGGATTATTGGATAGCCAATGCGCCTCTGACTCAGATATCAGTTAATATATTCAAAATAAAAAAGAGGTGTAAATTTATCAATATGAACAATTGCAAACCAGCATTCTGCCTTGAACTCGGCAAATTAGACAATAGTGCAGTACAGCTCTCTACACATTTCATAAACATCTCTGACCCAAACTGGTCATGCTGACAGGGAAAATTGGGGGAATCGCCTGGGGCAAAGATCTACTAAGATAACACATCAGTTTGAAACAAAATCATCATATAAAACTATATACTATATAGTATGTAATGTAGATCTATTCATGAACTGTAAACGAAGGGGAATATATTCTGCACGGGCAGAAAGGCATTTGACTAGTTGAACAATCCTAAACAATACATTAAATAAGGGTCTGCTGAACTATGACTGCAAAACAGCCCTCCCCTCTTGACTATCCCTCTCTGCACACCAGGGATGAAGAGTCAGATGAGTTTGAAATCCGGGCTGGCCAAGGAGCCCGTGAAAATTTTATTTTTGCTTGTGATAAAATATATCTATTGTCTGTCAAAAGTTTTAACCTCAAGATCCGAGCTTGTCCGCGAAAGCTCAAATGGCAAAGAACCACCTTTTCAAACAACTCAAATTATAAAGAATCTATACGAAAGCTTAAATTTTCTTTCAAAACATGGCGATTAAGTAATGGAAAGAGTCTTACAAACCAACTATCAGCTGTGTGAATTGAACTTAATTCAATGGTTCTCGAGCCCTGAAACTTGGATGGAAGCGAAAGATGCTCCTAAGAGATAATGGAACCTCTAGTTTTAGTTGGTTATTTTAGGGCGAGGCCCATACGGCCTATAGCAAAGTCTTAGCAAGTACATAGGAAAACCACATTGTAAGTATCTGGAATGCAAGTTTGGGGAAACCTTGCAATGATCTGGCTGTCATTATATTCTTGCGAAATTTGTCGAATCCTTATTGCTGGGTCAAAGTTCTTAAATATTTGGAAAAAGGAATGACGCAGCTTGGGAACACAGATATAGCGATTGCATTCCCCAGATTAAAGGAAAGGTTCTGTTGGGGGTCTTGAAATTAGTCCTGATCGTAGGGCTTAACACGAAGAGAACATCGAATTTTAGTTATTGCATATTCGAATCTGATCTTCAGCTATAAGCTTTCAATTAGCCAGAATATGTTTTGACATTTTCATATAAAAATTCAATTAAATCCCGTCGTATAGGTCATTTCAGTCCAATTAAATTCCCCCACCCTGAAAATCCGTCCAGTTCAACATAATTTGCTGATCCTGTTACGCCCCTGAAAATATCTAATAGACAAAACCGGTATTTTCAATTACCATGAGAAAGTACCGAACCCCGCAGCCTAATCAAAAATGGCGAACATGAAAAAATTGCTTAGACATGATAATCTGAACAGAAGAATGGTTGATGAAGATGAGCACGTCAGAATTTAGGCTATGTATCAAGACCAAAACAAAACACGTTCATCTCTGAGCTGCTTAAAAGTCTATCTGCACACTTCGTTTGAGAATTTTGAGAAAGTATGAATTGTTTCCTAACTTTTTTTGTTGTCTTTAAATCGGTTTTCTTATCTAAAAGCGTGTTCATCAAGTAAACACTGAAAGGGTTGCCATCCCTCAAAAGACTGGCTTGTCAATTATAAACGCAGCTTTGGCTGTTTTATTATCTTTCTCGACAATTCTTACGCGCTGAAAACGCTTTATGTCACTGTGTTCAGAACAAATAAAAGTATTAAACTAAACAAAAAATTTACGCCATTTGAGTTTACGGCCCCAACAAAGGACGAAACTGAAAGCTGAAAACTGAAATTTTCCTGCAACTTTCATATCTTCAAGGCTCCAAAATTGTGGTTTATAATTCATTCGAAGTTGGGTTTACAGAAGCTTCCTTGTCGCAGCTAGTGAACTTTCATATCAAAGCGTTAAATATTTATAACCATACTAGGGCAGAACAAACACCTTTTTATGAATTGGTTAATACAGAGCCTTTAAATGATGGCTCGGTAAGGTAATATCCAGTTACAAATGTAACTTACTTAGATTTGAGACTTATTTCAGCAAAAACCTCCGCGATTTCTAATGCTTTGCCAAAATGTACCATATAGGCCTTGTCGGTACGCGAGTTATCATCATTGGTCAAAATTTAGCATTGCAAATTGTTTTTCGACCTCGAATGGTTTTCATGGTTAGATTTTCAAAACAGTGGTTGAATACACTGTCCAGAATAGATACAGCGCTGGGCTACACGAAAACCTGCTTTCTTATTCCGAAAACATTTCCTTGCTGGAGAAAATAGTTTCCATCACCTTTCAATCCTAAAAAAACTCAAGAAAAACGAGTTGATGGCAGACCTTAAAAGCGGAACCGACCAATAGAGATTTTCCTGTAAAGTGCATCATTGTAGAATTGTTTTGATTGTGTTTCTAGGGAAAAGAAAACAGTTCAAAGGCAGAGAAAAGTTGGTCTAGATTCAGCAAAAAAAGTCACTCACTTGTCGATTGTTATGCAGACCTTCGAAGACGCACACTTCAATTGAGGGAAAAACTTTTGCGTATTTCCATCCATAAAAACCTGCAAAAAATAGAAATATAGCAAAAATTGATGGATTAAGTAGTGCTGTAAATAAAAACATTAAAAAGCTTTACTTTACTGGGGCGAAACACGAAGGAAAATAGGAAATTTCGAATGATAATACCCGAAAATACATACTTGTTGAAGCGGTGTTTTGAGAAGGCTATTGAAACCACTCGCTGTCTTTTGTATAAAGACACCATCACGTCTTGTGGTCTGTCAAACGCAACGATTCTATTGTTCTTTTGACCAATCAGAGCGCAACTGTTAGACCTGATATCTTGTGTTATGCAAATATTGCTTGACGACCGCCTGTGTCAAGCCGGGCGATGAAAATTCGAACGGAAAATGTATGGCGACGCCTTTTTACTGATAGTTTGTCTTTAATTTTTGACGTCCTCGCGTCTAGGTGAAAACTTTTCGATTGAAGAAGGCAGGTTATTACTGGAGGTCTATCAACTTATCACTGGCAGGAAATGTGACTCTTCCTAGCCCATTTTTCGAAAATTTGTTTCGAAAAATAGATAGGAAACATGGCAAGACGACAAGAGAAAAAGAGTTTTTTAACTGAGGGGAGACTGGAAAGTACCAGTTGGGGGTTGCCCTGTGATTAAGTTACTTCAAACATTAAATTTTTAAAAACTTGATTGTATAAACTGATGCATTTTGCTTACAAAAAATTTTAATACAGATGAAACTTTCTTAGTGACTACTTCTGCCAAAAATTGTTATTTTCGTGAGACTTTTCTCCTTAATGCAAAGACGACATCAGAAAAAGCCTAGCAAAATGATTAAATGAAGATAACAGATATCTGGAGTTTTCGATCCGATTTCAACTAAGAAATACATGGAAAAATTCTCAGTCCAATCGATACGGCAAAAGTCACGCTGGCAAATTTCAAACACATCACTTGGCTATTTGGCACGATCGCAAAGTTCGATCATACTTTTTGCGAATTTAATGGCGTCACGTGCAAAAATATGGGGTTTCCCTGTAGCAAACCTAGAAATAGATTTGACAAAAATTCAACTTGTTTAGTTGGATCCCCCGTGGCAGGTGTAATTAATAAATGCTTTCCGTGTTTCTGTTTGTGCTGATGGTCCCAAAACACAATTGCCATGTTTAGCATGTTCTCGTGATGAAAATTACACTGTTTTGACGGCCCAAAAGTTTGACAGACGCTGTGAAACTCTGGTAGGGAAATAATCAATATGTTATATTAAGGAATGTGTACTGCCAAAAGTACTTACACAAACCTACGCACGGCTGCAGACTTTCTCTTTTTAATTCACTTAACTCACAAACTTCCCCTTTTCATTTTAAAGCGTTTTGAAAAATTCGTGGTCCTATTCAAATTCACAATAACATGCCAAACAGCACCACAAAAAGCATGTTTTTATTGCCAGATCCCAACATCTGCAGTATTTTCTAGTCTGGGTTCCAGACCCCTACCTTGAAGTATTATGTTTGGGGCTCAAGCTAGTATTTTCTAGAGTCATGGGCCGAAACTTTGCTTTTGTCTGTTACAAAAATTGAGTTTCTGACAGTATCTAAAACTACCTAGGACAGCACATTGAAGAGAGTAAATCTTTTACTAACAAATTATCAACATTGTTTTTATTTTTTGACATTGTCATAGGCAGTGGCATCGTGGCTCTTAGAAAAGGGCCGGGGGAAAATGATCATAAGGGGGCCCGCTCTTTTGTTTGTTTGATCTAAGAGGGCCATCTCCAATTACAAACCACCAAAAATGGTACATACGCCAAAAATGGTACATACGTAACTGGAAACCATGCACCTATGAGAAATTAAAAAGATGCCAGTTTTATCATTTTTAAAGGTTTATTTGCTATATTTGTTTGGTGGTGTATCTCCTTTTCTCTAACCATAGTCTCTTTAAGACTGCAGAAAGTATGAAACAAATCCAATGCTGTGGTGCACGCTTGATACAAACACAAACTTGACAGAGTTCTTACGTGCACGCCATGCCCTTTTAATTAGCTTGAAATACATTTCAGAATGTTTTTGCAGTCGTTTACCACGTTTTACAATTTTTTAGGCATACTCTGTTTCGTTTTGTTAAAATTAATTCCTTAAATTGGAATTTATTGCTTTAAAAGGCCCCCTAGAACTCGAGGCCCTGGTGCAGTTTGCCCCTCCTTGTCCCCTCTCGCCAGCCCTGTTCATATTCCACGCATCACTTTCATAGGGGCCTGTTTGTCTTTGGTTTTACAAACTCACTTGACAGGGGCCCACCGGAAGTTTCCAAGTGTCCCGCCTAGCCACAACGCCCCTGATCCTGGGGGAATAGGGGTGTGATACCCCTTGCAAAAACATTTCGTCGTAAAAACGTCGTGATGAGTTTTTGCCATATAGGATTGCTTCGTCGGTCAATTTTCAAACTATTCAGGAAGAAAAGGGCCAATTTTGTCTGCAAATGGGACCGAAGCAGTTGAGCACAATAGCTAGCGACGGCCTGTGAATAGCATTTTCCAAAAAGGGGGCTATAACCCCCATTACCTAGCACCATCCCTGAGTACAACTGATCCTAACTGAAAAATTGCTTTCGATGTCTATGATAAAATAGCAAACAATAAATATCTTTTTGGGTAACCGGTAATAGGTCGCTAGTGTAAGAGGTTTCTAGGATGAAAGGTCTTTAGGGTAAACTGTCTCTAGTTCTTCAAAAGATCTACATATCAATTCATTGCATAATATAAATGAGAAGTAAACTTGTTTAAAAAGTTATTATCAAAGTCCAACAATATAAGAGATAATAAAAACATGTTTACTGAAAAAAATTGCCGTGGTAAACGAAAAGAAATTCACACATCTAGATAAAGAAAAGATTTCTTTTGCCAATGGGACCCTTCTACCCATTCTTGGTCTACTTGGAAATTTTGAAAATTTATAGCACGGAAACAGAACGTAAATAAGAACGGGAGCCTTAAGAACATGGATAATGACAACATTTTGAACCTCTTTTTCATCAGGGGGCCTCTTTATAAGAGCAGGAGCAGGGAACCGAGCAGGGAACCGAGCAGGGATCCGGGCAGGGAACCGAGCAGGGAACCGAGCAGGGAACCGAGCAGGGAACCGAGCAGGGAACCGAGCAGGGAACCGAGCAGGGAACCGAGCAGGGAACCGAGCAGGGAACCGAGCAGGGAACCCCCAAAAGAGCCAACTTTTGTCGGAGAAATTTAGAAATTTGCAACTGCAATAGTGATTTTATTGTTTGGACATCCTTCGGTTTTCTGCGTGTAACACAAGTTATCATTTTAATTTCACACTTTCAATTTATTGGAGTTTCTTTTTTCACTTTGTTTTTGAAGATTCTGTATTATCTTTCAATTTCTTTAGAACGCCTTTGAAAAACTAATTACTCTTGAGTATACCGTATTATTATGTGAAAAGAGCAATGTAGAATTTTAATTACTTCTCATTACGTTAGGTTTTGGCTGTGTTCTTTTTCGGTTCAGAACTCAGAAAGTTATGAACAAGCACGATTAGATTGTACAACAACTTTACAATGCATCAATTTGCACCGATGTTTGATGAATGATGTAGAAAACAATGCTTGTAAAAGCTCTTGTCAAAATTGAAGTATATTGATCTGAAATTAGCTTTTAGATATAGAGAAGCGTTGAGTTCTAGTTGGGTTTTATAACTGTATTTGTAAAGAAAATGATGCCTGCGAAAGACTGTACCTGCTGATTTGAGAACATCCGACGGTACTGCACAGTTGTAAAGGAAGGGACATGGATTGAAAGCAACTGAGATCGTTTGAAGTTATGGATAATTTTGTTCCATACTGCTCTATTGATAAATAGCCGTTTTTGTTCAGCTTAAAGGCCCCCTTAAAACCATTGGAGACATTTTAACCCCGATACTCGGAATTGGTAGGAAAATGTGGGTGCAGCCCTCGTTGTAAAAAATCCTTGAAGAAGGTTGAAAAAGCTCAGCCACCCCTCACTGTTCGTGCTTGGCTACAGCAAAGAATCATGTAACGCAAAGAAAGCTGTGATGAATTGTTGCTGATAAAATCGGTTCTGTTTTGTTAAGATGAAAGAAAAGGTGTAAATTTAAAATCTAAGATTCGAGTCATAACTATTAAAAGAAAGCTTATGAATATTGCCTAGAATCTTCCTTATCAATGTTGTAAATATTTTAGATGTATTTTCTGGTCACCCTTAAAATGCCATTTCTGAACATTTTTTTAAACTTTACGACTACATCCCCGATCTGAAGCCCTAAAAATTTAACTCTCGTTGCGTCCCTACATCCTGCAGGGGGCTCTTTGCCAACCTGAAACCCGCCTCCTTTTGCCACCCGTAATTGGAATGACAATGGGCCAAAGGGGAAGTCACCTGCTAAGGAAAGTACGCTAGACATGGGAGGACTGTCCATCAAGACTTCACTTTCTTCACCAGGAGGGAGCCTTTTATATCCTTTGTTGATATCTAACTTGAACACAAAAGTTATAGAGATAACATGAGCATCACTGACAAAATTCTAGTCTTGCTTAGTGTTGGTAATAGAGAACTTGCATTTCTTTATCATTTGTGATTTTTTGCACACTTTTGGCCAGCCCCTTCAAATGAATATTGAAACAATAAACTGTGCAAAAACTCTACAGAATAGCAAAAATTCTGACAGTGAAAATATCGAAATTTGGAATTGTGAAAGTTTATTTTCTTTTAAAGTTCTCTCTTGATCTCTCAAGTAATTGCGAACATGTGAAGAAATTATAATTTGTAGCAAAGAACGGCGGAAACAAATCATGATTAAGTACTTCTTGTCAGACACTCCTCAGGGAATAAAAGCCTCATAATGACTAGAAAATATAGGCATCTATATCCAGATGGGGATCCGAGGTAATGCGAGGGGAAGCTTTAGATTTTTGATTGGCTCCTTGATTTTGACCAATCAAATGTTGATGTTATCTTCAAATTTTTCATTGCCAGTGTTTTATCAAGTGAGAACACAAGGACGATAAACTATAAAAAGGGGAAAGGAGCACAGAGTTTCGAAGATAAGAACCTTTTCATATAGCTAAGATCTACATCATCTATACGTGGTGGCAGTGACACTGCTGACGCCACATTTGTTCCTCTTGCTGACGTCACGTATGCTTGGCTTGCATAGTATAATGTGTGGTATAAACTCAAAACCTGTACCTGTTGTAGAGTGTTTATTTAATTTTCTCAAACATTCAGGTGATATAGATTTGACATGTTTAAACATTTCTTTATGCAAATGTCGAGAAAAAGGCTTTATTTTGAATTTTTCATAAACTCTTTACAAGCTTGCAAAACAGACAAGTAAAATAGACAACAACAACAACAACAGCAACAACAACAACAACAAGTGACCTGAAGTGAGGTTGAACAATTGTCCTAAAAGTCATTGCAGTACGTTCCTTTTCGAAAAACATATTTTATCGCTGGCATGACAATAACAGAGGACCACATAACATAGCAAACTAACTTCCACGGTAATGTGCCGACGCGATTTATCAAAATGCCTGTCAATGAATTGGTTGAGAGGAGAAAAGATTGGGCATCATCCTATTCCGAAGACTCGATCGTTGCAACAATACTGTAAATCTTCGAATTGGGCCCCCTCGAAAAAGCCCCCCTCTCAAATAAGCCCCCACCCTAGAACTACAAATTTTCAATAAGCTCCCCCTCGAATAAGCCCCCACTTCTACCGTAAATTCTCAAATTGGACCCCTCAATTTAATGATTTTTTCCATCTGAGGTTGCCTATTGCGTTTGATTGAAATACCGCAACAAATTCGTACTTTTGATAGTAATTAATTAAATGCTCAAAAAGATGTTCCTACTAAAATAAACGAGGTTCTTTAATAATGTCTTCTTAATGTCTACAATAATTTTATTAGCCCCCCTCGTATAAGCCCGCTGTATACAACCCGTATTATTAAAAACTGTCAACTTGAAATATGGGAAATTTTAGCTTCCAATATCAGCTTTTTGCAATTTTATTGTACTTGTTTTCATCATGGAGAAGAAGTTCATATATATTTTTGGAGTTCGCCCAGTCTTAATCCGGGAATTTCTGAGAATTTATCAAAGAGGTCGCTACGCATCTGATGAAAAAGTGGGCAGTGCAGGAGGAAATGCTGGTTATCCTCACCATCTGTATTACAAATGCAAGATGGGCTTACACATTCAAAGTTATTTAAGAACTTCTGTCCATTAAATAAGAGAGCTAAACATCAAACGCAGTTTATCTAAAACCCACCAGATTTACAACACCTTTGACACTGTTCTTAGTTTGGAAGCTTAGAGCAAGTGAAATCTTGGATAAATTACTGTCCTTAATACAAAGCTTCTTACAAAACTGTATGCAAAGAGCTGTCTTGAATGGTACAATTTCATAGTGGGAAATAGTTACTGCGGGAGCTCCGCAAGAATCAGTTCTTGATCCCCTTTCCTTTCTTATTTATATTAATGGTCTTGCTGACAATGTAAACTGTGATATTAAGTTACTTACAGACGATACTTCCCAGTTTACAATTGTTTATAATAAGGCAAAGGCTATTCCTGATTTACATGATGATTTGAAAACGATCAGATTGTGGGCATGGTAGTGGAAAATGCAATTTAATGTTGGAAAGACCAAAGAAGTAATATTTTTCACTGAACGAAAGAAACCCCAACACCCGTCTCTAAAATCAGGCAACGAAGAGATGTCTAGGAAAAACGAACATAAACATATTGGTGTAATTCTCGACTCCAAACTAAAATTTAATAGTCACATTCTTGAAGCAATGAATGAAGCTAGACGTGAAATAGGGGTGACAAAATGTTTATCTAGATACATATCTCGTAACACTCTAGACCAAGTTTACAAGTTTTATGTTGGGCCTCATCTAAATTATGATCTAAATTATAAACAAGTTTTATGTTAAATCCCAATAGGAGTCTTGAATTTAATAAAAAGTTAGAAAGTACGCAGCAGCTCTTGCCGTAACAGGTGCTTGGCATGGCACAAATAGACAAAAACTCTACAATGAATTGGGTTGGGCAAAATTGTATTACAGAAGGTGGTTTTTGAAGGATGTGCCATTTATGCAACCTGAGGGTAAGCCAACAGCTGGAATACCTTTATGCTGAAATCCCGGCACATTGCACTATTTTGTATCATCTCAGAATTCATCGTTTATATGAGCAGAATATAACCAGGACAGTTGGTTTCTCGAATACCTATTCTGGAAATGTTCTTTCAGAATGGAATAACCTGACAGATGATATCTGAAATTCTAGATCCATTGATGAATTCGAAAGTAAATTGCTTAAGATTATAAGACCTAAAGGAAGATCAGTTTTTGATATTTATAACATTGCTGGTCTACGTTGCATAGCAACAATACTTAATCCACATTCGAGAGCATTCAACGTTTTTGTTTATGTTTTACATAAACATACAGAGCTTCATAAGATAGGCCTTTTCACACGAAAAATATCCTATCCTTAAAGTTATTTGAAGAGATTTGGCACCAGAAATGTAAACAGTGTTTGACGTACAATCGTAAAAGTACATTTGTTCCCAGTCTTTATCCAAGTACGTAACATAGAGTGTGTTGATCATTTACCTCGCCCCAGTCCCCTCACCACTGTTTACTCGCCTGTTAAATGAGCACCCACTGATTAACGGGTGTCTGAATTGATCATCTGACATTTCCGGTTACGATTCCAAGCCAAACTGGCCTAACCAACAGAACTTCATTGACTATTAGAACGATTTAGCCGCATGCCGAAAGAAAATGGCTTGTAAACAAGATAAAGATAAGCAATGATAAGAGCTACCAACAGGACAACACGACAACTGAGTTACTTGAAACTGGTTTAAATTCAAATAAACTGTCTTTGATGGGGAAGCAGGCACAATAAAGTTTCAAAGATTTGTTATAACGAAGACGCACTGGTGTTACACCGTTTTGATTGAGATTGTTTATTTAAAAAGGCTTTCTTGCAGACACGTAAAGAGCAAAAGACCAAGTGATCAAGCTTGCCCCACATCAACAACTCATGTCAATGTCGGAATCGATCTGTAGGGCACATTATTTTTGTCGAATATGAAGGATGTAATATAAGCGTGTAGAGTGAACTTGGTTTTGGTGTGAGAGATTTGGAAAAATGAATCGTTTTCTTCAACTCTCATTGCTTTGCGTTATAAGGATGGCAACAGCATTACCATCCTCCCAATACAGCCGAAGCATTCTGTATGACAGAGAACTGAAAATAGCCAGAGAGTTTTTGCATGAATTCAACAAAAAGGCCACAGACTTAACTACTGCTAGTTCAGAGGCAAACTGGATATACGAAACCAATCTAACAAGCACAAACCTAGAAAGAACAGTCGTCCTGTCAGATCTAGTGAACGAATTTTTCCTAGAAGCTAGCGAGAACGTAACGAAAATTAAGATACTCGACTTACCAAGCGAACTGCAACGAGAAATTAGCATCATAAGGCGAAACGCCGATTCGGCATCTCAGGATCTTCGTAAAGAAGTGCGAGAGATCGAAGGCAAAATGACCAGTATTTTTGGCAAAGCTAAAGTGCGGAGGAAATCAAAAAAGAAGGGAGTGAAACTTTTGTCCTTGGAACCTGATTTAGCGAAGATAATGAGGAAATCTAGGGACGTTAACGAGCTGTTGTCTGCATGGAGGGGCTGGAGAAATGCAGTAGGCCCACAAATGAAACAATTGTACGAACGTATGATCGATTTACTAAACATTGGTGCCCGAGAGCATGGGTGGATAGATTATGGAGACTTTTTGCGTTCGGAATACGAACAAGGGGATGATTTTGAAATTAACTTACGGCGTGTTTGGGAAAGTATCAGGCCACTCTACGAAGAATTGCATGCCTATGTGAGGTATAGGCTGCAAAATTTTTACAACACAAAGCTAAACATAAGTGCCATTGGTGCAATCCCGGCTCATATCCTCGGAGATATGTACGCCCAAAATTGGGAGAACATATTTGACATTGTGAAACCGTTTTCTAATACGGATAATTTTGACATTACACAGGCCATGAAAAGGCAAAATTACACAACGGAAAAGATTTTCCAACTGGCAGAGTCCTTTTTTACTTCTATCGGACTGTACAAGATGCCGGAAAGTTTTTGGAAAAAGTCTGTGTTAAAGAAATTGAAAGACAGGGAAATGGTTTGCCACCCATCTGCATGGGATTTTTCAAAGGGGGATGTAAGGTAACTTTATTTTGATTTAACTTCACCAATGATTCAGAACTGAGTACGACTTCACAACTCAAGACGTTTGGCTTGCACGGAAAAAATTTGTTGCCAGATAATTGCCAAATCGCAGATTAGGTATAAACAAGGTTTAACTTTAGAATGATCTGTAAGAGGAACTGCCAACCTTTGGTATTGAATATGGCTGTAACAGAACAAGATTCGAGGAAACTAAGCGTTAAAATCGAAATGAAGAGCAACAAGCAACTTTTTCAACCTGGTCAACAGCAATTAATGGCAGATTTTGGAGGAAGGGGGAGGGCTAGCAGAATAACACAATTTTTCATATATAAACAGCAGTCTGATGTTTGTAAGACAGTAAATTGACGAAATGTAGAAATATTTTTCTGAAAAAAGGAACGACGATATATTAATGGTAAATGCTTTCAAGCTCATTAAAGTCAAGCTTGCTGTAGCCTAGGTAGTCTGACTTTAGCTTTAACAACGACCAATCGTGATTTTTAAATTCTATTTTCCTGCCATTTGAAGGTCGGTCATCAGTCTCTCTACGTGATATCTGCAAGTGTGAAATCGCGTTCTAAAACTTGATCAAAAAGTACGTCTTTGGGATTGCTGGAAACGAATATGGCACATACTGAAATTTGATTTCCAACAAATGAATTTGCAGGAAAAAATGTGAAAATGGTTATGGTATTGAATTAAACATTAAGTAGCCGTTATCATCAAATTCTAAAATGACATGTTTCCGGTTAGACCAACGTAGCAAATATAATGCAAGAATAATACCTTTTTTTGAAAACATAAGGCCAATTATACCCATACTTTAGGATGTGATATTTAAGATATTAGATCTTACTTTTGAATGCCTATGACATTATCGATAAATATATATAAAGATGTTTACTAAAAATTGCAGGATCAAGATGTGCACAGAAGTGAACCAAAATAATCTCATAACAGTTCACCATGAAATGGGTCATGTTCAATACTTCCTAGCATATCAGAAACAACCGTATGTCTTTAGAAATGGTGCAAATCCTGGATTTCACGAGGCAATTGGCGATACAATATCGCTGTCAGTTGAGACTCCGAATTATTTGAAGCAGATTGGATTACTCGATCAACCCCAAATCAACGATGGTAAGCAACGCAGTAAACCCTTCAAGGGTTGGTAGATTCTTTTGGGGCTTCAAGCCAAATCAATGTTGGAAAAGAGCCAAATTAAGACAAAATGTAAACGAGGCAGCAAAACAGTAGAAAATTTCAAGTTGTAAACGAGGCGTGAAGTAACTTTTTTTGTTCAATCCATACGGTGCTTGACCCCCTTTAACCCTTACGTATTTCTCTACCCATGACTTCAATTTTCCACTCTTGTGAAAATGCTTAGGTATTCTTCAACTGACTGATGGAACACTTTTTCATTGTATTCATAAAATTCTAACACATGATGTACATGTAAGGCAACGCATTTTTAGTAAAATTAAAACAAGGCGAAAGGAGAGCAAACAGAAAATTTTAAGCTTAGCCGTTTTTGCTATCAGAATATTTACCCTTTCCTCAATATTTCATCATCGGATTTAGATGAAGTAGAAAGTCAGTCTATACGACACAACCTCCTCCAAGTCCCCCTCCCCCTTTTTGCATCGCGGTATTAAACCCTGCTTCAACAGGCAGAAAGAATGAAGAACAAAGCGAAAACCACGTAGCAATCGGACAAGGTGGATAAAATCACATATGTTCAACAAAGTGTCAAAATCACAGTAAAATATATGCATTAACTGCTTTAATTGTCAATTTCTGTTAGAATGATGAAAAAAGAAGGAAGGTAGGAGATAAGTACTTATGTCTGTACTTGTGGGAAAAAGCCAAAATTAAGCCAAAAAATGATTTAAGCCAAAAGGAATTTCTGAAGCCAAACAAGTTCGAAAAAAACCAAATTTCTGGAATTTGGCTTAAAAAAGCCAAAATACCAACCCTGAACCCTTGTGAAGGGCCTCCCTTATATCTGAACATCCATAAGCAACAAGCAATCCCCCTGCTAACAGGCGAAAAAATTGACATCTGGCGGTTTCAAGCACACTCTTTATCAAGCACCTTTTTGGGTATGGGTGGCAACAATAGAGATAGAATCAATCCTGCTGTTTTTCAAAGCCGTTTTTAAGATTCTCTTGTTTAAATAATTCAGATGCTTAAAAGCATTTATGTTTTTTTCATGTTTTGAATTAGCATTTTTTTACTATAAATGCATAAATCAAAAGCATTTCGATTACTCGCGCAGTTATATCTTTCACATTGTATCACTTACACTTAGAAGACTTCTAGATTTCATTACAGTGACAGCTTCTGAGCACAAGACCTGCTGTAGTCTGCCAAAATTACGCTAGTCTTAGTATACTCTTATTAAAAAGGACCATCAAAACAGAAATGCAGCCCATCTTTATGCAGCAGTATTTCATTCGATCAGCGGTGTGTGCTCTAAACTCATCTTTCGAATACGGACAAGCCCTTGGTGTGGTTTTAGATGAGTGGAAGGGGAACGAGGGGGAGGGGGTTCTAGACAGATAATTTTATGGCGGAAAAGCCCATTTTTAACACAGTAACAGTTTTTCCATTTCTTGTTAGTGCTAAAGGCATTGGGTGCACAAATGAAACCTTTTCTGTTTTCTAAACCTTGCAAAGTAATTCAAAATCAAAACCTGCGTGTGTATAGAACACGTGCAGCCTTAACTGTTATTTGGGAGGAAGAGGAAAGGGGGCTAGAAAGATTGAAAATCTACCCCAATAAGTTTACGACTTTGAAATGAAATCTTTTTAAGCTGGAATACTTGTTCAATTTCAGAGGAGAGTTCGATCAGCTTCTTGCTCCGCCAAGCACTACGACGCGTCGCTCCTATCCCGTACAACTATCTTGTTGACAAATGGCGATGGAGAGTTTTTGCTGGCAACATCACCGAAAACAACTACAACTCAGAATGGTGGAAGCTGCGAACCAAGTACCAGGGTGTTTACCCACCAACAAGAAGAAGAGAAGGCGATTTCGATCCTGCTTCTAAATATCACATTGGTGCTAACGTCCCATACATTGCGTATGTTATCTAAGAGCATTTGTTTCTTTCAGAAAAAATATTCTTGATGCTAATGCTTTGTTGTAAAGAACAGGACCTTTCTAAGTTGCAACTCAGTTGCACTGGTTGGTGTCATTATACTTGGTTGTTCCTGGGTGTAATGGAAGTTTTACAATTACCCTTTACTAAACCAACTCTTGAGAATTTGCTCGTTTCTTTGAGATTTCTAGGAGATTCTCGGATTATGTTAATGATTTCAGTGAACAGCAATTTGTCATGAATCTTTATCTGTTACCATTCTTGTTCAGTGGTTCCCTCTTAGACCACCTGACATCATCTTCACACACCAAAACACCATAACTACTTCATTCATTGTAGCTATGTATATCAGAAACCCTAATGAAATTTTGAAAGATGACAAACAGAATAGGAAAAAGTACGGAAAAGGCAAGGGTCACGTTTGATGAATTTCCATGGGAGCAGTTTTCTTTATCCAATAAAAACAAATACAAAAAGAAAAACTCAAGTTGATCATTGTTGAGATGGAGGCAAAAAACATAACGTTATCGAGTTGCCTCCACACCCAACATTACAAATATTCCAAAACTTTGCATAATACACTATAAATACACAATACAGAACAACCCAGCACAATACAACACAATACAATACAATACAGTACAAATACAGTACAAATACAGTACAAATACAGTACAATACAATACAATACAATACAATACAATACAATACAATACAATACAATACAATACAATACAATACAATACAATACAATACAATACGATACGATGCGATACAAAACAATACAATACAGTACAGTACAAATACAGTACAATATTGTACAAGATGCAACTTTGTATAGGTCATCGTGTTAGTTCAGGACCACAGGATTCAATCTACCAGATGATATAGCATACAGCGACTAAAGAAAATTCATTGAAATCGTTTAGTTTGCTTGACGTATTCAGCGGTGCATTTCAGTATCAATTCATTTGTTTTCTCGTTGTAAGCATTACTTCCAGAAAGAAGTAGATCATATAATTGGTCGTCGGGCAGTTGAGCACGTAATATCGTTGCCAACTATATCAGATATTTTATCAAGCAGGTTCATTCTATCAATTGAATATTGGCAGCAATGCAGGAAATAGTGGATCGTAGATTCGACTCCTAAGTCACATTTACATATAGGGCTTGCACAAGCAAAGTTATGATTAGATCGATGTTCGCGTAAGTCAGAGTAATGAGCTCGAAGACGGGTTATGATAGACGACTCGTGGCGGTTGGTAATACCTTGCAATGATTTTTGAGTGGGGCGAATCTTAGAGATTAGAAGCTTTTTTAATGCGGATATTGTCGGAGCACCTCGGATTTCGGGGCCAAGGTCATTCCATGCTTGAATACAGAATGGGAAAAAACTTTTAGAAAATCTTTGTGCATGAGGTGTTCCTGCTTTAAGCAAGGTAGGACGACGTAGGTTATATTGTAGGGGATTTTCATCAGGGATATAATTACGCAAATACTGGGGAGTCTGATTATTGACAATCTTGTAGAATAGACATAATCTGCGGTACCATCATCCGTTACGTAGCGACTTCCAGCCGAGCTCCTCAAGTAGTCTGTCCGTGTCTGTGCCCTTCCACGCCCCACTGGGAGCAGTTCACCTTTCATTAATTCCTCCTCTAGACAAAGATCTTTTTTAGCTAGGACCAAAGTGAGATGTCTCGTGTGCCGATTCTAATCTTCGATTTCTCTCAGTATATCTACAGAATATCAAGTTACTGAAACCATACTTCCAGTGCTCATGCTACACTATTTAGGGTTAAATTTTTACAGCACAGTAAAAATGACAAAAAGGATACGTAAAAATTATTAAAAGGATAACAGTGTAATAGATGCATTTTCTGGTTGCTATTTAATCTAACTTTATGCTTAGTAAAACTGTATCCTTCAGTGAATGAACATTCTCTTTTCTCGTTGCAGCTATTTTGTAAGCTACGTGCTTCAGTTCCAGCTCCATCGAGCTCTTTGCAAAGAAGCTGGCATCAAAGAACCCTTACATCGTTGCTCTATTTACAATTCGAAGGAGGCTGGAGCCAAATTCAGGTGTGTATGTGCATTTGACGTCAGTTACGTTAAAATAAAGCAGAGAACTAGCAGCCTTTTGAAAAAACCTGATTTTAAACCGAGTCAGGTGAATATAGTTGCCCTTGTCAATTATTTTGACAAATCAGTATAAACATCCATCTCTTGCTTAAGGCTTCCGAAGCTTCGGTTTGTCAATGACAGAAGAATGACAGTTGTTCTCAGCACAACACTTCCACTGCATTGAGATAATTTTAGTTGTTGTTATTATTTAGCTTTTTCTTGTATATTTAATATCTACGGCAGATTGAGCTAAATTATTGATTATCATAATCTCAGTTAGAAATCTAGATCTAACGTTTTTTAAAATGCTAACCGATTAGATTGTTCCATTAACTTCACTTAAATATTCATCATTCATGTATCTTTGTAATTCTTAAATCCACTGGCCTTTTCTAATGCATTATGCTTAACGATTGAATGTATTTTTCTAATGGTTTAGAACTATGTTGGAGGCAGGAAGAAGCAAACCATGGCCCAAAGTGCTTAAAGCAATCACAGGGGAGCGAGAGCTTTCTGCAGACGCGATAAATAGCTACTTTGAGCCCTTATACCACTGGCTAATGAACTATAGAAAAAGGCATGGATATGCAGTCGGTTGGTCAGTGGACGATCTTAGTTCCAAGGTCTTGCACCGAAAGGCCGGGAAATTTGAGTCTGGACAAGGAAGGTCCGGAATATTGAAAACAAACAACAAAGGCATGTCTCTATCTATAAATATACCGTCATCGTTGACTGGCGGGAAATCGAGTGCAACGACAAAGAATAATGAAGTTGAGCAGAAAGGAGAAGATGACAAAATTACGATACCGCTCGTTGATCTAGCAAAACTTTTGTCATCCGGAGACCATTTTTCGATGTCCACGTCAGAGACCAATGCAAATGCCAAAGATGGATCCACCTCTATCACTAATAAGGAATTCAGTCTTAACAATGACGATGAAGGTGGCCAAAAGCAAAAGGAAAATAAAACTGAGAGGGCAGAGTCCAACTCTTCTGGAATATCTGATCGAAATTCAACTAGCAATGTGACTCAGACTGATGCAGATAAAAATTCAAACATGACGTCAACAGACGAGAAGCCTGGAAACGAAACCTCAATAAAACCTGGAAACGAGGCAACAATGAAGCCTGGAAACGAGACACTAGAGAAGCCTGGAAATGAGACAGCAAGAAATGAAACAACGACAATTTTGGAAAAGAACAACTCTGTAAACGAAACAAACGGAGATAAGTTGACAAACAATTCTAGTGTCTTAAATGATGGCTTGAACAGTAGCACGACAAACTCCCAGAACGTGACGTTAGAGAAAAATGACAGCGGTCTAGCTAAACCTATCAATCAAACATTAGCATGGCAAGGAGAGGCCGTAGCAAATTCAACTAATGCCGCACTTGCAAATTTCACAAATATAGGTAAAGAGGAAAACGTTACAGCACACGCGGAGAATGGTACCACACGGCAAAATTCGCCCTGCATGGGCAGCAAGAGGAGTCCGTTGTCAGAAAACGAACTAAACGATTGCAGTGGCAAGACGATGGATACAATATCTGTGACACCAGGAGAGCTTATTCAGCATGTACTTATGAAAAAGGTGAAGCATTTGGTGCATAAAACGCTGCCACAAGCGAATGTAGAGAAGACAAATACAGGTTTTACTGTGAACTTTGATCTGAATCCAAAGGACGAAATACCATCGCGAACGCAAACAGTAACCGGGAAAACACGACAACAGCACGTGAATGTGTTCATAGCTCCTAAGGGGGTTGTTGTGAAACCGAAAGCCTCAGAACAGCTGATGAAGCCTTCGTTTGTACCGGTTCAAAATAAAGATAACCTAGAGTTAAGAGGAGGAAGATAAAACAGGCCAATCAGTAAATATGCACATTTGCAGGATTTCGATCACCGCGAAGAGCATAATTTTCATAAGTTGAAAGAGCATCTTTATTTAACAGTTCGTAAATTTCGAAAGAATTTAGTATTGTCTGAGAATTTGGAGTTCCCTCCAATTGAAGTAAAAAGGTGAAAACACCCCCGTTATATAACAGAAATGATGGTAATTTTCAGGCTTACATAAGAGAACAGTTTATCACTTCATTCCCGTTGATAATATCAAAATCACGACTACTTAACTCGCGAAAGTTTGGTTCAAAATTTAATAGATAGTATATTTTGCAAGCTGGAATTATGAGAAAAAGAGTTCAAATAACTAGATAAGAAAATCTAGCAGTAAAAGCATTGTTCCAAAGAAACGGTAAAGTTGAACCAGATCAAGACGAGAATGTAACTTTCCCAAGATACGCTGGTTTTCCCTTTCATTTGGATAATTCTCAAATTAATTACGGAACTATGTTACTGCTATGAAGGATGTTAAAAATTTGGTGTGGCCTTCTGTACCTCTCATTTCTCCTCTTTTGAGAACATAAACATTATAGATTACAATCACAAAATGAGAAGACCCTATTTCCTTCAAAACATCTTCATCCACAAAATGATCATCTATATACAGAGGTGGCGCCAGAAATCTTCCGACAGAGGGGTTGGAGCTTCCGACAGGGGGGCTAAAACGACTTGAATAAGCAGTTTTCGTATGTTATTTTGTCAAATTTTCTCCGACAATTACCTAAAATTTCCTCCGATGGGGGGGGGCTAAATGCTTCCGACGAAGGGGCTGTAGCCCCCCTAGCTCTCCCCTGGCGCCACCACTGCCTATATACATTTATATGATGTTAAATATCATTATCGTTGCCATCAGGCACAACTTCCATTCTTAAGCATGATCGGAACAGGCTGTACCATTTACCCAATAAACAAATATGTGCGGAGTAGTTTGAAATAAGGAATATTTCATGTCAATTCAACAGTTTGCAATGTTGAAAAAGCTGATCAGATAAATATTGAAGAACTCTACAAATTTAGAGAAAATTTAGAACTATCTTCAAAAGATAGACTTGCTGTTTTGAATAATAAATAATTAATCATCTAAGAAGTCACTATTTGTGAATTTCTTTTCAAGTGGATCTGTAGCATGAATGTTTGAGATTTCATATCTGATTCTGGTTGCTTTAGTACCATAAATTCCCTTTCAAAAGCAACAAAACTCTCTTGTCATATGTTTTTGTTCTACATCACCTCTCAGAAAATCTTCGTAGAATTCATAAAGTTAAACTTCTCTAAAAGGAGCATCAGTTGAAGATCAAGTTTGGCCACAAATACTTGGAAAAAGAACTTTTGCTATAGCAAAAGATCCGGCGAAACGCAAAATTGCTTTTATTAAGAGGTCGTATGAACTTTTGTAATATAAAATTGTGGTATTTTCAGGAGATTGCAGCCACTTGATGACAAAAATTTTGGATTAATCTTGAACAGATTTGCTAAAACAGTAACAGCAATTGAAATTAGATTACGTTTTTCGTCTATTTATATATTTGCCGAGAATAATATTTACATGAAAGGTTTACTAGATGTACTTCGAAGATAAAATTAATTCAAATTGTTGCAGCCTCATCTTCAGGGAGAGGCTTCATCGTATCCTGCCTTCCCAGCGGTCTTTGTGATCCACGCGAATAGTTTGCCATTGATTCTAAGCCCTCGGCTCCTTCTCCCTGCTGGGCATTGGAACTTTTATTCCCTTTGCTATGGTGTCCTGTCCAAGCAGCTTGAATGAGAGAGATTTCGTGTTCGTTGTTGTCTCTGATCGCCATCATCAATTTGACTTGCAGCATTTCGTTCGCCTTTCTCTCGATCACACCTAAAAACTGTGCCATGTTTTCGTCGGTGATGGTCGTATTTCCCAACATCAATGCAATACCGCTTATGTCACATGCAATTCCGTTAAATAAATTCCCAATTCTCATCTTTGCTTCTTCAAATATCTTCCTTGCTATCTTATCTTCACGATTGTGCGTCTTTCGTGACTGCGTGACCTTGCAGTACTTCTCCTCCAGTTCTGACATTATTCGTTTTCTCTCTGTGGACATAGAGCTTCTAAGGTTACCCATATCAACCATTTCTGCCTTTATATACTCGATGTCAACTTCAAGTTGCTTCTTACTCATTTCCTGCTGGTTAACGAAATTGAACATTGCAAAATTCTTATCTTCAGTTGCGATGAAACGTGTAACCATAGAATCTACATCCTTGTCACCACTCACATCAACTAAACGTTGGAAAATTTCGTCATAGAATGCCACTTCGTTCTGAAGAACTTTTGCATTACTCGCAGCCTTCCTGTCTCGTCTAGAAAAGGACATTTTCAAAGATTGAGAGAATGCGTATTGAAAGTATCACCTTTCATAAAGGGCATTTGGTGATGCTATCAAATACCCTTAATGATTTTATTTCTGCGAGATGTGAGGTATTTTTAGTTGCTTATTATTTGGTTTCTAACAAAGATCAATGCTAGATCCTTTTTTCTACAACAGTTTTGGCGGTAGACATTGGCAAAATCATTTTAGAAAGCAAAAGAAAGATAGCATTGCTTCTATTCTGATTTGCAGACAAAATTATGAAAGAAAATTATTGTGATGATTTTTGTGTTTACACTGGAACTCTGCTGGTAAGGTTCTATTCAATCGCCTCATTTGAAAGCTAGATCTGAAATCATAAAAAAAGAGCTGGGGGCTTGTTGCATTTAGTTGTGGTTTGAGAATGCATTTTCTGTTTCTTGAAAAAGATTTCCATCATTAGGTGTTTTAACAAGACATTTTAAAAAAGTAAAAGTTTCTGTTCACGATGTCTATGAAGTAATTTTTCATAACTGCGTGGAGACCAGCAAAAGCTATATTTATATGAAGTCAACAACGATATTATCCAGCCCGAGAAAAAAAAGTAAAAAGAAAGGTTTGAAGTTTATGTTTCAAGCAGCAGGAACTATAAAGCGGTGTGAGACTGCCGTTACCACCCTGACAGCATGAAGATCCAGGCTTTTGATAAAGCAACTCAGCTATGATTAATGAAAACGAGCCAAACGTAGCCTCGGCTTCAGTATACATACAGTCGACTAGCAACATCAAGAGATTTCACACTGACCTTCCTTGAATCACTTGCTCGTAAAATTCGTTCAAGTCTTGCTCTTTTGTGGTCATGAAATCCCGCAGCCGTTTATCATGGTCGATAATTCGCACCAGTTCCTTGAGCTCAGCATTAAAGCTCGCAAGATCTCTTGCCCCTTTTTCTTTGAGATACTTCATGCGATGGTCAGCCTCCTCTCTTGATGTAAACAAAGCTTTGGAGCAATCAATCAGTCTGTTCTTTTCTTTGACGTCATGTTCGTAGAGTTTTCGCAGTTTCGAATGGAGGTCTACACAAAGCAAGCAAAAATTTTGATTAGCCTTTAGCCCACAGCTACGAACCTCTCTGCAGCAAACTGCCTCCAAATGGATAAACACTTCAATTGGCCCCAAGCAGGTTTTGTGAGCATTTCAATTTACTGATGATCAAAAAGTTGAATATCTTGAGAATAAGCACTAATTATGCACAAAAAATTATTCAATATAAATATTCAAAGTTTGTTTTCTTTTTAACTTTGCCCTTTTATGGAATTTACATCCCCGCGCAGCTAAAAAGATATCATTTTCGCCCATTAATGGGTTCTTACCTGAAAATCGTCTGCGTTGGACAAAGATATATTCGATGTTTTGCCTATGCAAATTATTCCTAGCAAGGGTCTTGCTATACCTGACCGTTGCTTGATTCAACCGGTTTTCTAGCATCCTGACACGTTTTTGAGTTGCCTTGTGTCTCTCTTGGTCGTTCCCTGGTCCACCAACCTTTTTGGACAGTTTCTGTGAAAACAAATAAAACAGTAGCAGTTTGATATTATAGTTTTATAACTTCTAGATGATGTATTGAACAAAAACAATCATTATTCAGCCTTTAAAAATGAGAAATGTAAATGATGTATGTGAAATTTCTGGTTCACGTCATATCCTTTCACTTGATTCAAATCTATTGCCCATACCACCCTACAGTTAATCACATTCTATATTATTCTACAAGAAGAGCTTTCACTGCTACTATTCATTATCTGAAAGTTGAAAAAGCTTTGATTTCAATCTTCGCAAAAATTTACATATTCTATGAAAATTCAGAAATATGTCAGCAAACGGCACTCTTACCGTGATGTCAAAAAGGGGATGGGGAGGAAGCAGGATTTATCAAAAATGGCAAAATTCGAAGCAAAGAGAAAGCAGTTTAGTTTTTATTTGTAAATATAGCTCATGTACAAGAGTGAAGAAAGACTCATAGACAACAGGGAGTGTTCTTGATTAAAAAGCAAATCTGTCTAATCTCCTTTACCTCAACCATTTTTCGGTTCTCATGCCTACTTGAGTGCCAAACATACCTCGATTTTTGTCTCCTCTTTCCTCATTTCTTCTTGAAAACTATGCAATTGCAAATTCTCTCCATCGATTGTTCTCTTGATGACATCTTCTGTTTTGAGAAGATAACGCAGCTCGTCAAGGATCTTGGTATCAGCAACGTGATTGCTCCTCTGTGTTACTAAATTCATATCCTTCATTAAATCCCCTTCTTCTCGCATTAAGCTGGTTATTTCCTGACGCTGTCGTTTCAGCATATGCTCAGTTTCGTTTCGATACGACTTTCGGTCGTCCACAAGCAGTCGATACTGTCGCTGAAGTTTCGTAAGTTCGGCCTGCAGTTCAGCCCTAGTTTCCGCTGCATCGTCCTTAATTTTCGATTCTTGTACGCTAAGCATGCTGAATCCCTATATCTTTTTCTCCTGTAAACACTAAATCTTTTCCGAAGAACTTACGCGACTCTTCTAAATTACCTTGGCTAATAACTACTTGCCAAACTTAGTGTTCACTGCTTAAATATGAAGACCGGTCTTGTAACACTGTGACGTCAGATTACTAATACGTCACGTGGTGTCCAGCGACTAAATGAATGACGATGTGGCAATAATCAATCAATCATTGCTAGTTGAACGAGAATATAGAATACGGCTCCGTTTGAAGCAAACAATTTTGAAACATCAATGCGCCTACTCTACCTAGGACCTCGTATTCAAAATACTTGAAACTTCGTTGTATCAATTTTTCTATTTCAGAATCGGACTTAATGATGTTCCTCATGATATTGAATACAAAGGTAAAGGGAGCATTCTTCAAAACGTGATCACAATCTAGCCTGACGTCATGCTTGGGGCTTGGAGTTCGAAATGACGGGAAAAAATAACAGAGGATAAGTCGACGAAAAAACACTAATGCACTTTCTTCTTTTGGTCTTTATCAGCTAGGGGCTAATTGAAAAGGAAGAACGGTTTTACGAACCAAGGTCATGCATACCCTTATAAAACAAACGCTATTGATAAATTTCGCTTGCTGGCGAGCCACCTAAACTTAAATGATTTTGCAAGCAGTTTTGAACACAGTGTTCTCAGAATCTCATTTTTTTACTTTTTTCTACCATTTTTCCGTGTAGCCTTTCTCGTTCGAGCCTGATCTCAGCTCAGGTTAGGCACAACCCGAATAGAGTAACCAAAATAGAAACTAACTGCTTTAATGCACAACGAAGCAATCAACGAAACCAAGCAAAAAGCAACCAAAAAATTATTTTAAACGATCAATACCCTTAATGTCATTTATTAATATCAGGAGCATGTCTTCATCATGGGGTCTGACATTCCACATTTTAAATTTTACAAATCTTTTTGATACGTTACATGAAATGAGATCCAGAGCAGGGATCCCTCAACTTTGGATACATGTTAAAAAGTTGATTCTTATACAACTTTGCGTCTATTTGATCTGAAATTTAGGTTCTATGTTTTCTTTCCCATCTAACCTAGGTAGAAACATTTATGGAAACGAGCGTGACATGAATGATAAATTTTCCTATCAATTACTTATATAAATATATGTGCATGTTTATCTATATATGTGATTAAAAACCCAATATTACATCAATATTACAGCATTGCTGAGCACATATGCATGTAGCCTCAAAAGCCTTGGCCACACAAATTGAGCTTTCGGTTGAGCAACACTCAACATGCATGCATACTCACTGGTGTTGAGCGATGCCTAATCCTTGATGAGTATGGAGCGATGCCTAATCTTTGAAAAGGATCAGTCAGACACTTGTTTAAAAATTTGCCAATGAAAGCATAGGTCTCAAATCTTGATTGGCTAAGAGTTTGCGCGTGATCAAGCAAATTTTACCGCTGTTTTTAAAAAAAAAGAGGGCAAAAAACCCAATTTTTTCCGCCTTTGCCTGAGTTTGTCTACATTAAATTGGGCTGTGATCGGCCAGTGGTGAGAGAGGCCACATGACTAACTGCACGTTCTCAGCCGATCAAGACTTGATCCCCATGCTGTCATGGAAATATTGCATTCGTTAAGCCACATGCACTGAGCAACAGCAAACAACATTTGGTATATAAAAGTGCCGTTTAGTCAATTCCATATTGTCCGTCCTTGCAAACAAGCTAAATTGATGTAGCAAACTCACGTCGTGTCCTTCCTTCTATCCAATACAACTTTCCTAATGCCCTGCACTTACTTGAACAAGCTGTTTTCCAATATTTCCACCAGTTAAAACAGAGATGAACGCTTTTCCTGTGTTCTCAATCCCCTCAAATACAGTTTCTTTGGCCTTCAGTTTCCCTTCTACGTACCAACCAGCCAACTCTGCAACTGCTGCTTTGAACTCCACTAAAAGAGATAAAAAGCTCTCTGACATGGGGTAAAAGGAGAAATGCTTGGCACAGGTACTGTATTTTCAAGAGATGAGCCAAAAGATTTGCATTAAGAGAAAGTTACAGTTGCAACATGCTTCTATATGAACAATATGGATTTCAAGAGATATTAGAAGTAATATTCTATGTGCTTTCGATAATGACAGCATCTTTTTGAAGATGTGAGCAAATGCTATCATTAGGTAAGAAGATATTATGGAGGATATGCAGGTTTTTCATCATGATATGCAAAATTGTGCAATAAAAGTACTGGCTATATGTTACAAAAATATGCTGAGATCTTATGGTGTACCAAGGTAAAGACGTGGGAGGTATAAAGACTTTCCCAATCAACACCACTCCTGAGATAATGATCAAAAAAAGATTCATGCAGTTTTAAGGAAATTTCTTGCTGACTCAAGTTTTTTAAAGCCAAACAATCTCCATTTCAATGAATTTATTACAACTTTTTAAAAAGGAGACATTTTTTAACCTGCATGCCATTACCTTTGTAATTTGAAACAGCAAAGAATTCTCTGCGTATGTTCTTTTCCTTTATCGATCCAGCAATGTCTGGTGATAGATCTTGCCGAAAAGGGACATCCTTATTGTAATCAGCGATTTGTCCACAAACAGCAATGCAAGAGTTTTTGTTCATTTGCCTGATTATGTGGTCGCTAATGTCCCCACCAACATTATCAAAGTAGCAATCAACCCCATTTGGGCATAACTTCCTCAATGCTCCATAGATGTCATCTGTTTTGTAGTTGATTGCCCCATTAAAACCAAGCTCTTCTTTAAGAAAGTTGCATTTGGTCTCAGAGCCACAAATGCCAACAACATTGGAAGCACCATTGATTTTTGCCAGCTAATAATTGATAAAATTTAACAGAATGTTCAAAATTTTGTTAAAGATTCATTATTTTATAGTGAAATACCAAAGTTGAATAGTTTACAGGCCCATTGGAGCCAGGAGGGCCTCGGGGGCTGTAGCCCTCCTAATAACTGTCAAACTGTAGTATGTTTCCTTTATAACTGTGTACTGAATGAGAAGGAAAACAAAGGACAGCCCCCCAAAATAAATTTCGTTCCGATGGCATTGGTTTACCTCAACATGTAATTATAGTAATAATAGTATCAGATTTATACAGGTTAACTTTGTTCAGCAACAAGATGCTGCTATCAATAAAGGACCTGCCAAAAAATATAAATTTATGTACATAAACTTTTAATTTATAAATTAAAAGAAAAAATAGTTATAAATACACTATGGAGACAAATATTAAAAGTGAAAGTTAAAAGTTTACAAACTTAAAATTGAAGTTTCACTCTTCATTTTGTCTGTTAATATATCAAAGAACTTTGCTTCTTGAAAGGAAAATGCTTTCCTGCCTGTATTTTGGACTGTACTTTAGGAGAAACAATATTCTTTGTATTGGCATAAGGTTCTGGGGTCCTTATGACCCCAATGCCTCTGATTCTGCAAGGCTGTCTAATGGGAAAAAAAATAAAAAAAATCACCTGTCCAGCAATAGATCCAACTCCTCCTGCTGCACCGCTAACAACAACAGTTTGCTTCCTTTCTGGTGAGATGTGACACTTTTCTCTAATGCCAAAGTATGCAGTGAGTCCTGTGAGTCCACAGCACCCAAGTGCCAGGGAAGGTTTTGCTCTGAAGACTTCTTGATCAAACTAAATCAGAGAAAAAATCTTCAGCATAACAGAAATACAAATCATGGCAGGTGGTGATGTTGTAGTCTCCCAGTTTCCTGTTCTGTATGATTATGGATTTGGAATTTGTTCAGGTGCTCTTTGGCAGTATTTACTTTCTCTGAATGCTCATCTAATGACTAATAATTTTCTTTCTACAAAATAAAGGGTCAATGTTTAGGTTCATTCAGCATTTGGCATGAAACATTTGCAGATGAATCTCAAGGATCACTTCTCGGACTTATTCTTTTTAATATAATGCATCAGCAATTTATTTTTCAAAGTAATTGATTCTGTAGCTTGTATCTCCCTAGGAAAAAAGCCATCTTTGCAGATACCAATCATTAAGATAGGCTTTTAGAAATCCTATATCCATTGTGAGCTTAGGTGAAGACAGTGAAAGTTATCAATGTCTGACTTTTTTCAATTCAAGAGTTTCACCAAATGTGATTTGCTAAACAGTTATTGGGTATCCATTGTGCGACATTATTTAATCTTGGCACCCTACATGTTTTGTTTATAAGCAAATGCCCAATAAGGCACCCTACATATTTTGTTCACATAACTTCAGAAACCCTGTTCTGCAAAAACTAAGGTAATGATTGCAAAGATACTTCATTACTTTGTTCAAAGTTTTTCCATCGATTGTAAATTGCGTCTTCCAGGGAAAATTACGAGATTCAACGATGTCGTGAACAGCGATCCCTTGAAACTTGCTTTCCAAAACGACACCCACACCTACACCAATGCACGGCTCTCCAACAGTCCATGGCGACAGAAAAGTACCCTGGCTCATTTTGTATCGCAGAATGGGGTCCACAGACAGATACAGGGTTTTCACAAGTACCTGACCATCTTCCAGTGTGAAAGATTCATCAGATTCTTTCACTTCAAAATTTTCAGCCAGCGGCTGCTCACCTTTCTTGATTAAAGTCTTCAAACACACACTTTTCACGGGTGCCATTTTGAAACGGGTAGCAGAGTTCACAAGTCAATGGTCGATCATCGCAAAGGTAAACAAACGCCTCCTTCGCAGTTTACTCAAACCATAGAAACTTTCTCTTCGACTCAAACTCAAATTAGTATCATCAGGAATGAGTCAGTCAAAAAAATCATTTTTTTTACTTTTTCGCATGTCGTGTTTTATGGAATTTTGACTTTAAAATTGAAACCGAAACACCTCTGTCATTTGCTGTATGACTTTCATTCGTTCTGGAAGACTTCTCATTTAGATTTAGGAAACCATTTTTAGGTCTCAGCAAAAAGGAACGTAGGAACATATCTGTCACTGTCAGGAAATGCATGTTGTTGTAGAATCTATACTGAGGGTGGAGTGAATTCGAGATTCTAACATGTGCAGGTCAAGTGTCTGAAATCTTAAGAAAAATACCAACACTTTTCCTTTTTGTCCTGCGTGTAGAAATGGCGACAAGGTAGAAATTCCAGGCATAGGAATCATTCATGAGGTGTGGTCACATCGAGAGGAAGGACCAGGACACTGCTCGATAAGCATGAGCTTCTCAGTGTCCTAAAAACTACCTTCGGATGCTAGGTAGAAACAAATACAAAGAAAAAAGTAAGACAAAACAATCACTTTATCTTTCAAAGTTATGAAAGGTTTAGTACCTTGAAATTACAGTTAGAATGATTTTCATAAGAACGCAATTTAAAAGAACACTCTCAATTTTTTTTTTAAAAAAATATGAACAACGTGCCAAGAAAAAACAACTTGCCCTGCTTCTGATGGAAAATTAGAAGGAAAAACAGTGTATCTTTAAAAAAATACATGTTACCAAAATAGAAAAAAGAGAAGATTTTATCATGCGATCAATCGTGTGCTAAAAATGACCTGCAAAGTTTTTAATTGTTTTTAATGACCGTTATTAATTGTTTTTAAATCAATTTAATTGATTCTAAAAATGCAGGAAAACCAATGTTACAGAAATAAGAACATCCGAGCTTCGAATCATTCCAAAAATTATAACATCGAGATCGTTTTTACGAAAAAAGATCGTATTTTAAAAAATAAAGCCTTTCTACTGGAGTGGTAAACTTCTGTCAGTGAATATTTGTTGCCAGTGTATCTATCTTATCTCATAAAGTAATGAACTCCGTTTTAAATTGGAGCTTATTAGAAGTAACATTATTATGCCTCAAAAAATAGCAAAACATTTTAATGGCATAAATGAATTTGAGCTACTCTAAAGGGCGCGTTTGCAAAAACATTCGTGTTGCTTCTATCCACATCTTATTATTCATTTAGACACAACAGACCACTAAAATTGCACTGACCAAAGCTTGTTAGCTGAATTGCCTGTACAACACCTTAGAATCTATGCTACTCTGACTACTTGTTTCCCTATGTTTCCTCCGGTCATCACTGACACAAGAGCATGTCCAATATTTTCAATCCCTTCAGTAATTGTCTCACGAGATTTGATGCTGCCATCTTGGTACCAACTTGTTAGAATATCCAAGCTTTCTTTCCATTCAGCTGTTAAAACAAGAGAAATGAAACTGAGAAGCTGTCAGGTGCTTGTTAAATACACCAAAATAATGTTCAACTAAGAATAATTGTTAGAAACTTTAGAAACTTGAGCTTTTGTAACAAATATTGAGAATACCGTTAAGCATATGCAGTTAAGCATATGCCATGCCAGCTCTATACTAAAATGTAATCAATGGATTTTATGTTATTTCATTTTTCATGTCAGTTCCACTTTAATTTTTTCCTGGTCCATCAGCTCCCATGACAGAAACGTTGAAGGAAAGCAAATCTTTGAAACAGGAGTGAAAGGCGTGATGGTAGTAAGGATAAAATAGATGTAGAAAATGCGAAGGAATTTTCCCTTCTAACATCACTGTCAAATATAAGACAGCAACTGTGGATGACGGTTTCAAAGTATGACAGCGGCAGCGATCGCATTTTGATTGCTGTTTATGACAAAATGAAGTCGGTACTAGCTGAGGAAACTCCATCGCCAGTTTCCCTTCCAAATCAGGAGAATTCAACGCATCCCAAAACGTATCAGGATACAATGATATCACAAGAAAACAAATATTTGACATCGTCTAATAAATTCAAAAAACAATATCGAGCATTAAGAATCTTTATGAATTATAGAGTATGCAGAGATCATAAAACGATATATAATCACCGATGACATAGATTAAAAATGCTGCCATACTCAGAAACAATAGAAAGAACTTTCGATAAAAGAAATAGACTCAAACCATTTAAGATCCCAAAATCTGCAGTCTTCCCCAAAAGCTTTTGAATCACATAATTATCTTTTCTATCACATCACTGTTTACATTCATTCCTTGTCTGTTACTCTCTCTACCACTTATAAATCTTTTTATCTGCTTTCTTTTCTTATTTTCCTTTCAATCAAAGTCTCCATCGTTATTTCTTCTTTTTCTCCTCACCTTTTTTTATCTCCAAATCCAACACCCAATTTTCGATACCATTTTTTCCAACACCAACTACCTTATCCCAATCCTGAACTCCAAGCTTCTTCCTTTTTAAATTTAGCCATCTTAACAAACAAGCATAAAATAAAATACCTTTCTATACATACAAAACCCCAATGCAAATTTTGCTCTTTTGAGAAAAAAAACATTTTGATAAAGGCAAAGTAACATCCTAATTGCAGGGGCAATTTCCCTACCATCCCTCGACTTTGCCCCCGCATTCAACAGATTTTTGACCCCAGTCCCTTGTTGGTCGCCACCACTACGTAAAATGGTGAGGTACACCTGCAGGAGCCATAAGTAATAGAAAACGATTGGAAAACGACATCATAGATGTTTACATGACAGTGATTTCGTAAGTTTACATGGGAGATTTTTTTGCAGTTGAAAACTAAAAACTGAATGAAATTAGGGTATCAAAAATAAATGGAGATGTATATTGGCACTCTTTAGTATAGGACTCAAATCTTTAGAAAACAAGGCCCTTAAAATTACTGTTTAATTCCTGTATTACTGTGGTCATTCATTTCAGATTAAGAAAAACCAATGGCACAGAAAATGTAAGAGGGCTGGACAGCAAAATTAGCTGTGGAACGTGTTTGTCTGCGTTTAGGTATAAATTTGTGCCACAAATTTAATTGTGTTTTTGGTCTGCATGATTTATCCCAATTCCACTCATCTTTCAACAGTTCCATTGAAAAGAGATTTTTAGCATAGTGATTTTTTGGCTACCTTCCCTCTTATAGTATCCGATTTAATTGAATAATCCAGACATATCGGGGGATCAAGTGAAAGAGTTTTCAGATAACGTCTTCGATACTTTTGCTGATTTCAGGCCAAACAAGACTTTTCAACGAGGATTTTATACATGCTTAGAAGAAGTACTGGACTCGTTCAAAGTTTGCTGTCTGCCATTATCGTTGTATAACCTGATAGTATGACCGTTGAAAGAAGTGTTTCACTGTATATTCATAATTAAGGGAATCAACATTAAGAAAGAAACTATTCGTTGCATGGAATGGCCTCCCAACATCAAAGTTTGACACATGGCCAGCCATACCAAGATTTTTTCATAAAAAAGATCGTCGTGAATCAAAGCCAACTATAGAAACTCACAAAAATAGAGGATTTTTTTCTCAGTTTTTTTAATGGATTTACTGGGACTTTGATCAGACATATTTTCACGTTTTAATAATATTTTAACTTCAAGTGTCAACACAAAGCTGTTCATTTCATTTAAAATACGAAATAAATTTCTTTGAAATATGGAATCATAAAAGCTTCCTAGAAAAAACCCTTTATCTCCCGTTTTTGCTTGTTTAACCCGTCCCTTTTCAAGAATTGCCCCCCTACTTAAAATTTCTTAAAAAATGCACTGAATTATTTTTAAGGTTGTTTTGTAATTTTGATATCTTTGAATCTGTAACTGCAGTCTGTATGAAAATTGTAATACATTAAGTGATGCATACCTAATATAACTGAGACAACTACCTACAGACAAATCTAGTCCTACTGTCATTTTAAGTATTTCGGCCTAGCCTTGTCCTTATCATGATTTTTCATGGACCAACACCGCTAACTGTTCTGATACAATACACTACTGACTAGAAATAGTAAACAATTATCAACTACCTGCACTAACACAAAAAATCATTGCATTGCGCAAATTCATGTGACAAATTTAAAAGTGCATCAAACTGACTGTGTGTTGGGCAGGTGCAAGTAGCTAACAATGAAACTGTTGTAGCAAAGATTGCCTGCTTGTTTTTCACCGGCAATAAAGTTTTAAAAAAAGTTAACAAATACCTGAATGATTAAGGACCAAAAATCTTTCCCTTGTAATCTTTCTTGATTTTAGGATCTCTCTAATTTCAGCAGGTATGGGGGGAGGATATTCAAGCTCTTTGTTGTAAGTTGATATCTGACCACATAAAACAATATGAGAATCTTCATTCATCAGCCTGATGACATCATTACTAATGTTTCCTCCAACGTTATCAAAATAAGTGTCAACACCACCAGGGCAAGCTTTTTTCAAGGAGGCTGCCACATTTTCTGTTTTGTAGTTGACAGCAGCATTGAAGCCAAGATCCTCTGTTAAATATCTACACTTTGCTTCTGAACCACATATACCAACAACGTTTGTAGCACCAAATATCCTTGCAATCTGTTGCAATAAATAAGAAAAATGTGTGAAATATCATTTTTAGCCAGAAAAAAAGCAAGACAGGAATATCTAAAAACATCACAGAATACACATTATTAACAACCTCAGTAACACAAAAGAAATAGTGAGCAGTGGAAACAAAACCATGCCTGCTGGAAGTAGCTCAGTGTTCTAGTTGGGAAGTGTAGAAATCTCTGGAAAAAGCATCTGGATGTAATGGCTCACATAACTACTAATGTAAACAGAATGTAAAAAATAAATCAGATTGCTAATTTGTTAAGCTATATCCTAAATTTATATCTAGTTGACCTCATCTTATAACAATTGTTATTGTATTGCATTTAAAACGAGGTTCTAAGCTTAAATAAGTTGTTTTTATTATGGACTGACTTTGATTTTCTTTAAATATTACAACACCTCTTGATTTATTCATGTAGAATTACACAGAACTGGTAACTCTTTGGCTTAGGTATTGAGTCATGGTAAATAGGTCTTCCTAAAAGGGGGTCATTTGCTTTTGTGGTGGTCGCTCTTGTTTATTGTGATATCAGCATCCATATGGTTGTTAATAACCTGGTTTTTGGTAGAAGCTCAGGTTGCCAAAGGGGTAAACAGGAGGTACTGTACCCCCAAACACTTTGTCCGTTGGCACAAATAATAATCATTGTTAGGCAAAAGAAGAAATATTCTTTCTCATCCTGTAGAACAATTGTAACCTTTTTACAACAACTGTAATGTATCAATATTTCTTTATTACAACATGTCTATAGCAGTTGGACTTTCATACTTAAGTATGAATTTTGAAGAAAAAGCACATTAAAGCAGAATAAGATTATTTAAGCTGTCTTATGACCATGCCCTTTTAGGAAAGACTGCCTTTTTCATTGGCAAAAATACTTTCTGTACCCCTCCAAAAAATCTTTGGCTTTGTCCCTGTGGAACCTGTTTTGTAAATCGGTAAGAGATGTGTTCATGTGACCAAAGCCAGGTCCACCAATAGAAGTGCATCATGAAAATCACGATTCAGCATATTTGGGTGTACCTTCTCCTTTTATCATGACTCAGTGCCTTTAATCGTATTAAATATCATAAGGGGGCTGCCAATTACAAATATTGCAAAGGAGACAGGAAACCTCCATTTGGGTCCAGGGCTTTGGGACACATGGTGAGAAGGTCTTACCATGTTTGGCATTTCTGGGATCTCTTTGCATTACACCCTCCCGTTGCCAAGGGTAAGACGCACAAAGCATGGAGAGAGGTTCTCTCTATTGAGTATAAATAATTACATATAATCATCATATATATATCTTCTTGTTAGAAAACATGTGTCTCTCTGTAGTACACACCTATGTCCCACCCAGGTCACAACATTAAACATTGTACTTGGCCAGAATCAAGCTCTAGCTTGAGGCTTCAAAAGCAACAGCATTATTCCGGTGCACTGAATGAAATGATTGGTGACTTTTGAAGCCACTTTTCTGTACATGCTAATGCTTAGATGGTACATGAGGTGTTAACGGTGGTACACAGGATTCAGGTGTTACATAACAAAATGTTTATTTCTAAGGTGGCAAACCCGACTTCATGTACTAACTCTCTTTTCTTCTCTCTTCTTTTTCGGAAGTTTTATTTTTATTTTTGTAAAAATCACAACTTGTCACCGAACCCAATGAATGAAGGTGGCAAAAGATTTCTTTGTTTTGTTTAGTGTCCATAAATTTGAGCGTAGATGATGAAAAACTTTTGTTTAATGGCTAGATCACACATTTTGCTTATATGGGAACACTGAATATTTTTATCAAATTTGAATCAACAAGCACATTAATACCTGACCAGCAGCTGACCCACATGCTCCTGCTGCACCACTGATGACAATAGTCTGGCTTTTTCCTTGTTTAATGTTTCCGAAATGTTTTAAACCAAGCAGGGATGTTAGTCCTGTGATGCCAAAAAGACCAAGACACTGGGATGCATTTGATTTAACAACATCATTCTCTATCTGATGAAAGAGAAAAAATTTAAAATAAAGAAGAGTACAAAAATGGCTCTGACAAATTAACTGGAAATTTATATAATGGGTCACTATCAGGCCCGGTTTCAGGAAATTTTTCAGGGGGGTGCAAGTTTTTATCTACTGACTACGTTAATGCAAGTATTTTAGTATTGTTAATATCAAAATTTCAACTATTACAAAGCAATTTCATCTGTAAAACTACTAGTTTTAAAAAATTCAAAAAAAAGCTTTTGTAGTCACGTAGGTTATTCAACCATTTGAAACACCGAATCGAACTCTTCTCTTCTTCAACTGGACCCACTTCTTGATAACAGATAAGTTCTGTGAAAAGTGTTTCTTGCATGAAATTAGCGTAAGAGATTGTAGACGACCCTGGAGCATTGTGCTTCGCAGTTTCAGAGATAGGGCCACAAAATTGAGCCTGGAGGGGCTAAGAATCACGTTTAGTGACATAGGAGGACCCACCATGGTTGGGTCTGAAGTGGAAGAATTTTTTTTAAAATTAAGCCTTCTAGAATGGCCAAAAATGCATCTCCCAGACTAAAGTTGTCTCTGTTTTTGTCAATTTCTTGAGGTTAATCTTCTTCTGTGATGTTCCTAAAAATCCTCTTCTGAATCAATGGAAAAACTGAACTGCAGAACCTTCTGATATATTTGAATGTTTTTAAGAATTACATGAAGGACAATTTTTTGTCTGAAAATTTGAAAAAGATTATCTACCCCTCAAAACCCCAATTTACCAACTAAAATCCCAATTTTACCGACTTAAACACAACGGTCTATTCTTGGGTGGGGAGGGGGGGGGGTGTGACCGGCCCTGGTCACTATCAGAGTTTTGTTCAAATTTTGTTCCACAAAAAAAATTTCATATTATTAGCAATATATTTTTTCATTGAAAAAAACATTTTTCACAAGTTCGATAACAAGATAAAATAATGTGGTATAATTTAGGTGCGGCTTGTATCAAAGGTACGTATGGAAGCCATGCTTTCAAGTTCACCAAATCTGAGCTGCATTTTTGTGTTTTATGTATGCTCAATTATCGTAAATCCTCGAATTAGCCCCCTGGGGACATATTTATTTTTGATATTTTTGGATGGGGGCTTATTCAAGAGGGGGGCTTATACGAGGGGGCCTTATACGAGGGGGGTCTTATAAATTATTGTAGAGAATAAGAAGAAATTATTAAAAGACCTTTTTTCTTTTAGTAGGAATTTCTTTATGAGTATTTAATTAATTACTACCAAAAGTAGGAATTTGTCGTGGTAATTCAATAAATGCCATAGGCAACATCAGATGGCAAAAACCGTCAAATTGAGGGGTCCAATTCGAGAAAATACGGTAGCAGTGGGGGCTTATTCGAAAAGGGTTTATTGACAGTTTGTAGTTTTAGAGTGGGGGCTTATTCGAGGGAAGTACTTTTTTTAGGAGGGGGGGGCCATTCGAGGATTTACGGTATTCCGTGTTTCTTATGCACCAAACAAATACATATTATGCACCAAACAATTCCTTGCTATGAATACTTTATCTGTGCGCCGTCGGAACGAAATTCACAGTGAGGGGCTGCATATTGGTTTCTCTCTCATTCAGTACACTGTTATAAAGAAAACATGCCACTGTTTGCCACAGCCCCCCAGCCTCCACGGTTCCGGAAATAGAGGGGTAGGCTACACCAAACTATGCAGAACAAATTAATGCGATCACAAATCTGTTTTAATTATAACAAGGGGACTGTGCCCCGGGCACCTCTCCGCGACCCCACTGCCCTTTCCCTGCCCTAAAGAGGCATGGAAATCGACATCGAATCGAAAAGTACCTTGTTGACAAACTTTCCGTCAGTCTTGAAAATAGTTTGCCATTTGAAATGAAAAGATTCCACAAGATCGTTCTTTGATAAACCTGCAAACCTGCTTGCTATGACCACACCAACACCGCCCCCATCGCATATGCCGCCAACTTCCCAAGGTTTCAAATACGCGTATGTAGAATCCCCTTCTATCATTCTAAATTTCATGTAGGGATCGACAGAAAGAAAAAGCGTCTTGATAAGAACTTCACCATCTTCCAGTTCCTCGTTTTCATTGCAATCAACAACGTTGAAGTCGTCCGCTGTTGGGACATCGGTTATCACCAGGCGACGGTTTAGGCGTATGGCCTTGCAGTGTACCATTTTTATGTACGAAGAATGATTATGTACGAATAATGAGTACATATAGAAGTGGGGACCCTGTAAGTGGCATACTGAAAAAACCAGACCCTAGGACCCCTATGACCCCTAGGACCTCCCCATAGAGATAGGATAATTATTATCCCATCTCTTTGGACCTCCCCCAGAGCCATGCCTTTTAACAAATGAGGAACACAAAGCCGATCTACACTGACGCTTGTTTGGTAGAGTTCGCACAAAATTCTACTCATTCCAATCTCCACTGACTTCGATCAAATTTCTGCGCGCGAGAGATTCTTAGGACAAAGATGTTGTCTCAGGGTCGTCATAGACGAGTTTTGTTTACGAGAAAAAAGAAATTCAGTTATATTTACATTGGAAGGGAAATCAAACGTTTACAAAAAAACACGTAAAGATTAGTGAGACAGCCTTCATTTGCTGACAAATTTGAATATTCACCGAAAAGCACCCACACATGGCTTGAAATCCTCGTTTTTTGAGATTAAACGTTGTTCAAAATTGCAATTTGTAGAAGCTCAGCCTCAGCTTGTTCTTCTTTGGACCAATTTTGAGGCTTGTGTTCTTATAAAAAAAGAGTGTAATGATTGACATCTCGGGTCGAAAATGCCTTCAAAAGGATGATGAAAATTTACATGTTGCAAAACTTTTAACCACCTAAAACCTTAGATACACTTCTAGACCCTCCCTACCGCTTTACTGGTTTCTAATGACCTTATTATTATTATTATTCTTTTTTCAGTTTTCTTTACTGTTCTGTTATCTTCAATTCAAACTAAAATTTATACATAATGTTATTAAGTACGTCAAACAGGGCACATGACTCGATAGCTCATCGTGAGTTCTTTTCATGTGTCCTTCAGCATAATAAAAAATCCAATCAATTTTCTTATCTTACTTATTGTTCTATTTTTTAAATTTATAGAAATTGTATTTTAAACCAGGATATTGTAATTAATTTCATTGCTTGCTGAAAAAGATTTTGTGTTTGAGGGAATGTTCTAATCTCTCAATCTTTTTTCAAAGCATTTAAATGGAAAGTGGCAACTAAGTTGATAAATTTTTAATCTTCTTGGCTTAATATCCAGATAAAAACGCCTCCTTTGCAACATAGAATGAGCCCTTACGACAAGGTTTTTTTAAAACAGATCGTTTTGCTCTTTACACTTTCTGAAAGGGCTGTATATGCTAACTTTGGGTAAGACTGAGAAACGACTGAGGGTGGAGTAAATCCAATGTTCTAATATGTAGACATCAAATGCTCTGCCGACATCTCTCTGCCTGTTTAATACTGCGTTATTGTGACTACGCCTCTGATGTTACAGAAAATGTTTGTGCCTCACACTATTGCATATTGAAATAATTCATTTTAACGTTGGGTACTTTTAACACAAAAAAATACTACCAGCTTTGTATTGTTCAAATATATTCAGTTGCTGCAAGAGCTGGTTTAGATAAAGCAAAAAAGGTCTGTTATAAAAACGAGATATGTTATTCTATATATTTCAATACTGGCCAATGTTATTCAGTTGCTTTTTAACTTATAATTCGGGTTTTTCGACACATTCCACATTTCGGTTTGCGTTAGAGTCAGTAGGCCCAAAACCACGAAAGCAAAAGTCTAGCAAGACTTACAATCGTCACACAAATCTTAGTAGAAAAGAGAGGCTTGCAAAAGTTGTTATGGTAACATAACACTTGCCAGCAGCTCTCATAGTAAAATTGTACTGTACCGCACGCAATTTTGGATATTCGTGGAATCACTTGCCAGCAGCCACTAGATAACCTTAATGAAAGAAGGGGGCTCAACGTCAAAGAATAATTTCTTTGTTCAGTTCAATGTTTCATCAAGTTTCATGAAACTAGTACGTTGTAGCTAATACATTTATTATCAGATCTAGAATCAGATGGAGAAAAGCAAGGGCAGCAAGGATTTATATAATATAAATCACGATGGAAGCATATTGTTCAGACAGTTAGAATGACTACTTTTAGGCAACTTTCACCACTTGTTTCCCTATGTTTCCTCCTGCCATCATTGATACAAAAGCTTGCCCGATGTTTTCAATCCCTTCAGTAACTGTTTCACGAGACTTTATCTTTCCCTCTTTGTACCAGTTTGCAAGGGCGTCCAAACCTTCTTTCCATTCAGCTATAAAAAAGGTCAAGCGTTAAAAGTAACGAAAGTAAGAGCAGTTTACTATTTTGACATGGCATTGTGTTAGGGTGCAGTGGTGAACTGCGACTTATAAATGATTTGCATTGGTTGTAGCCTATAGCTTGGTATTTTGAACACTGGATGGATTCAGGTCTTACCCGATACAAAGGCCAGGGACTTATATTATATGAAGACTGAAGAGAGGGTATTTCGGGCACCGACCTGTGATCCATTGGTTGTCCGCCAACTAAAGTCATATAACTCCAAGATACAAGCAATGTACTTAAATTATACAATTGATAACATTCTTGTTTAAATCAATAAATTTTTTTCGGTAAATCGACGCCCAAAGACTTTTACTTTTACTTGTTGTTTGTACTCTCTTTGATAATTCTACCTATTGAGATAGCTCCTCCTTTAGCAAGTTTCCTGCATCCAAACTTCCCTACAAATCTTTATTATTCATTTCTAATAAATCTTGATATAATTACATCTTGTAATTTCATTGATAGCATGTGCGTGCCTTTGAATTCAAAAATGAAGATTTTCATCTGTTTTTAACATTTAATATTATTAAGAGGATTGAATCGAAGTCCATGATGCTTCAAATCATCTAAGATCACCGATAACAATATTCGCAATAGAAGGGAACAATTTCATAAAAATGAAAAAGTGGGTCCATTCTATGACTATGATTCTATGGTCTTCAGGTGGATAGCGAGCCTGATTGACGCTCAAGAGAATGTATTTACCTTCATAACTTAGCATATAGAAATGTCCCCTTGTTATGTTTCTTGATTGCAGTATTTCTTCAATTTCCTTTGGAAGATCTTCAGCTTCTTTGTTGTAAGCGGAAATCTGGCCACAAATAACAACATGAGAATTTTGGTTCATCAGCCTGATGACATCATTACTGATGTTTCCCCCAACGTTATCAAAATAAGTGTCAACACCACCTGGGCAAGCTTTTTTCAAGGAGGCAGCCACATTTTCTGTTTTGTAGTTGACGGCGGCATTGAAGCCAAGATCCTCTGTTAGATATTTACACTTTGCTTCTGAACCACATATGCCAACTACATTCGTGGCACCCATTATTCTTGCCAGCTGTAAGGTAAACATTTAGAGGCTGATGTTTGTAGGTTCAACAGATTCAATTATAATAAACTTTACTAATCAAAATGTTAAGCATGTAGAGAATGAGAAACAATTCTAATCCCGCAAAGAACAACGCTAATAGAACTAGCATACACAGCCTTGTCAGTGCCAGTGTTGAGAAATTGTGTTTGTGTGTTACATTTTGCTCTTTGATTTAAACTGATATAATCTTCTTATGCCAAGACGCCTAAATTTCATTTTTTGTACCTGACCAGCAGCTGATCCACATGCTCCTGCTGCACCACTGATGACGACGGTTTGGCGTTTTCCTGGTTCTATGTGTCCCAAATGCCTCAACCCAATCCATGCTGTCAGTCCTGTCAAGCCAAGGAGACCGAGAGACTGGGACAAATTGGATTTGATGACGTCATTTTCGATCTGGTGGAGAAATAAATAAGCACTTTATTTAGCATCAGTTCAGTTTGAAGCCTGCTTGCCACTTTCAGAAAATTTTGTTAGAAAACAGATGGAGTTGTTATAGGCCATAATGGTAGAGCAAAAGAAATACAAAAAACAACATCCCTCTGCTTATTCAAATACTGTCCTCCCTTGTTTTATCCCTTTCCCTAAGTCAGGAGCTCCCGTTGCTGACAGCAGTGCTAGTCTATGTCCATTGGAGATAATGTTTTTGCTAAACAATCATGAGAAATAGAAATTGATCTATTTATAGGACATCCAGTGGCTTTATCCCAGTTTTGGACAAAGCCCCCCCGTATCTCGAAAAAGCGTCCTCTCCCACCCGATCAACATTAAGGTTTGAATTGATCACCAAAAACTAGTCTAGTAAAAATTGGTTTAGTAAAGTTAAAGTTCCTCTTTGGGTGGTAATTGACAGATCATTCACATCCACAGGCTGCATCCAAGTTTTTGGACAAACCCCCCCCCCGTATCTCGAAAAAGCGTCCTCTCCCACCCGATCAACATTAAAGTTTGAATTGATCACCAAAAACTAGTCTAGTAAAAATTGGTTTAGTAAAGTTAAAGATCCTCTTTGGGTGGTAATTGACAGATCATTCACATCCACAGGCTGCATCCCAGTTTTTGGACAAAATCCCCTGTATCTCGGAAAAGCCCCTTCTCCCGCCCAACTAGATTTGAATTTTAAACCAAAACTGGTCTAAAAAAAATTGGTTTGGTAAAGTCCCTCGTCAGGTGGTAATGCTCCCACTTGTGTCTCTGGACTACCACGGTGTCCTTTGACCTCTAACCCAATGGTTAAAAATTATCTGACCTTGTTTAGTAACTTCCCGTTGATCTTGAAAGTCGTTTTCCATTGAAAATCAAAAGATTCAACAATATCTTGCTCTGACAGTCCAGGGAATTTGCTTGCCAAAACAATACCAACACCGCCTCCAATGCAGGCCTCGCCAACTTTCCATGGCTCCAGAGCCGCAATTTCAATGGCTATCATTCTGAATTTCATGACCGGGTCCACAGACAAGTAAAGCGTCTTGACAAGGACTTCGCCATCTTTTAGTTCCTGGCTCTCATCGAAGTCCAAAACGGTGAAGTCTTCTGCTTTCGGAATGTCAGTCTGTTTGAGTCGACGATTAAGACACACAAATTTGCCTGGAGCCATTTTAAAACGTTTGCTTTTGGAAAACCTAGGCCTATCTACACGGTATGACTATGCATATTTCATCATTTGAAGAGACCAACAACACGTGACCCGTGAATAAACATTGGGAACCTGTTTTGCTTTGCAAAAGGGGTGGGAGAGGTATACATGTTGTTTTGACTTGTTTAAATTGTTTAAACAGAGTTAATCCACTAGAAAAAATACCCAAGGGCTTTGACTATCTTTTATCTTGCAAACAATAGTATGCTAACATTCTGCATTGTTCCATATGAAAGGCACTGAAATGTTTTGAGCTGCTAGATTAACAATACCGAGTACCTAGAAGTTCAAGTAGATCAGCAATTGAAATGGTCGTCCCAGCCAGCCCCTATGCTAAGTTAGATTTCTACGGGTATTGGTATCTTATGGTACTCTAAAAGATTTGTGCTTTCATCTAACGGTGGGTTTCTTATAAAATGTGGCAAAAAAAGGGCCCCATTTTAGGAATATGAGGCCTTACGATGTCCCATTACGAATGATAAACTTCATGGATTACATCAAAACTGAGATTAAATATAGCCTCATAGCATGTGGTTGTAAAAATTAAAAAAATTATGACTTGTGTAGGTTATGTTTATGGGAGATTTATAGGCATTTGGAATTTTTAATATGATGGAATTTGCTGGGATTTTGATTTTTCATAGACCTAGGTTCAGTTTACAGTTTATGCACATCATGAGTTGTAGAGTTCACTAATTTTTTGCCAGTGGCGAGGGTCAAGGCTAGCAACAAAGTAAGGAGTTATGATACAGTAGGTAACTTTAAAACGAACTTGGCGTTTACTATTTCTTTTACAGAAACCATGGCATTAAGATAATGCAATGCGAATGATACTTCAACGGGGGCTGCTGTATCTTTTTAAAAATTCGTCTACCGAACAATTTAGTTTTTTGCTTGCCCTTGACTGTTTAGTTTGAAACACTAACAGGTAAAGATATTGCCTCATGGATATGAAAAATTGATGTAAAAAAGATGTCAAGAAATTGACAAGAATTAGCCAAATTGCACATAATGGACGAATAAACTATGAGCTTTAATTTACCTACAGACTTTTCAACATGATGAATTTCTATCGGCTGGAAGTGAAACTGGCATTTTTCTTCACTAACTGAATACTCATTTCCTAAAAGAGAATTTTTCTATTGTGGTGGACAGACACATCAAGTTTACAAGAAAGCATTGGAATATTATAAATAGCAACAACATAACAATTAACACTTGCCAATGATAATGATAATCATAATCAATATGTTTCTCTAAAAATAATTTAGAATGTAGAAGCTACGCTTGACCAGTTTGTTTTGATCTATATCTTCTCCTTTAAGATAATTTCTTTTCCAAAACTTGCGAAACCAAGACTACCTATCTGCATGATAAGATATTTTACTTTTTTATCTTCCTATCTGTCAGTCGGAGATTTTAATCACTGAAGAAGTGGGGGTACAGCTGGCCTCTGAATGTCTTGCTAATCTTTTTTCGTTTGAGGCGGTTTACTGCGCTAGATTTCAAGGCAAAACTCGTACAATCTGAAACATGGCTAGAACTTTTTCAGGGTGCTCTTTAGATGATTTTCATATATTCAATTTGGATTCTTTAAACCCTTCTTACTTTGCTGTACATCTTCTTATTATTGTCCCAAGAATCAATTGCAAAAGTGCCCTGAGCGCCAATGCCTCAGCCAGTACCACACGTCGGTGAAAGAGTGGGTCGAGCTAGGAGAGGGGATGGGAGGCCATAAGAAGAGAGTGGAGGAAAATGGCTCTGGTACCTATAGTAGTCCAACAAGCGCATGCTTCTCGCAAATTGTGTCTTCATCAGATTTGAATTCAGCAGATAAGAAAAAGTGGGTCGAGCGTCAGAAAACGACTCGATTTTTCACTCAATTTCTTGTTGAGTAAAAAATCGAGTGAAAAATCGAGTCGTCACTGATTAAACTGTTGCAATTTGCCACAGTACCCATTCAAAGTTTTCAAGAACATTTTCTTTCTGAGTTTTATCATAAAAGCAAACCAACGAGAAAAGGTTCGTACATTTTTTTTGCAAGTTCGATGGACGTTGACAAAAGAAATTTCAAAAGACAAACAACGCCCAAAAGTCAAAGTTCTTTCTTATATTTCCAGTAATTAAAATCCGTAAATTTTGATAACCACCTTCATTCGAAACCAAAAACGTGGAAATCTCATTCCTTGAAAAATAACTTCTTACGCTGCATTGCTTGAAAGATTTTGTTTGCTTTGTTTGATTCTAGAGGAGGGTTGTGTGTTGGACAGTCCAACATACGGCCCGCGGGCAAGATGTGAACACCCCTGTTATAGAGACTCAAAGTTTCACTTTTCTGCGTATTCCGCGTGTTCCACGTTATCCGCGGTTGCCGCGTTATCGAACTGGCCTAAGTTCTCCACCAGAAAACATGGCTCCAGGCAAATTTGTGTCATTAAATCGTATACTGAAACAGACTGACGCTCCAAAATCAGAAGACTTCACCGTTTCGGACTTTGATGAGAACCAGGAATTAGAAGATGGCGAGGTCCTTGTCAAGACGCTTTATTTGTCCGTCGATCCGTACATGAAATTCAGAATGATGGGAGAACCTGCGTTTCTGTCGCCATGGAAGGTTGGCGAGGCCTGCATTGGAGGCGGTGCTGGTATTGTTTTGGCAAGCAAATTCCCTGGACTGTCAGAGCAAGACCTTGTTGAATCTTTTGATTTTCAATGGAAAACGACTTTCAAGATCGACGGGAAGTTATTAAACAAGGTCAGCTAATTTTCTAGAATTCAATTGTCAATTGTATTGTTACAATCCAGTGAGAGGTCAAAGGACACCGTCGCCCCTGCAAAATGGAAACAGGGGCCCTATGGTGAAACTCCTATGTAATCAGGATCAGGCCCCTATTATTAAGTTCTACATACTGTTGTATTTGCCTATCAAGGACCACACCACAAGGTGTAGAACTGAAAGAGCTGCACTAGCATTTTGGAGTTATCAATAAAAAGGAGACCCAATAACTAAATTTTCATCGCGTCCTTGGAAGGCACATTGACGCTAATGCTGAAATTGTATCCAGCAAAAAACCTCGTAGTTTGCAGAGACCACGGAAGTGGGGGTCTGAGGTCGCTATACCCCCCCCCCATATATAATTTCCGAAACAATACTTTACACCATACAAAAAGTAGCCCTGCTATTGATTTTTAGCATGTTTAGCCCCCTCAATTCATAATCTGCGGTCCTTGCGTAGTGGAGGTACAGTAGTTTCTTGTGCTTCAGCTTTTTGTGCTTCTTGAATGAACATTTTAAAGTCTGTTGCAATGTTTTCGTCAACCATATTATCGATTTCATCCTGTCTAACTGGTTCAAAGATTTTAAATATTTTTTTTCTCTTTGCCCTTTCCTATAAAATCTTGGTTAATATCCTAATTTAATTAAAGTCTCGAAGAACGTTCACGTTTCCAATGTTTTCTCATAACAGTGTGTTGTTTTTAACAATGGCGTCGCTTGCCCTTCCAGACTGGGGGGGGGGGGGTGGAGGGTCATCAATAGAAAAATTTTCACCTACTGATAGATGATTTTACTGACAAGTTTTTTGCAAATACATTTGATAATTTTACATTGCGTGATTAGGTTGTGTAGAGCATCTGTCTCTTTTTTCGTGAAGTTAGGGTGCCATGGCAGTTCATAATTCGTATAAAAAGGAATCATTCATATCAATTTTTGAAGCTTGCACACGTTATGGTTGTGCATTTGCGCACTGATAAGAAGCTTGCGCAGGAGAAACCCTATGATGCCATGTAAAACTTCTGTATATTTTCAAAAACAATCTGAGGTTGGACCTGCTTGGAGAATCGAGTCTAGGAATTCTTTAAATATTCTGAACAATTCAACTCATCCTATGGCTGAACATATGGAACTACGGAAGCCCACAAACAAATATGGGCCCCAAGAATTTTTCTCATTTTAACAAAACAGAGCAGATTTTATCAGCTAGACAACTGTGCTGCTAAAAATGCCATACAAGATATTCAGTGATCTTAAAAATATTAGAAAAAACGTATAAGCAACGTTGGAATAATGACAGCAGTAACAGCACTCGTGCTTCAAACTCCCCAAAACATTTGAACATCAAGCCTCGGCAAAGGTTATCTGGTTCTTATAAAGAGTTGTATTTATATTTATATTGACTAAAAACATGTAGCACAACTAACCAAAGAAAGAACCGAAGGGCCTACCTGTTAGCAAAGTAGTACAGGACGAGCTTATGAAATTCCCAACAAACCTAGCTTGCGTCATAGACCATCACCACCAAGGAGGAGAGTGGTATGTATGGTACAACGGAGGCAAAGTTCGTGTTCTATGATTGTTCAAAGAGCTTGGGAAAATTAACTCACCGCATAAATTAATTCGTATAATTATAATTCAGTGTGTTATTTTGCTAATGGCGGCCTTGTCTCCTGGCATTCTCCTCCTTGGTGGTGATGGTTGGTGACGCAGGTTAAACAGACAGAGATTCTCCGATAAAAATACAACAGGGGATTGGTGAGGCCAAGATAAGATAGAGAACTATTAGTTCGTTACTTTATCTTTTTTAGGAGAACTTGAATGAGTAAAGCCTTGTTGTTTTTGTTTCTTATTGCTCTACCATTGTGGCTTATTACAACTCCATCTGTTTTCTAACACAGGTGCTTATTTATTTCTCCACCAGATCGAAAATGACGTCATCAAATCCAATTTGTCCCAATCTCTTGGTCTTCTTGGCCTGACAGGACTGTCATCATTGATTGGGTTGAAACTTTTGGGACATATAGAACCAGGAAAACGCCAAACCGCCGTCATCAGTGGTGCAGCAGGAGCATGTGGATCAGCTGCTGGTCAGGTACAAAATAATGAAATTGAGGCGTCTTGGCATAAGAAGATTATATCAGTTTAAATCACAGAGCAAAATGTAACACACAAACACGATATCTCAGCACTGGCACTGACAAGGCTGTGTATGCTAGTTTCATTAGCGTTGTTCTTTGCGGGATTAGAATTGTTTCTCATTCTCTACATGTTTAACATTTTAATTAGTAAAGTCTATTATAATTGAATCTGTTGAACCTACAAACATCAGCCTCTAAATTTACCCTTACAGCTGGCAAGAATAATGGGTGCCACGAATGTAGTTGGCATATGTGGTTCAGAAGCAAAGTGTAAATATCTAACAGAGGATCTTGGCTTCAATGCCACCGTCAACTACAAAACAGAAAATGTGGCTGCCTCCTTGAAAAAAGCTTGCCCTGGTGGTGTTGACACTTATTTTGATAACGTTGGGGGAGACATCAGTAATGATGTCATCAGGCTGATGAACCAAGATTCTCATGTTGTTGTGTGTGGTCAGATATCCACTTACAACAAAAAAAGTGCTGGTCTTCCAAAGGAAATTGAAGAAATACTGATATCAAGGAACGTAGCACGAGGCAATTTTGTCGTGCTAAATTATAAAGGTGAATAAATCTTCTTGAGCTTTAATTAGTTTTGACATCCACCTGAAGACCATAGAATTCAATAGCTTCCGTATTTTTTTAATGTTTTCTCTTTTTTTGCGAATATCTTTCTAGTGATATCAAATGATTTGAAGTGATGGACTTCAGTTCCCTTCTTTTAAAAAAATTTAATGTTACGTCAAAACACAGTTTAACAAAATTCGTGCACATACATACCTTCCTTCAAGCACAAGACTAAGGGCCCCTAAAAATATGGGCCCAAAGAGTTTCTTACTAGCATAGCAGCATTGAAATGGGCGTCAGAATTATTTGTTAGCAAGAATTATTTATAATCATGTAAGATATAGCATTTCAATTAGGTTTCTCTCTAATGCACACCTATATCGTTATAAAATCTTGTATTTAATTTACGAGGATATCACAGATATCTGAAATCTAATTGAATTGCCTCAGTGAAGCAGTTTTAAAAAGTTTATCTCTCAAGTCTGGTAATGTATTTCCAGACTTGAGAGATAAATTATATAATTTAAGTACATTGCTAATATATTGGCGTTAAAATAATTTTAGTTGGCGGACAACCAATGGATCACAAGTCGGTGCCCGAAATACCTTCTCTTTAGTCTTCATATAATATACGTCCTTGGCTTTTGTATCGATAAGACCTGAATCCATCCAGTGTTCAAGATACGAAGCTATAGACTACAACCATTGCAAATCATTTTCAAGTCGCAGTTCACCACCGCACCCTAACACAATGCCATGCCAACATAGTAAACTGCTCTTACTTTAGTTACTTTTAACGCTTGACCTTTTTTATAGCTGAATGGAAAGAAGGTTTGGACGCCCTTGCAAGCTGGTACAAAGAGGGAAAGATAAAGTCTCGTGAAACAGTTACTGAAGGGATTGAAAACATTGGGAAAGCTTTTGTGTCAATGATGGCAGGAGGAAACATAGGGAAACAAGTGGTCAAAGTTGCCTAGACGTAGTCATTCTAACTGTCTGAATAATTTGCTTCCATCATGATTTATATTATGTAAATCCTTGCTGCCAGTGTCATTCTCCATCTGATTCTAGATCTGACAATGAATTGATTAGCTGCAACGTACTAGTTTAGTGTCATGGAACTTGATAGAACATTGAAATAAGCATATAAATTTTTCTCACATTGAGTCCTCTTGTTTAATTAAAGTTATATGATTGCTGCTGGCAAGTCGTTGGCTACCATAATAGTTTCTGCAAATCTCGTTTTTCTGCTGCTATCTAAGATTTGTGTGACGAATGTAAGTCTTGCTAAGTCTTGTTTTTGGCCTACTCACTCTAACGCAAACCGAAAAAGTGGAATGTGTCGAAAAACCCAAAGTATAAGGTCACTAGCAACTGAATAACATTGGCCAGTATTGAAATATATAGAATAACATATCTCGTTTTTATAACAGACCTTTTTTGGTTTAACTAAACCAGTTCTTTGCAGCAACTGAATAAATTTGAACAGTACAATTTTGAACAATGTTCTTGTGTTAAAAGTACTCAACAACGAAATTCGTTATTTCTATATGGAATAAGTGTGATGCACAAACAATTATTCTAACATCAGAGTCGTAGTAACATAATCACACCGCATCAAAGGGGCAGACAAATATGCGCTGGATGAGCACTGCTCCCCAGAAAAGTTTCAAGGCCTTTTCTTTGGTTCTCCTGGCGTCCTGTGTGCTGATGCCCACAATGGCAACGTTACTGATGCCTGCCCTTACAGTTCTGGGAAAATTCAGACAAAAGTTTCTAAAACTTTTGGCTTATGCAAACGATTTACTGTTTCTCGGACACTTATTTGAGCAAAATAAGACTTATTGTGGTTCTCACTGTGTTTCACATAACAAGCTGTTGCGCTGTTCGAAATCTTTTTCAACATCTATTGATTGCATTCTTTTGTGAAAACGCATACATATTCTGAAAACTGTAAACCGTTGCCAAATTCGCACCGCATGATGCAAGCGGCACATTATTCTGAAGCCGCAATCTGCAGAAAGAAGGAAGGTACTGGATAGGCCGTCCGCCGGATTTTATGATTCTTACGATCATTATTATCAACGAACGATAGTTGGCAACAACACAAAGCGACGAAGAAAATTTCAATGCGAATGAAATATAATTTGAAGAGCCAAAATTTCAAAGCAAAATTTATCTGACATCCCCTGCGGCACACGGGGCCTCATTTGAGTGGCATTATAGACGTTTTTGATCATCTAACCGTAAAAAAGATCAATGAGAAAGTGAATACATATTCTGGTTCTTAATCACAAGTCCTACCCCATTACAAAAATGAAAAGTGAGGAGCCTGAATTTTTGTGTGGGAGAAAGAGGGTCCCAACACAGCCCCTACCCTGGTCAGCTCCTTGTTTGCATCACCTTTATAGCTCATACCCAGTCTTCTATTCCAACGCGGTAAACAACGGTTGCCTACGAGAGAAATCGAATGTGAGCAAATGAAAACAGTTGATAAACGGGTTTTGTGAGCAGTTAGTTGTTCACCGAAAAGTCATGCTTGCTCGCACTAATGTGTTATCTTTGAACCTTATCAGATGAACTGATTATGGAGAGGAAGGCCCGGAACTCTAAAGGAGTAAATGGGCACATGGAGTTTTCCGAAAATGACGAGCAAATGAGTTCAGACGACGAAGAAAGTTCTTCTTCCCAATATGGCCTAACACACCCTCTTGCCTTGTCAGGAAGTTTGTACTCCAGAATACACGAAGATGTTCTCTTCAGAATACCAAGCATTGATCTTAGCTCGGCAGAGGTGAGGTCTTAATTTCTTATCCGGGCTCAGTTTTACTGCGGGTAGAATTTCAGGAAGTGTCTCTTTAAAAGCATCTGGTACTGATGATAGAGTAGCAGTTAATTGACCAACTAAGTTACGAATGGAAGTCGCTGATAGAAGGGGTGATTAGAAGATGTCGACATGTTTCATTTTAAATATTTACCTACGCTACTTAAGCCTGGAATAAGTTTACTCGTAAACAGTCTGTAATTGTTTCGCTATACACAATATTTTGACCGTATTCAATATCGAACAGGTCGCCGTATGCAATATTCTATTGATATTGGTGTATGCAACAAGTTCTTTCAACAGTCGCTTTAGTTCTTTGCAGTAAGAACTGAAATTCTAAGCAATTTGCAGTGTTTAGCATTGTTCATGACTGTTGTAGATTTGATGCGATATGTTGATTTTCTTTGTAGGGTCAAATGTTATAGTATGAACAATTTTAGCAACGTTTAGATTAGGCGATAGCCTTTATGTCTCAAATATTTAGCTTGAACGCTCTCGCGTCTTTGTATAACTATAACTGTGCTAAAGACAAAGAGCCTGTCACAGATCTTTGAAGTGACTTCACCCTGGACAGACCATTATACTGACAGACCACTCATGTCAAGCAAAACTCTGAATAATAATAAGTGTAACACCCAACTGATAGATAGTGGATGCAGAAAAATAGTCTTTCCTGGGAAAAGCCACTCCATAATCATCGTATTTTCTCAAAAAGATAATGTTGTTGTCTTAATTTAAACTATTGAAAGAATGTCTTTTTTACAAACATAAAATTTCTTCTCTCCAAATAAACTGTCCAGATGATTCTTGAATGAATTTAGCGTGTCTGCATTTACAATGTTAGATGGTAGCTTATTCCATAAAGTGTTGATCCTCAAGCTGAAAAACCTCTTCCTTACCTCTTTTCTGCAGTGCTCTTTAACAATTTTTAAGTTGTATAAATTTCGAATTTGTATCATTTGCTGAAACATTTAGAAACTATCCATTTTGATTTTTTTCAAAAAGCAGTTGATAACTTAAGGTGAACTTGTGTACTTCATATGAACTCAACTTGTGTATTTCTACAAATTTATACTTTTTAAAGATCATTTTATTGTTTAATTTTAAAATGAAATATTTTAAACTACAAAGAAACGCAATCTTGCTTTACAGTTTAAAAGGGTTTCTTTATTATTCAGAGCAACTTCCACAGCTCCAGATTCTCACCAGATTTATAATGCTGAAGATCAAAAGCATCTAATAAAATTTGTTTGTCTTTTGGCACTCTCATCACTATATAATTCCCCTGCCCTGTCTATTATCAACATAAATATTGGTGAAAAACAAGGGCTTTTTAACATAGTATCTAGGTGGCAATTGCTCCACCAGCCCCATGACTTTCTATTTTTCAAAACAATAGGCTATCACCCTCTTCTTTATACAAACAAAGGCTTGACTCCCAGTTGATTTCCCTTAAAAGATGTTGTTACCATTAGGTACAGATACCTTTTACCAAATCATATTTTGGTAATCAAACACCAATTTCTGAAATAATCAGTGTCTTTTGATGCTAAAAACCAATCAGTAATTGTTCTGATTGTCTTGTCTTTGTAGCACACTATTTGGTGAGCTGAAATTGATTTTATTTGACATTCTTATAGGTTACTTTATTTACCTTAAAGTGTCTGTTTCTTATATTAGCACATTTACCTCTTTGTTTCCAGCAAGTTCCATTTATAGTTTGTGCCATTTCAAGCCATTAAATAACTGTTAATTAGTTTTTTGACTAACCTCTTGTACTGTTTGAGATCTTTATATATATTTGAGTCCTCATAGTGAGTAATGATACTTGTCAAAATATATATCTTGCTTTTGGTTGTTGCATGAAACTTTGATACGTTGCACTTCTTCTTAAATAGGTTGATCAAGATGAAGATCATCTGAGTGTGGATGAAACAGAATTAGTGGTTCCTCCAAATAAAGAGGTAAAGAAATTTCAGTTATGCCATAGATTGTAAACTTGGTTAACATTGTTATATTTTCTAGAAGGGCTATCTAATGTCATGGTCCTAAGTTCACATTATTTTTTCATGTAAGTAAGTTAATTGGTTGTCAAGGAAACATAAGGAGATAAAGCTGCTCACTTTGCTTTAGCAAGTAACATGATTAGCCATCCATCAATCATAATGCGTGACCAAATAATCTATATCTTTCCTCTAAAGAGTAATTAGATGGGCCTAGACAGGAATGAAATATGAATCAATCCAATTGCCTCCATGCTACTAAATTACAGCCAAATATGTGACAGATTGCAAACTTTTACATGCATTATCCCTGTCAATGAAAATTCTAATTTATGATCAAATATGACTTGGACAATGTATTGAAACAATTCAACCACTTTATTGATAATAGCAATTTAAAGGCAAAGAATCCTGGTTAACAAGCACCTTCTGCTTGGGGTGAACTACTTTTGGCATTATCATTATACTTTCACATGATCTCAGAAACCATCCATTTGTGTGATTTCATTTCATCAATCTCTGGCCCAGCAATAATATGCAGGATGTAAATTTTAACCTTGCTGGTCTAATAGTCATACATTATCAAATGTATGCATTTTGGAAAATTTACAGCATCAGCATCCGGTGATGAAGGCTCAAGTTTTATCAGGATGGCTCATTGAAAGCCTCAAATAAGCCTTTATTAATTTTAAAATCTGCTCTCATAATAGAAAACTTCGCTTTTTACGTTTTATATAGCCAGATTTTACCACACCGTAAGTCTAACAAAAAACAACAGTCTGAAATATTCATTTGTCAATTCCAATCTAAACATCTTATTCCTTCAAAGGATTAACTTCTAGCTTTGTTTTCTGTCTCTTGTTTTGTCTTCATTATTCAGCTAATGAGTCTAGAATACAAAGTGAAAATATAAGTTTAGACTGATGATCAAAGATATTGTTGGTAATTTAAAGTAGGAGCCACATATAAGTCAATGTTTGAAATACTTTGTTAACAATCATTTGGTGAAGTTAATGCTTTAATTTCCAATTATTCAGTAGTCTAGAGTATTGTCTTTAGAACTTTAGGTGTTGATTAGTCAAGTTTCTGTCATCAAATACATCTTTACCTATCTTTTTACCCCAGGACTCAAATTGTTGTTTGCATATGGTCCCTGATGTAAATGGAACACCAGACCTCAAAACCATAAAAGAAAATGGGCACTTAAAAGATGAATGTGAGTTTGATTGTTTTTATTCCATGATTGAAGGTTTTTTTCAAATTTTTCTTTATGCTTAGTAACTACAACAAGGCAATTGCTTTTATTCTTGGAAATCTTGACATTGAAATTTTAAGTCTTTCAACTGGATACTTCCCGTTCTTTCGATAAAAAAATGGAGAATTATTCTGAAAACAATCAAAGAAGTTTATATTATCATTAGTATTATAGTGTATTATAGTTGAATCAAAACAAACAAACAAACAAATGTTTTCATAAAATTTCTTGTCTGCATCATGGTGCTATTAAGGTCAATCAAGATCAGACTAAGACTCCTTGCTAGTTAAATCTACTTCATATTCTTAGGTGCAGTGACTACCGAAGAGGACTTGGTTACCAATTCAGTTAGACAGTTACATGAAATTAATTCACAGATGCCTACTTGCAGAAGCCAGGTTGTTGAATTAAATTTCAAAGAAAAAGATTTTAAAACATCCAAAAACTGCTCTGAAGTAACTAATGTTGATAGTATTGAAAGGAACACAATTACGGATCATGAGCAAGTCTTGAACAGAAGAAGAAATAGAGTTATCAGTTCCAATGATTGGTCTACTGATAACAATAATGAATTAGATTATGAATCCAATGTATTGAAAACGATTCTTGATGAAAAAATTAATGATGAGAACTTGGACAAGGTCCTTGTGGCATTGGACAGTGGATCAAACACGTTTCAAAGAAGAGAAACAGCACTTGCTAGTGGCCCTATGATGGTTAATGAAAGAGCAGGAAAAGATGATACAGAAGTACCATTAATAGATAGGCTTTCATCATTTGCACTCAACGAGAAGAGTTCAATTGGTGAAGCCAATAGCATGTTGAAGCATCTTTCTAGTAATTGTTCAAATGTCGAGAGGAATGAGGGTAAAAGAAATATCGAAGGTATCCAAAGATCAGCAGCTGCCGAACCTGCAAAAATGACCTCAAGGGGTGTTACCACTCAGAGCAGAGACATTGAACAAGGCACAACAATTTTCTTAGACTTAAGAGGCTCGTCAAGTGCTGCATCACCGAAGGTATTGTTAATGCCCAACTCTGTAGTAGATTTTTTGCTGATTTTATTTTTTCTTTTAATTATTAATTATTTCTTCTGGCAAACAAGCCTAGAACATAAAATGCAGAGGGCCAAATGATTTTATAGCTATGCAGACGCTCAATTTCAGTCGATTTCATCGGTGCCATCCGTCTTGGAAAACAGCTCATTATGACTCTGAATAAATTTTTTTGTCTGGTGTGTTTTTATTCCCTCATGTAATCGAATAGCTTTAAAACTCCATCAAGAATAGCATATTTTAGGTATGCATTTTCAAGGTTGACAAAGGAGTGATAATTTTCTACTTATAACAGCTTACATATGGAAATATACTATCTTTATGATTAAGAGTCAAGTTGAGGCACTTCTCGCACAGTCTATTAACCTATCTTAAGCGAAATGACAGTCTAGACCGCAGAAGACCTTATTATCTTGAGGTCTATTAAATGGCACCATTGATTCGCATTTTTTGATTTGCTTCCAATGAATATTTTAGGTCTACGCAAAAGTTAGGCAAAAACACAAGAACATACCTTTGTCCAAGGGCGGTCTCATTAGGAAATTAGAAAAGAAATATTAATTTTCAATTTTCCTGTTAACGATTCTTTTTTACATAAGGAGTCAGTCGTAACAATCATTTTATTAAAGAAGTACTCGTAATTTCCTCCAGAAGGCTAGATTGTGTATAGTGGTATAATTTTTTCGCAATGTCGCATTTATTTATTTTTCAATTTTGATAAGATGAATTCTCTGCAATCATTTAGGATTCTCAAGCAGCTGCCGATGTTCATGGACATTTAAATGAAAGGTTTGTATTTACAGGCTCTTTTACTAAAGGTCTGCTCGGGGGTGTCATGGCAACATACAGGGGCAAGGGGGCAGGAGGCAGGTGGCTGTCAGAGCATGATCCTAGTGTTAACTGTGTCTTTTGTCAGATTAATTATATTTGTTTGCTTTTCAAGATATTTGTTTGCAAATGATTGGGGAACGGATTCCGGTTCTGCCTTTTGGTTATCATACACAAATTTTGTCGCATAAGCAAACATTGCCACTCCCTACTTTTATAAGCATTGTCTTTTCCAAAACCTTCGTAAGCCACACCGAAATTTTACACGTGTTTTTGTCAAAAATTTGGCCATCTCTGCCCTCACTACGAAAATAAACCCACGAGATCTTTTGGTCTGCTTAAAGCTTCGATTATTACAAATTTTTAAAATGTTCTTTCTGAATTGCATCCCATTTTTCACTTGAACTGATTTATTCCAATGTTCATTGATCAAATTCGTGTAAATTGCTTAGTTCAGGCAACAGTGAGATAATAACTTTAAGGCAATACTCTAAATAAAAAATATTGTGTGACTTATATGGTATTCTGATCAAAACAAGTTCTGCAATCTTAAGTTTGTTTTGCAATATGTCAATAACTGCAAGAGCTTTGATAAAACGCAACACAAGTTTTTTAAAGCAAGAAATATGATCTTGAAAAGGTCCTCATGGCTAACAACTTGAATTGCTGCTAAGAACTTTAATGTTCAATTGATTCTCATTGTTACTTTAATTTGCCATTATACTATTTACCCGCAAATGATACAGCTTAGACTAGGAATATTTGTATTTTGGTTTTCAACCAACAAATTGAATCAGCCTTGGGTAATTCTTTTTTGTTTATTCCAAAAGGATTCATATTTCATATTAAAAAGCATTTTGTTGTATAGCACTTTGTGTGAAATCGCTATTCTTTAGTTCATCAGGCTCGGATGAAGAAGACTGGAACCAAATGAGAAGAAACATCAAAGCTGGAATTTTTAAGACAGATGCTACGAAACAGGAAGGCCAACAGGATCACAACAGAGAAGGAGGAAATTTCGAAAGTGTGATTCACGATCGACTGTCAAAGCGGACATATAAACGGCTATTGGATGAGGGGCGTATCAAGGAAAATACAGTATCGACAAGTCGGTTGGATTCACGTTTTAGCATGGACGATGGGGTAACGACTTTACCAGTATCAAAAAAGGCTGGAAAACCTACATTTGATTTAGAACCACTAGAAGAGAAAATCAAAAGCTGGCATCAAGTCAGAGACTCTGGTGGAAATGCCGTTGTTAATGCTGTATTGCGGGGTAACGATAAGCCAGGTTCGAAGATTGAAACAGAGACTAGCGGAGTTGAGCCACATGACCATGTGGACTCAGCATTTGTTGTTGCAACGAACAGTGCTAATCCTCAGGATATTGCAAATGCGAAAGAATCATCGAAAAGAGGAAACAATAAGAATGAGAGTGTAGGGATAGGACCAGAAATGCCTCTTCTAGGAAATTCGCTAGATGGTTGCAATAAAAGGGTTACTGTAGATACATCATTGTTGATGTTGGAGAAGGTAGGAATAGAGGCTGACAAGCAAGAGAAGAGTCTGCTAATTGTTAATGGGGACAACATCGCGGGTGATAAGTACTTTGAAAGTAAAGCTTCAGTTGTTTCTATTAAAGAAAACCCAGATGACAAAGTTTCTTCCCCTTGTTGTATAGAGGAATTGCCAGATAAGATAAGAATAACTGATAATCTGATGGTAATAAAAGCTGATATTTCTGCAAAGTGCAACAGCACTGTTGATGAATTTCTGCCCGAAGATTTGTTGGAAACGCCCACTGAATACTGCAATGAACATAATGCAAAGAACGCGATTAGAATTGAAGCAGAAAAATGCTGCGAAGCTGATGCTTCTGCGCAGGCAGAAAATGAAAGGTCACATTGTGTTGACAATGAGAACCCCCCGTCTGGCTTTACTCGGATTCTCTCTCTTGAGCAAGTGGAAAAGGATTTGATATCTGATTCCAAAAGTAGCAAATTCGAAAAGAGGGCAGATTTTGAGAATGAGGTTGAAAAAGTACCCGAGAATTGTGAACTTGAAATGAAAACATTTTCTGTGGAAGAAAATACGAGCGAAAATGAAGTAAGCTTTTGCCCTGAAGATATGATCGAATTGAGCAGTACATTGAAAGGTTTACTTCCGCAGTACATAGGGAAAATGCAAAGGACTCCTTTGAGATATGCAACAAGTATGGATGCCTACCGAGAAAAAAGCTTTGAAGATGTCACTGGGGAAGAGACACCGATGATTACGAGGCAAGACAATACCACAAAAGTAGTATCTTCAGACTCAGTGCGAGGTAAAAGTGGGAGTGTCAAGGTGGAATTACCAGTTAAGGATGATATTGTGGATAAAGTGAAGGGCGAGTGTCTTACAAGAAAGTCTTTGGATCCCCCTGAAAACATTTCTTTAGCCGAACAGGCCACAAATTCTAAGGGTAAAAAGAAGTCCAAGAAAAAGAGTAAGAAATGTAATGAACAAGGTGACGAACGATACGCAGTTGAAAATAAGTCTTTAGATAAAGACAGTTCTTTGCCTGAAAAGACAGGTTATAGCTCCAAGCAGCTAAAATCTTCGAAATCTTTGGATAGTGAACAGAAGAATGGTAAAAGACAGTCCAATGGATTGAAAGAGAGTGAACGACAGCTAGTCAAAGAGAAGATCAAGAATTTGCAAGACGAATTCGGTATTTCGAATGTGATTTTTAATGAGGTGTGTTTGTCTCTTTTTTCTGTTAATGACATTTTGAGCAAGAGCAAGGAACTCTTGTGTGTGACGTCAGACTTCGTTCGTGACAACAAAGCCGATTTCAATCCACATTTAGTCAGAGTTGCAAAAGGTTCTTCACGGCTGCAATTTATGGCTTAAAGCTTCCTCGTTTTAACACTGTAAAATTACTGTAAAACAGCTGGGCATTGTTCTGTATGAGACAAAATCATTTGATTAAGGCCTTCCTGTGTTATTTTTCGGTTTTATCGCAGCATTAGGGCTCTTCACATTTTTATTAATTAATTTTCCTAACACACATCAACATTTCTTCACAGATTTTCTTTATTTTCTTGTATTACCTGTGAAGTCTGATTTTCCAAAATTAAAAAAAAATTGTTTTTTATCAATTAAAACCTTTTTAGTCTAACCTTCACAAACCAGGTTTTTAGAGTTTTGTATCTCTCGTTCGGATAAATACGTATATATATTACCTTCACATTTTCAATCATTATTCTGATATTTATACCCAGAAGAGTGTCAAAGGAAAGCTTTAGTTTGACTAAAAATGCATTTTAATGGACTTTCTTTAATGGCTAGCTGATAGTATTTCAACTTCTAAGTTATCACATGCATGACTCCACTATCCTAAACTTCTTGGTCCCTTCGGCTGTTTTTCATTGTGATGTCAGTGCTTATAAATCTAGCATGAATCTTAAAGATGCCACACTCTTCCTAGATCTTTATTGTAAGTTATGAGAAGAAATATATTAAGCTTGCTCTTATTAAATCTTTATGAGTTATTTGTCATATTTCTACAGGATGTGTCCTTCAACCTGCCATTTGAACCCCTGCCCAGCACTTGTAAAGATGCAGCTAAATTGTTGCTCAAGGTTTCCATTGAAACGCCGGGTGTTTGCAGCAAATCCTGCGCGAAGAACTCTTTGACCTTCGATGAAAGATCGGATGCGTTCATTGGACTATGTACACTTTTTATATCGCTGCTGCTTGGCAATAAATTCAAGGTCGCAGAGACACTTGGTGTACCGTTCGATGTCATTTCTCTGGAACAGGCATCCATCGATTCAGAGCTTCAACTAGTAGTGGGTATTATCGAGAACGAGGTTTATATCCAACCTAATCAGCAGCTCAAGCGAGGCAAACCGCCAAAAGTAAAGAAGAATTTCTACCAAGTTGTTTCGCAGTTTTTGAATAAAGCAGACTTGGAGCAGTTGCTGTCAAGCCTGATGGGGTTTGATATCGCCGAAAGGCCGTACGTTTCCAATGTCTCTTGTCCAGGCACAAAAAGACTGTCTAGTTATGTAAGCGTTTCCCAAGACGATTCTGCCGTAGCAAGAATATTTAACTTAAAACCATCGTTATTGTGGAATTGCGTGGAGCATAATGAGGAGCCCCTTAACGATGACATTTGCTGGATAACAAAGCAGAGCACACGAAATGAGAACACTTGTGTTTTAATTGAAAACGTCACTTCGATGCTCCCAAAAACAATTGCGACATTCTTTAAGACAATCCGCACCAACAGCCTCGATGTTTCTGGTCTTAGAATTGCATACGTAAAGAAAAAAGGTGCGTATTTTGTTTTTTTCTATTATTTGAACACTCCTTTGTTAACATTCCAGCAGCTGTCCCTCATATTTTGAAGACATTCATATGCTACCTTTCAAGCACCGAACACCGTAGAACACCGTAGACACATAGACGTAGTGAGAAAAAAGAGCTCTGAAATATTTTTTGCAGTTTTTAAGATTACTTTAGCAGCCTCTTGCTGTTTTTCAGTAATCCTTTACTCACTACTAAAAAATCTTTCGAAAGACTGATTTCTCTCATCAACAAACGTACAAGAACCATCACTATTATGACGACGTTTCTCCAACAAGAAACAAGGTAAAAATCGCTCTACATTACCCAAGAGCAATATTTCTTTGCAAGTTTTCCCCATAAGTTGCCTACTCGATCTATTTCAGTTAGAAGTGAAGACGTAAAAGCCGATGGAAAGGCAGGAGACTGTGCACAACCCCCTCCTCGGGATTTAGCAAGTGCCCTTTCAGGAGGAGTAAGTGCTCCTTACTGTCACGCCCTTTTTGTCAGAACGTCAATTTGACTGTTCACCATGATTTGTGCAGGGGTGGTTCCGTATCCTAATAGTCAGACCCTGAGGGCCTGGTTGTGGATGTGACCACACCCATTAGAGGAACAGCTGTAAGTATACTTTCAGCTGATAGCAAGTTATCAGCCACTTGATTTACAGATATTTCTGGTAAAAGAAGGAAACAAAGTAGAAATAATATTATCGAAATTCATCTTCTCAAACTTTGGTGAAAGGCCCATAAATTTTTCTTTTGCATTTAAAACAAAGGGCGATCACTAATTTGCCACCCGAGTCAGTCTGCGATTGTTTAAGTGCCCTTCCAAAAGTCGTGCTCCCTCAAAATATACCGTAAATCCTCGAATTGGCCCTCCCTCGAAAAAGCCCAGGCCCCTTCCTCCGCGAATAAGCCCCCACCCTAGAACTACAAGTTGTCAATAAGCCGCCCTAGAATAAGCCCCCACTGCTACCCTAGATCCTCGAATTGGCCCACTCTCGATTTGTTGATTGTTGCCATCTGGGGTTTCCATAAAATACATGGTGTCTTTTAACAATGTCTTCTTGGTGTTTACTACAATTTTATAAGCCCTCTTCGTATAAGCCCCCCTCGAATATCCCCCATCCAAAAATATGAAAGAAAAATAAACCCCCAGGGGGCTTATTCGAAGATTTACGGTATGTGTTCCCTACGTCCCTGTCCAGCGTCTTTAAGCCCGAAGTTTCGTCTATGTCCTAGTCTATTTGCTATAAGTCTTTAAGATATTGCAAAAGCTTTTAAAATATTTTTTTGTTTTCCTGGAGCTTTCGGTCAGCAGAGGAAAGGTGTTTGATTTTGTCAAAAAGCTTTTAGAAAGTTATGATTAAAGAATTATAGTTATTCCTAAAACGTTTATTGTCAAATATCAGACAGGCAAAGTGAGTTGATTTTAGTTTCTTCATTTAAAGTTGGTACAATTTCTAGCTATGCATACTCAGGCTAATTAAAATCAACTAATTTAAATTACCAACGCTAAATATAATATAAATCAAATATAACCGATGTTGCTAACACATTTTTTGCAAAAATTACAAGTACAATTAAACGATGTAAATTCTGAGATTTTTTCTTGAATATTTTTAAAGTAAGGGAGTACTTTATCTCGTTTGGAACTGTGTTCCATATTTGGCTACATCTGTATGATACGGTATTAAATCCGTACATTTTGTAATGTGGCTCCGCTGTTTTGAATTGGGAGTCTCTTAAGTGATATGGGCCTTCATTTATGGAAAATATTTCATCCATAACAGGTAGATTCAAACTGTTAAATGTTTTGTAAATTTCTATCACAAGATATTGTAAATTTTTCTTATGAGAAGTTATTGTTTTATTCTTTATTCAAAGTTATTCAAAATTGATTCATAATCAGCATGAGCTATTCTCATTGCTCTTTCATGAATCCGGTTTATCCGTCTATTACTTTTCTTACTGCAAAACATCCAAAATAGAGGACAATAATTGAAATATGGTAATAGGAACGTTTTTCATTAAAAGAATTCACTTAGATTCGTCCATATACGAAGCAATCCTGGCTAGAGCGTTTACCTTTTTCTCGGCTTCTTTACAAAAAACTTTAATATGTTCTTCTGAACTAAGTTGATGGTCTAGTGTTACTCCAAAAAGTTTAACATTCTTACTTTCTATTATAGTAGAACCATTTATTTGAATTTTAGATTCCTCTAAATTGGATCGATTGGCTTCAAAAGTTATAAGCTTGCTTTTATCGCCATTGAGCACCAAAACGTTTTCATAAAACCATTCATTAAGAATAGCTGCTTCCGATTCTAAAACGTTAGTTAGTTCGTTCATACCAGTTGCTTTTGTTCAAATGCAGAAAAATATCGTTTATGTAAATATTGAAAAGCAACGGGCTTAAGATTGATCCTTGAGGAACTCCTTGCTTTGTTTCCATCCAATCACTAAAATCTGAGTTTATTTTTACTCGTTGTACTCTTTTATCTAGATAACTATACATAAATTCCATTGCGTTGTTGCTGAAGCCATAAAATTTCTATTTGGCTAGTAGAAGTATATGGGGTAAACAATCAAATGCTTTTGATAAATCCATAAGCACTGCACCACTGCACCAGCCACATCTTTTTTATCCAGGCATTTTTCAGGCCTTCAATAAGTCGTAATAAAGAGTGATGTGTGCTATAACCTTTTCTGAATTCACAAAGCAAAGGGAACATTTTGACACCGATATAGTTGTAGATTTGATTGAACGTTGTTCTCTCAAGTATCTTAGAAGCTGAGGGGAGCACACTTATTGGTCTATAATTCTTTTTACTAGTTGAATCTCCTATTTTGAAAATAGGGCACACATTAGCCATCAGATAGAGATCGATTGAATATTTCAGCTAGTGATCTAGAGACAACGTCTATTGCCATTTTAAGACCTTTTGGGGGATGTTATCGGCTCCTGTTGATTTGTCTTCCTCTAGCTTGTAAATTATCTCTCTGACCTCCTTGGAAGATACATTTTCAAAGTTAAACCTAGGAAATTGACCAAACGTTTCCTTGATTTTTCAAATACTAAGGTGGTTTTTAAAGCATTTCAATTGATCTAATAGTAACGAGGCTGTCCTTTCGTCAGACGTCTATTGCACATTATCAGATGAAGGTCGGGCTTTATTAAGGATTTCAGTAATATTTAGGAAGTGATTATTCAACGTTTGTGCTACTGTTTTGCTGTCAGACAGGATTTTATCGTTCTCTGAAATATGCAATCTGTTGGTCATTAGTGTTTACTTATTGCGAGATCAAACCTACTTAATTCTAACAAAGTGTGAATGACCTTATTTTCTGGAATACAGCGGTTTCCGGTCCGATATTCACTCCTCAATGAAGTGCAATTATATGGCAGCCGGCTCGTGCTGTGTTTGATTGCAACACTTCTCATGTTTTGGATGCCAGTTTTCATCAAATTTTTATGACATGACCTCATTAACTGATTTCTGATCGGTAATATAATTGGTAAACATATTGGAATGGTAACATCGTTTTAAGCTTTTAAGCCTTTTTCGGTAATGAATCTACGGTTTTTATTAACTGGGCAATGTTTATTGATATTTTGTTTGGAAACCATCCATTTTGGAATCCATAAGCCCTTTCATTACATAGCCTAGATAAAACAAAAACATTTTCATGACAGCAACAAGCTTTTTAAGGCAATTCTACGTTTTGCATTCTACATGCAATGCACTTCCTTTTTAAGAACCAGTAAATTGAAGTTCAGGCTGGCTGTTCCTATTTTTTTCCAAAATCTGAGGTTGGATTATTCTTAATTTGTTCATGAATTATTCCGGTGTAAGAAGTGCAATTGCTAGCTAGGGTTATGTTCAGGTCTCGTTTGTCAACAAAGTGAATGAGACATCCTCTATTTGCCGACGAGTTTTAAAATGCATCCCTAGATAGCAAAAAATGTTTTTGAGCTGAAAAATTGTTCAAAAATTTCATTTTACAGTAGCTGAACCTCAGCTTGTTTTTTTTGTTCTTTGTTTTTCTGTTTGTTAACTTTTGACCAATTTTGATGCTTGTGTTTTTATAAAATTGTTCTTAGAAAGAAAGTAATGCTTTATTGAGCTTGTGTTCTGTGTTTAGTCGTAATAATGATTAAGAACCAAGTTAGACACACTGTTGTTGTAAGTCTTCCACACTGTTGCTAAAACCACAATAGTATCCTGGCATGAGATCTAAGTGACCTGACTCTGTGGATCCATTCTAGCTTTACGTCGTTTCCTACAGATTCGTCACAGGCTAAAAAACAAAATAGGGCTCTTGACAATTGTCTTTGAAACGTTAAGTAGGACCGTGTTTGTTTTTCTCTTACAAACACGAGCGCAAAGCTCCTGGTTGCAATTAAAAATTTCTAAAGAAAGACAACACTTGCAATGCTATTTTTTGTTTGTTTTTAGGCTTGCAGTTATCCAAGTGTCCATGATAGGTCGATGATCTTTTGACCGATACCCCGTTTTTCATGTTTCATTTATGCCTGGCTTTCTTTCGTCAGTGTTTCTAGTGATATGAGTGTCTGATCGGTTTGAAGATTCCGTTTTGTTATTAAGATTCCTGAGGGACCTTGATCGATTGAATGGTCAGCTAACAGCGTTTTATTTGCTCTAAGTTTGTATTTGATGAAATGACTGTTAATTTTTCAAGCTTTCTAGTTTCATGTTTTGTCTTTCAGATGACAAAGAGGTCCCATTTTTGGCAGCAGCACTGCGTGGTCCAAATGTTACCACTGTCAATTCTGGTAAGAGCTTTACCTCCAACACAGAGGAGCTTGCCACCATCAAGTCAGTATTCATGCCAAGCGTCGATTCTTCTCTTACAGATGGACCACGGGAAGTTAATGTTTCTTTACCTCACGGAATGAAGTCCTTCGAAACGTCTGTTGAGGACCCTTTAATAACGTATACGATAGGGCGCGGACGCGGTGAACGGGAAGTGGTTAACTGGTTTGGAAGGAGAATTCGTCAGGCAGCTGACGTGGACACAAAACCAGGTCAACCGTTGCAAGGGACGAAGTCGCGGCACTCCAGTCTACCAGAAAAGCTTGATCTGCTTTCACGGGCCGCGGCTAGTGCTAGTCTGTTGTCTGTTGTCTCTGAGCGAGTCGTACTAACAATTTCGCCACTGGTACCAACAGTGTTTATATCCATAGCTATGACATTGGGAGAATCGCGCGGCCTTCGTGCGCTTGCCGCTGGCAAGGTGTTGTTAAACGAGGACGATTTCTCAGCCATGGGCCTAAAACTGGACAATAGTGAATCAAAAGTATCTAGGCTCAATTTCAGCGTAATGATTATACTTTTCGAAGGGGAGAGTGCGTTGCACAGAGTTTATGGATTCAAACAGCATTTATTTGATACTCTCAATGAAAAGCTGCCGCGTGATGCTCTGACTAAAGATGCATTAACGCAGCGGCTCAACGGATTTATCCGTTATGAGCGTATAAAGGAAGAGCGTAGTATAGATGAATTTTTCGCTGTTAAACAGGTTAATAAACGAACTGTAAAAATCCTAGATGCTATGACTACGCCAAATTTATCTCAATTTGGCTGCGAGGTTATAGGCAGATTGCCAGCAAAATGGAACTTCTACTTGTCTCCGGAGATGCCGCGAATTTGTACGGTAGTTTTTGTCGGTAAGCCAATGGTAGAGACATTCCCGCAAGCTTTGGGTGAGCTGCTCGAGGACTGTGTTGATGACCCTTTATGTATAAATAAGCGGGCTACGACTGACAAGATGTATAGGCAACAGGAGAGACCCATTGGAGAAGTCATTGGCCTCAAGTACTTCAAGGGGTTAACCAGACATTTAGCTCACATTTGTAGCCCACACGTTATTGGTGCAAAAAACTGGAATGAGGTTATTGCCAATCTTGAAATTGGCCCAGTTGTTGTCGTTGTGTTGAGGCTTTTAGACACGATAAAATACTTAGAAGAAAAGCGTGACAAAATTTACCGCAATACATCCAAACTTCTGAATTCAAACAAACTGAAATGCCCCCCTGATTCATATCACAACACATTCATACACACAGGACTTGATACGGTTTTCCGGGTGCTACTTGACATGTTCAATGGCGAGGAACTAATGCCTGATGCTTGTCACACGTGGTATCAGTCAACCCAGTGGCCTGTATATTTGCCTATACATCATAAATTCGTTCACGAGATTGATTCATTACTCGGTATATTGACCAACGCGAATCAACAGGATGCCTTCAGGGACAGCAAAGAATCAACAAAATCAATGCAACAAAATAGCTGTGAAATGAAGATAATATCTCCTACATCACTTAGCATTCCAGCAGAGTTGATTCTGGGAAAACAGTGTGAGCTTTCTTTTATCAGATTCGATACTGATTGCAACTACGTGAAGTACGTCGCCAAAACACTTGGTATCCTAAAAAGGGATACGTTTGATATCGTTGGATTGAACTTCCCTGCTGTGAGTATCGCTATTATCAAACGTCTTGCAGTAATCAACCTCTTACCCAGCTAAATGCTTGTTTGATTTCAATTCCGACCAAAGAACCATGTATCCATGTCAAGTAAAGATGTTAGTGAAGATAAGGTCTTCATTTTGGATTTTGGCATCTCTATTTTTGAAGTCCACGATGATTATCTGAATAAGACTTCACTTCTCTCACATCTCTGTGAACTTACCAAAACAATCGCTTGATTTTCATATAAATTCGACTTGAAAATGTCAGTTTATCGCCGCGTTTCTCCCTTAATGCGATCATCAGACATTAGACATCAGATAATTAGGCAAGAATTGTATATGTTTTTACTAAATGAATTTAGGAGGCATGCCCCGCTGATCCCTATTAATCCTTTTGTTGATCCCTTGGCAGTATAGTCCATGATCTTGGCCATTGAAAATAGATGGTAGGTGTATTTGCCTGTCTGCCTTTTTCAATTTTCAATTTTGCTTCGTATTTGCAATAATACCAGTACCCAACAGATCTCTCCTCGTCTTAAGGTCCCAGCTTGGATGCTTGTGGTCTATCTCTCTTGGCCATCAACCTGAATGCAAATAGGGATCCTAGGCATTTTTACCGTTTTTTCAGGGTTTTTCTCCAAGCTACGACAAAGTTCCAGAATTGCATGTTGCTGTCAGACGACCAAATTCAGTCTATCGCTTGAACCAGTGGCTCCCAGAATTGACCCTCGAGCTGAAGGGCAAGCACACGATGCAGGTGAGCCGCAGCGCCAAAGATGCTTTCGATTCTATTGTGCGCAGCTTCCAGAAGACAGAAAACGGGGGCATTTTTGATGAAAGCCCATTGGCAGTCGCAGAAAGGGTATGTTTTCCATTTAACTTTCAAAATTTTTTGGGTGACCTGAATGGTAAAATGTGCGACATTATAATTTTTCTTCAAAACAGTGCACGAAGTAACCAAGCACATAACGAAGCAAAAATGGGCTTTTAGTTTTCATAATATACCATCGAGACCGAGTTTTTTTTCATTTTCAAAGTCATTTGAACTATTGTTAGGATTAAATTTGCAGGACACGTATCGCCAATTTCAAAACATCTAAGTCGAATTATCAGCATCTCCTCCGTGTGTTGCAATGCAACTAGTGGGCGCAAGCTTTGGCAAAACATGTAAGCGGCCTTTGCAGAAACAGCAGGTAATACGCAATGCAGCCTCATTTTCAAAGCGTAATACGCAATGCACCCCACTTTCGTAAGCAGAATGGTATTTTGTTTTAAAAATCGATTATGTTAGTTTCGTCCCAGTATCTTTTTTACAGGTGGATACCATGACAGATTTTTTATTGTTAGCAAATTTAGAATTTAGCTGAACTGTAAAAATAAAGCTACTTTTTTGTATAGAGCTAAGCAAAACCTTTGGGCATGCGATTTCTTTTAAGGCCCTTTGGTCATTAAGCTTTACATTGATGGCGAATTCATGTCAGTTTTTAGCCCACATATTGCGAGTCCTAAATGGCAATCGGTGAATGCGTAAGTGGCTTAAGCCATCTGCGATCAACAATTGACCAATCAATGACCGTGATACCGCTCTCTGGCCAGGGGCGGCGGGGAGCAATAATAAATTGCTATTAATCGCGAGCGAAGCGAGTGAACAACGTGGGTCCGGGGGCCACGCCCTTTAAAAGGGCGGAAACGCCCATCCTTTACAAGAGGGATACAGATATAAAGTTATCACTGCTCCTAAATGATGGTCTATTTTCCAAAACTACGCTCGTTTCTGAAAAATCCACAAAAATTTCTATTAAGATACGAAATATTTTGAAAAAAAGAAAACATTTCGTCTAAGCTCAAACATTATTGTTGTTTTTATTTTATTTTTACAACAAACGTGTATCGCAAATTGATCATTTTTTCAAGCACATCTATGAAAAAAATTGCAGTTATTTTCTTGAAAATCGTTCGAGCCGTCGCTGATTGCTCTCTCTGAACCTGCTAACAACATTCTGATAAAATGTTGGTTGTTTTGCCAATGATCGCAATGTACCATGCTCAACTTGTAAGAAAACAAGGTGTTCCTTTCTTTCTTGCAGCATTCTTGATCTCGATTCTGAAATCACTCTTTTCATACGGCTGAACACTCTTTCGCAGTGTACGCTTGTGAGTGGGGTCACTGCTGCAACTTCCAGGAGAACCATTGCCTGCGGAAGAGCATCTGCAAGGTCCGTGCTATGTATTACAGTGAGCAGGTCTTGCATACTCAATGTTTCTCCGTGTGCAATGTCTCCCTCAAGACCCGTACTTTCTCTAATTTCAAATTCGTCAATTTCTTCCACGTCTATCACCTCTTCCATCACCTGGTCACCAGAGCTACTTTCCTCGCGATGGCTTGCTTTATTACTTCTGTGCCTTGCTCTCCTTTGCTTCATGGCTCTGTTCCTTTCGTTCGCACATTTACGAAGAAGCAGCGAGATCTCATGGTTATTGTATAAAACTTCCAAATTGTGTTCCACTGAATTTATGTCATGAACGGCAAATGGGTACAAATCTCCGAATTCTCTGATGAGCTCTTTTATCTCATTAGGAGGCCTTTTGACATTCTCTGCAAACTTGGCGGGGTGAATCAGATCCATCCACTTGAATTTTTTGAGGTTCTCGAATCTCCATGAAATCTGCCCTGAAAACTCGATGCATACTTTTGATGCCACAATCGACAGCTTCTCTTTCCAAGCATCTTCGGATCCATTATTGTGCGTTTCCCTTCCTCTCCATCCTGCTCTGGCTCGTTCTACGGGGAAACTTGGGTCCGCATCGAGTGTAATTTGCCAAATGTCTTCAAAGCTTAGTGCAGCAAGAAAACGTTGGAAGTCGTCGAGCATAGATCTCAGCTGAACAGCATCCAATGTTGGCTTCTGCATAACGGTGATAATTGGCGTGCAATGCTCAAAGATCTTCCTGTACAACTTCAGTAAACATAGAAAGTCAACATTTTGGATGTTGGCAAGAAGACCTCTGGCTGTCGTTTGGGTGTCGACTTTCTCTCTCCCATTCGAAGACATCTGGTATAAGACTGTGCCGATTGTCTCGTAGCACGAATCGATTGCAGTAATGGCCGTGTCTCGAGAAAGCCACCTTGTATCACCAGGCTTTGGAAGATTATATCCAAGGTATCGCGTTCGCTTGGGACTGCTTCGGAAAAACGTTATCAGCTTGTCTAATATTCCAAAGAATTTAGCCACTTCTGGGATTTTCATCGATGACTGCGACGCACAAAGTGACATCCTGTGTGCAACGCAATGGTTGTAGTAGGCAAGTGGAAAGTAATCTCGCATTCTCTTTTGCACACCATTGAGCTCGCCACTCATTGTCGCCGCACCATCATATGATTGTCCAATCAGCTTTCTCTTTCCTGTCTCAGGAGTAACATTGTAGCTCCCTAATATTTTTATCATGATCTTTGTAAGCCCATCAGCAGATTGATCGTCAGATGCATCTGTGAGGCCAAGCAAATGTTCTTCGACATTCCCATCATGAATAAGTCTCACTGAAACAGCCGACTGCTCCGTGTTGCTCAAGTCACTAGTGTCATCCATCATTACGGATAAACATCTGGAAGCACTTACTCGATTTCGAATTTCATTCTGGACTTCTTGGAAAATGCATTTGATCAATTCGTTTTGTGGGTCGTGGGAGGTGTAACTTATCCGTTCCTTGTCTAGGAAAACTCGCAACTCTTGACTGTAGTTCCCTAACAAGTCCATCAATTCAATGAAATTTCCCCTGTTTGGAGAGAATTTGTCTTCAGAATGCCCCCGGAAAGCGAGTCCTTGGGCAGACAAGTAGACTGCAACATCAATATGGTGCTTCATCATCTTTGAATATCTTGATGCATTTTCATTATGTCTCAGAATTTCTCTCTGTCTTGCTTCATCAAGTGCACTGGCCACATCCACATTCCCTAAAAGCTTGTACGAAGCGTGACATGTCATGTGACTTTTTGATTCTTGGTGCCTGTTAGCAACATTCGACAAATTCCTGCCATCAGATGCAAATCCAGTTGGTTGCACGAAGCAAGCCTTCATCTGAAATAAATTATGTGAATAAATTGATAAAAATTCTTCTATTATCACCCACATTTTTATAAAAGTTACAGTGGAGTTGCAACCTTGTTTTTTATATTTAGCTCGATTTTAGCATCAAACTGCTCTTAATTTCAAATAGTTGTTTGTAGAAATCGAGGAGCGTATCACCTTCGTACACCTTTGGCAAAAATACTAATGTTTTAAAAAATCTCGGACGCCTTTTGGGAAGAGTGATACACCCCTTGGTATCTTGGTAGTAATGGAAACAATTACAGCAAATGTAGTCTTTACCTAAACGCCTAAACGATAGTTAACTATGCCTAAACCTAAACATTAAGTTATAGATGGTCAGTTTCGTAAACTTGAGCATAAGTAATACTAAAATGGCTTCTTGTAGGGACTATGACAGGGACATCTGATCAATCGGTGTCTTGTGAATAAGTGTGTTCATGAAAATGCCACAATTCCTTGCGTTTGTAAAAGGTGGCTACATATGCAGGGCTATAGCAGGGTTTAGACTACCGCGGCTCTCCGCCGCTCGTTAAAAGCCCTGCTATTCATCTTCAATTTGTAATAGCAAAGCCGCTATAAACGAGACTTTCCGACGAGAGAAAATAGTAAATAGAAAATAGTAATCTTCTTACCTTCAAATGATCTCCCATGACTAAACATGGCCAGCAGAAATATGTATTCTTCTCTGAATCACCACATATCCAAGAAAAACCTCTATACACAGCTTCACACGAACGACTTTTAACTTTAACATCGGGGCATGGGCGTCCGTCTTTTTTAAGACGAAGGCGCTGTTCATGAGTTAATTTACCTCCTTGCATAGATATGAGGGAAAAGACAGTTGAAACACCCCATCGTACACCACCTGACGCTACTTGATTCATTTTGTATCTGAAAAGGTCTCTACTCTCTTCCCAACGTTTATCGAACTGACGATTTGTATGCGTGATCGCGTGTGAGCTCTTGCTATTCATTCCAAGAATTTAATAGCAAGGCTGTCAGATATGCGTATTTCACAATAGCCCGTTGCGTCACACCATAGCCACACTATGGCGCAACTCCTATTAGTTTCCTCCGTTTGCTATTCAGAAGGGCCAAGTAATAGCATGGCCATCGACGGCCACAGCGTGGATCAGAAAGGTATACACGCGGCATTCTTTGAATAGATTAAGTCGGGCAATCGCAATATCAAAAAGCACAGAGGGGTCAAATAAATCATGGAATGAAGGAACTGGATAAGGAAATCAAGATCCAGAAAAGATTTTACTCGTATAATTTATGTTACATTAATTTGTCTAATACAAAAGCAGAACATTTCTTTGGAAAAAAATTGCTATTAATGAAATAGCATAAATAGCACTGTCCGCCGCCTCTGTCTCTGGCCTACTGTTTGGCTAATTTCGATGACCTAATCTATTAGGTGTATCTGTCGATTGCCTTTATGTGTACATTTCGTCTTTAATGGGCATTTGAATCAGCACTTCTCATGCTAAGAAGGAATGGCGTTTCTCTTTAGCTTTTGTAAATTTCTCTCGGGGCTCTATGGGTGACCGTAGAGCTCATGAGAACACAACAGAAGGTACAGTCGAGACACTGCAGGAAGACACTTTGATGACAAGATCACTCCAAGAGATCATGTTCAGCTATCATAAAAATACTGGCTCTAACTTTGATTTACTAACTGGAACTGTAACTGCTCATAAGCGGAACCATATCTGTGACCATCTTCTGAACCGAAGCGACGAAACGCGACTATAGGTGGATTAAGAGTGATCTAAAATATGCGCGTGTTGCAAGCAGGAGTAGCTGTGTAGAATCACGGTGTGGTTAGTAGTTGATAACATCTGTTCGCTGGATTTGCTTTGTACACTGTTGGGATTACTCTGTGATATGCATGGCTTGTTAATTTTTACGTTTATATGATAGGGAAGGTCGCAAGTTTATTTCGATTTCTTGGTAAGATCGACCCTTATTTATATTGCAAACGCATCAATATTCTGAGATTCAGATATCACGGCCTTACGCTATAAAGTTCTTTTTCGAGCAGGCATTAATAATTAATGTTGATATGAGAATATATGCTTGAGATTCAAGTTGCGAGTTTAGAATCTCGTAGAAATCCTGGAATGGAGCAGCAAATATTACAAAGAAGAGGTATTAAAGCAAGGCCAGGTTTACAATTGAAGTGGCTCTTCCGTAACGTGATCTTTTTAAGCGTTCTTATTCGTTGCTTTTGTGCAGCTGGGTGTAAGGAAATCTGCAGATAAAAGGAGATAACTTGTATCCCTAATCGTTAGACCAAACTAATACATGTCATAGAGGCTTGTTTGTATTTTCTATGTGCATTGTAAAGCTGAATTATTTGCTATTAGACTTGATAATTTTGATTGATTGTATAAGTGAGACAGAAGAAAGTTTGCACGTGCTGCCACGATCTCTGGAAAGGCTGATCAACACAAAATAAAGAATCTTGGTTTTTGCAATGAGGTTAACTGTTGTGTTCATTGTTAAACCTGTAACTGTTCTTATTTGATCCGAGGCTGCTGGAAAAGAAGATTGGACACTTTTAGATGCTTTTCATAAAGAAAAGCAGACCTTTGAAAAGTTGACTAGATAACGAAATCAAAGGCAGCCCTATTTAGCGTTTCAAAAACTAATGATGCATGCGGTGTCCTGACGGAAAAAGCTGCTCACCCAGCAGGTGTTTCGGTGGAGAATTGTGAAATATTGGCAACTTTTTTGTCTTAACTTCGTAACATGTGCAGCCGGTCTGCTACTCACGAAAGTCCAATTTGCACACTTCAATAACTCATCAAGTCAGAAAGCAATATTCTTTATTACCTGCCAGTCGAAATGAAAGGAGCAACGAAAACATGCTTGTTTCTCGAGCAGTCGACTGCGAGTCTGTCACGTTCAGAGGCAGCCAATTCCATTGCTGTATCGACCATTAGCTGCATTACGGCTATACCAGCTACGATTGGTAACTTTCTAGCGCTCTTTGTCTTAATTCGCTATCGAAGATTGCGCAGTTTACCGAACATACTGCTGATGAGCCTTTGTCTGACAGACTTCCTCACCGGAATCATCGTACAACCACTATTTGCTGTTCGTCGCTTACACGAGATAAACACTCGTAGCAACATTTGCTATATTCGCTTGATTTACATTTTCTTTGCCAACTTATGCGCCGGTTGTTCCATGCTTACCGTTGGTCTCGTAACAATAGACCGTTTCGCTGCCATTACGATACCTTACAGATACTTATCTATAACATCTCAAGGTTTGTATCTGTTCATAATTGGAGTTGTTTGGTGTACGTGGATGGTTTTTGTATTGTTGCCATTCGTCGGAGTTCTTTCGATGTCGCAATATTTCAGTGGAATGACTACTATATTTGTTGTGACGTTATTAACAGTGCTGGTATCATATGCGTTTATATATCGAGTTGTACTAAAGCAACGCCGTCAAATTTCAGTAGTCCACACGGTAAATAAATCAGTGACACAGAAAGATGAGCAACAGCTGCCGCAATGTGAGTGCAAAGAACTTGCTCCGTACGAACTTTTCACTGCTACCCGAAACGGTGCCGTATCAGAAATCAACATCAGGAAAGTCGAGTCTCCAGAAACTATAAACATATGTCAAGAGAATGATCCTCCAAAGTTATTGCATATTCAATCTTTTGATGAAACCAGACTTGGCCCGGCTCATCCAACTAGAGTTGATGGGGAGCATGTTTTTGAGCAACTGCGAACACGAAGTCAAGGTAGCAGGTGCTCGCTGACGTTGAATCAAGACAAAAAGAGAACCATTTCGAAGCTTAGAAAGCTGAAGAAAGAACATAAACAAATGAACACTATTGCAATAATCATAGCAACGTTGTTGATGTGCTATCTACCCCAGATATCGCTGCTCGCGATACGCGCGATATACGGAGATAACAGGGTGTTTATGCTGGTTGACGCTTGGACCGATTTACTAGTCTATCTTAACAGCAGCATGAATCCGCTCATTTACTGTATCCGGAACGGAGAAATTCGCAAAGCGCTGCGCTGTTTGTTTACGCGGAATCATGTCACCTAGCAGTATTGTCATTGGCCACAGTCATTTTGCCTCTCACTTCGTGACCCTTTCTTTTGATTTTGTATACTTTGCTTTTGTACTTGCCGTTTTTATTAGTTTTTTAATGATACTTTCGATTGGGTGTAAATAATTTATGTATCGACTCTGTCTATTATCTGTTCGATGGTGTCCGTCTTTGTGTCTTGATTTCTAAAAAAGGGCCTTTCACAATACCCTCATTTCACATGACCAAAATGCGTGAAATATTGAAAGTCGTTGTATAACTTCAACGACTGGGTTGCCCATTGGGGGACAAAATTTCCCGAAATGTATTTTGTAATGAAAACTGGCATTTTTTACCGTTAAATATATTCAAAGTCTGTGGATCTTTGTACGTTGATTTTTGGATTATGCTAAAAAACTTTAAAAGGGAACTGTGTTGGTTTTCTTTGAGGAAAATAAAGGTTATCCGCATGTTGGATTGTTTCACTTGGTTTGCTTTGTTGAATTTCTAACTGATGTATCTAGTTTGCCGAAGATTCCTACCAAAGATTTTGCTGATCAAGCCTCCCCTTGAATGTTGATCTTTCTTCTTTTCCAAATCTTAGATGTCCCTAATAGATGCTCGATTAATGTTTCTTTAAGTTCTTCATACTCCCAGAGTCTGATGACTGACATGAGATTTGTCAAAATGTCCTATAATGACCGTGTAAAGCTGTTTTGAAAGGTAAGGCTTTGCTGATGAATCATGATTCGGCTCATCAACCTAGCCCCTGCTGGTCTCGGCACTCCGCTTATCTAGGCATGGCTGATCAACACTTGAATGATGAAGGCACAGAAAATCTTAACCTGCTGATTTAGGCTCAACTGATCTAGGCTCAGCTAAACTAAGCTCTGTTAGTCTAAGCTCGGCTGATCTGGGCTCGGTCGATTTAGGGTAGGCTGATCTAGGCTCTGCTTCTCTAGATTCCACTGATCGATTAAGTCGAAACTATGCAAAGCTGCATTCGGTGAAGTTGAATCAATTCAAGGTTAGTTGGATCAACCTGGGTTGGGTCAAACTGGATTGGATCAAGCTAGATTGGCTCAAGCCGGATTTTGTCAAGCTTGGTTTGGTCAAGCTAGATTGGATCAAGTTGGATTAGGTCAAGCTGGGTTGGTCAAGCTGGGTTGGTCAAGCTGGGCTGGTCAAGCTGGGTCGGATTAAATTTGGTCAAACATTATTACTTTTCGCGCTGTAGTTTTCTAATCAAGGTAATGGAAATACCGACTTAAAAGGAATATATAATTGCTTTGTCTCGACGCTTTTCACGCCTCTCGTTCTCTAATTCTGTTTCTTGTTGTAATTTTTTCTGATGTTCTAGCAGTTTCCTTAAAGAAACTATTTCATTTTGTCATCTTTCTGGATTAAAACCTGTTTCAAATTTTTTAAGGAACTGAACTCTTCAACTATCATCAAGGAATTTCTAGACCGGGATCTGATCATGCTTCGCTGATAGTCTGTGTTTCTCCTTGATCCAGATAAGTCTTATGTTTGTTTTCTAAGTTTGATAACATACAGCTTATTTGTAACCTGTAAGAAATATTAGGTAATAGTGTAACGTGTTTCCTAGAAGTTCTTTTATTCAACCTTTATGAAATTCTGGTACAAATCTGATACCAGAATGTTTAGTTTTTCCATGATTTCAGTGGTCTGCTACCACACATTAGTGCTTTCAAAATGTAGGTAGATTTTTAGGCAGCCGTATATGTATTCGTTGTGTCCAGACGGTTTACAGTCCTTTGTGATTCTATGAGCGTCTTTCTACTCGTTTGACAAATCAGCGAAGTATCTTTATTTGTCGATCCATGTTTCTACGTTTTTGATCTTCTTCTTGTTCGTCAATTTGAGTAGCTGCTTGTGTGGTGTGGCTTGAATTGGAAGGAGGAATGCAAATATTGACTCGATTGCAATGTAATTTTGTAGTAAAAAAAAGAAACATAGCGTATTTCATTCATGGCCGGTCGTTTCCGGATAAAACCAGTGTTTTCAATGCAAACTCGATGTTTCTGCATGTGTCGCTTTGGTTAATTGGAAAGTAGACTGCACGGACTTGCTCGAAATTCATCGACGCTTCACCAATCTGCTTCTGCTATTACAGAAATCCGAAATTTAGGGAAGAATCAAGCTATGAGAGTGTGTGAAAGAGCTGCAGGAGTCAATTGTGTATTTGAGCTTGAGCTAATATGATTTTTCCTTAAGTGACTTTTGGACAACATCCCAGTGTGTAACGTCGATTATGTATCGCATTATACGTTGTTGTCTTTCTAGTCTGCTCTTGAGTTTGCTTTCGCCATCACTCATGAATTTCTATCCATAGAACTTCCACATTATTCAAAGTCGTCTGAAAAGATACATTTTCTCTATTCCTTTAACCAACCTCTGAACGTACATTCTTGAAGAAACTAATTTTTCTTTGATCAGATTTTTCTTTTAGAGAATGATGATGGATTCCTGAACTAGTGAACCTGACTTTGCTAGATCCACCATAACATATCAGCTTTATCGGTTTTTGTCAGTGTTTGCTAATTCGCCTTTGGAACCAACATCCTATAACATAGTGCTGCTTTTTTTAAACAATCCACAATTTGGGCTAAACAGTCTGCATTTAGCTCTTTGGTCCCTCTTTGTCAACCTCCCTTCATTAGAATGGTAGCTACGCTATGTTCGAATTTTATTGTCACATAGAAATCGGAGAACCGAGGATGCGCTGATGCACTCAACAATTTTCATTTTATATTACGTTGATGACTTTGTCAAGTAAGTTGCTGTATGTTGATGATCTTACACCTGGCAATGTTTACTTTATGTTGATACAAGTTGATTTTGGTTAACGCGGGTAGAATGGAGGTTCGGAATTTTTCATTTCTGAAGTAACTACCAAATAATTAATTTCTAATTAGCTAATACTTTCACGATTGACTGTATGAAATGTAAATTTTTTCATTTCATTACTGCAATCAGTTACTTTGAGACTAGCTCAAGATTGCGAGGTATTTTTATACTCGAAAATATCTTCATAAGATTAAATGCCACCTCATACTCAGGGATGCGTAATAAGGACTTCATAAAATTAAATACCCTACATTGGACTAGCGTATTTCTGTAGGAGTTATGCTGTGCCTGCGAGAAGTGTCCTTAGTGAGAGTGATAGCTACTTGGCTATAGCGGCAATTATAGCAAGGGGTTATTCTAGATACATCGAAAATAAAGAGAAATCATGGCTGCTTTGTGATTTAAACAAAGCACGGGACATTCCAAGACTCCATTCCGCCACTGAGCTTCAAAACCTGTTATGTTGTATTATATAGTATCATTATTTTTTTTGAAGCGACGAAAAATATGAATTTCCAATCCAGGATTTTAATGATCCGGTCGTAGTGCATATTTTCAGTGAAAAACGCTGATTAAAGGATCAGCATTAAGATGTGATCTGCTTTGTTTTATGACGCAAATGCGTCGAGAGATAAAATAGTCGTGAACTTTTCCTTGATTATTTGCCTAATGCTTTTGTTGTTAATCTTTTTAAAAGCAAAGCTTAGGAAGTAGGGAAACAAAGTTTATATCGGAAAATAATCTGAACAATGTAGCGATTTGCTACTTAGCTTCTTTCGCAATTATTAACATAATTCGATTTTGTTTTAAGTTCTCTTCAACAAAAAATCAGCTGGAAATCTTAGTACTAAAAATGAAAGTTGTTGATAAGGTATATTAATTTAAGTTATAGAAGTTGAAAAAGGAGACATATCACTCTAAAAAGCCTGTTTTGTTTCTATGTTTGTTTGTTTAAAGAGCGATTTTAGCACGGTTGTTAGTTTAAATATCTTGTTCACTTGCAGCTGACTTTCAAAAATGATGCTATCTTTGAAAATAAAGAGTACAGAAAGGTGCATTGGGCTAGTACCAAGTCAACTTCATCAGGTAATTCCAGTTCGTGCAATTTGCCTGCTCCGTTTCTTTTTATGAAACTTTCGATTTGGATTTTACCTTCCTATATAGCTATGGCAGAGTCTACTTCTAATTTTAGATCCTCTTTGAGTTAGAGTCCCTTTTGGCATTTCTTTATGCAAGTATGGCTTCATCAGCAAAAACTCTCTCAAGAAAACAATATATTGCTCAGCTTTCGTTATAAATAGTTCTCTTTTTGAGCGATTTCCGGTCATATTTTGTTATAACGTCAGAATTTTGAACAGGAGATTCATCAATTTGAGGCTTATTGCCACGTTATCCTAAGCAACCTTTTTATACATTTTTAACGCTTACATAGCATTAGACTTCAGAATCGTTTATTTTAAGACATATTCGTCATTATTCGTCATATTTTCCTTATTTTTGTTATTAATTTCAGTCGTTGTTAGCTTTCATCTTAATTCTACTTTCAAAATTATTTTATCAACTTGGATGTTATTAATTAAAATGATTTTATCAACTTGGAAGAAACAAAAGCAAATCTTAGAATTTGGGTAATGGGTGGTGAGTGAAACAAGTTTCAAATGAGGCTTTTCAATGATACAAGAGCTATAAAGAGTGAAGTAACTACTGTGTGATTTGATTAGTTTCTGTATTGCTCAATCCACTCAGTTGCGCAAAACTGATTCTAGGCAATATTATTACCAATTAATCTTTATTGCAACCCCCAATTCTTCTTTTCCAATAGACTTCAAACACAGTAAATTCGATACCAGCTCTGGCCACAGCTTTGTCATGCCGGAGGTCAATGTGATCATAATCACAAATGTGATGATGCGTGGCAGTTTTCTGAATCAGTTCCTGTCCGAAAATGTCAAAGCGTTGGGATTCTGGGAAGAGCTCTCGTCACTTGGTTTTAAGACGATCGGTGCAAGGATGACGGCTCTAAACCCCGAGCAGACAAAGCAGCTTTTGCACAAACTGAAGTTGTCTCCAAGGGAGCATCGTATTATGGTATGGAAGTTATAGGATTTTGTTGTTAACTTCATTTTCCTGGAATAACTCAACGCAAAGCACTCCATTGTACATTCACATTTTGATGAAGAAAACAGCCCACCTTAGCATGTTATTTATCTCTATATCTTATACTCGCACTGGTTGCTACACCCAGCCCCCGTCAAATGTTCAAGAAATCCTCCTTCGTTAAAATTTTACTTGAAAACAGTTCCGAGCTACAGTTACACATTTCAATTACTTTTTTAACTGTCTCTTCATAGTGATTTTGCTCTGCCTGCTAGAGGCACAAATTACAATCTAAAATTGGTTCTTATGCAATGATTGGGATCTTTGGATCCTTTTATATCACTATGGTAGGTGAGAGATAATTGATATTTGGCCTCTATTGGTTCAGCCTAATTGAAAGTGCATAAACAACTTTGTCATTCTTCGCCAACTCCAGCTCTTCAATCAATCCCATATATAAGCTATTTCTGTAACTTGTGGTCTTCGAACCTCCTTCCACGTTTTAGTATCCTGCGTGGCGTTCACGTATTAGTATACTTCGTTGTCAATGAACTTGCCCCAACATCCCTCTAATGAGAATAAGCTAATGTGAAATTTCGAAGGTTTGGTACTGCTTCGCAACGTCAAATTTGATAATCTTATCACCAAAAGATTGTATAAACATACTGTAGCTATTTTGGCTAGCGGTCCATTTATCTTGCCCACCATTGAAGAAGCCTCCATCTTATGTTAGGCAACAATCAGGTACCCTTTTATTAGCATTGTATCTTGTGATTTCATCTTTGATCTAGGAAAAACGCTTATCATCTTCCAACGGGCCTGTTCTTGTGCTGGCTCTCCTTAAAGATTTTGCGTTATCCAATTTCTGGAGTACAATAAACAGGTAGGGACTTTGTTCTTCCAATTAATGCGACTTTTTTCAAACAGCTATGATACTTTTGTTTTAATCGCTTAAGATTTCCAGAGCAAAAGATCGATTCTTGTTTTATATTCAATATAAAATTTTACAGTATCAAGATTGATTCTTATAACTTTGTGAGAGAGACCTCCACAGAGCATTAGAGAAATCTCCATGATCGCTGCCATCATTTTTGCCATCCAAATTATGGGCCTACCTAAGTAGTTATTTTTGATGAAATGTTTCACAAGGCCTTTTTTCTCGTTCAGAAAATTGACGGAAGATGAAATTAAAATAGTTACAGAAAATGTGCTGGTACCGACTACCAAAAAACAGGTGAGTATTTTAAGTTTGTTAGTTTCTATTCTTATTTCTTTTTCTCATTGAATCTCTTTTGATCTTAATAATTTGAAACTGACAGAATCAAATTCATAGTACACCGTTGACCTTTTCTTACATTTGAAAAATATAAAATGATAAAAATTGTCAAAATTGCTAATCTTTGGATCATAATTGTTCTTGGTTTACTTTTTCCTGAAGATTTTTTTCTTTCTGTCAGACTCTGTCAGACTGTCAGAAGATTATGTTCTTTATGTATTCTTTTCATTTTCATTCTTCCCTTTTCCTTGAGCCTGGTTCACATTAATCTCGCTGTTAAATCGTTAATCTCCAAACACAACCCAGCGATACACATTTTAAGGGACCAATTATTGTTATGATATTGCCTTGTTTTCAGGTCGAGGTTCTGCTTGGCTCGATGTTTGAAACGCTGGCACCGAACTCTGAGGTTGAAATCAAGAGAATCAATTCGGACAGTTAAAAAACAGGAATTCTTGTGTAAAGCTTTAGTCGTTTAAATTGCTTTGTTGAAAGCGTTCATAGTGGGTTCTAGGGTTTAACGCAGCTTGTCTGCAAGAATCGATTTTGAGAGTTGATTAAAGAGAATTTTTTATCATAAATGGCTTTTTTACGCAGCGTGTTAAAAGCTCGCTTGCTTTTGCATGGTTGTAGGTCATGCAGAATTTGGCATGGTTTGAAACAGCTGTTTCCGTAAGATCCGAATATTCCACGTTTCTTCTGCGAATCATTGGGTTTCTGCGCGTTTACGTTACTGTTAAGCTAATTATGAACCCTGCGATCACATTTGCGAACAGTTTCGATTCTTCCAATAGCTTCTAGCTCATTATGCTGTCTAAATCGCTGGCTGATAGTAAAATAACTGACAAATTCAGTAAAAGGATTTTATCTCCTCGTACAAATAGATAATCTTCCAAAGCTTACTGTTTATTTATTATGGATTTGATATTTTATCACAGTTTTTATCAATCAGGAGGCGACGTTTTCTGCCAAACTTCCATTTTTTCAGTAAGCTAGAAATGAATGTGATATGAGTTGCATCTTCTCAAAATTAGCCGTCATTTCTAAACTACATAACAACTGCTTCAGCTTGTTTCATATAAAACAATAACTTTCCGAAAATAGTTTGACTTACCTCCTTTGTCTGACTTACACCCAGAGCCGCGATAAAAACAGAGTGCAAGTTCACATGTTGTTGTTTGGCTAGCATGCGCAAAATTTGTTTATGTTTGCCGAGCTAGATTTCTAGGGCATGTCGAATTTTGATGCTGACATCATATATCCCATTGATTATGTTAGTACCTCGCATTTTATGTAATGAGGGGATGTTAGATGAATAATGTTCGGTGAAAATGATTGTACTGTCTTTTTGCTATTGCGTTGCCTTTATCGTCGAGTTTGGTCATTACTTTCCATCTTTTTTGGCCTGTTTGATTATGGTCAATTTGTTTATATGGGGAATGAAGCTAGTTACACGATAAATTGTTTTGAGACATCAATTTGGCGGTAGAATTTCTACAAACCAACAGCTGAACATAATTGCCTTAGCTAGAAATAACATCCAAAATTCACAACACAGTTCATTGAGCTTCATCTCTCAGAATTATACCATGAAAATGAAACCATCGCCTCAAATCCGTTGTCGCAAGGACATTCACCGCCTGGGGAAAATCTGTATTGTCACAGGAACATTCTCCATTGTCACAGGGATATTCTCCATTGTTACAGGGACATTCTTCATGGTTACAGGGGCATTCTCCTTTCCCATTTCGTACTTGAATTCTGTTTATCAGGTTGATTTCTTGACATTTAAAAAAGAAATTTGTGAGACGCAGGATATTTCGTATATTACATTTGTTTACACATTGAAGATAGGACCAAAAATGCGTACAGACAATTAAAAGCCTTGATACGAAAACCTCTATAATATGATTTGAAAAGCAGGGCCGTAGGTAGAGGTGGAGCTTGGGATCTCTATTGGTTAAAGTTAGGTTAATAGGTATTAAATTTACGAATTGTTATGTAGGTCTATTATGTAGGTGGCGTTACGTCGTATCTTTGCTCACTGCTATTAAAGTTAAAATGAATGAATCATATTATTGTTATAATTATTGTTGTTGCATTCAAAATCCTGAAAATTTAAGGAGATTTTCATCTTTGCAGTCTCCAGACAGACGTTCGGTGTAATTTGTGCCTCTTCACGTAAGTGTCCGACCCCTCTCCATTCCTTAAAAGCTACTAGTTCCATTACTGTCATCATAAGGTTTTGATGTGTTACTATAAAAAGCACGTGCATCCACTTTGTCAAACTTAAAAAGAAACTTTGACTTGCCCAAGTCTCAGTCATTAATCAAAGAAAAAACAATAAATTTGAGGAAAAAGAAATGTGGGAGGAAGGGAAGGAGGGGAGAGAGAGAAGGGGGAAGGAGGGGAAAGAGAGAAGGGGGAAGGAGGGGGAAAGGGAAAGAGCGAGAGGGAAAACTTCCTCCTTTCCCTCTTTTCTTTTTTCTCTCCTCCCTCTTCTTCTTTTCTCCCTCCTTCCAGACTTTTTCTTTGATTAATAGCTGAGACTTGGGCAAGTTAAATAAAAACTAAAAAATTTTCTCCTATAATAAAATTACATGGCTTACTGTTACATTTAGTGAAAATACTTTAAATTTAGGTCAACAGTGTGTAGCATTGTTAAGTTTTAAAAAACAAAGGGATGTATGCAAAATCTCACCTGAAAGACCAATAACGCCAAACTTAGGAAGTAGGCCAAATGCAAATTTTCCAGGGAAATTGATTCTGAAAAAGGCCAAAACTGGAAAATTTGGCCAGAAAATGGCCAATCTGGTAACCCAGATCAGGCTACAAGTTGCGTAGCTACAATGTTATGTAAAAAAGATTTGCCATCGTGCAGAGTCTAAAAGAATATTTGTAGACACTTTAAGTTGCTCGTGCCAAAGTAAATGTTTTTCCTTGCAGCGGTTCTTGCTTTCCAGCATGGATCGGATATTTTAGATGGGGACATGGCAGAACTGTAACTACATTCCCCGTTTTGCGGGTCCGTCCGCAATCTAATAATCAAATAGAAACAGTCTAATCATACCAACTATTTGTCTAATAAAAGTGTTCCAAGGTGACGACGTCACAAAAATATATATAGAATTTAAATTTTCTTCGCATAAAAGAGAGCATTATGAGATACAACTCGGGTACTTATATAATTGAGCCTCAAGGGGGGCACTCATTTGAGCAGGGCGCTTATTTGATGTTCGTGGATGTCAAAGCAATTCAAGCCAAGAAAAAAGTAAAAAGGGAATTCGAAAATAAAAAGAAGGCAGTTGAAATAAATATATTTGAGAGTGTGTTAAAAAATTTCCTTGCTATGAAAAAATAGAGACTGACAAAAATAAAACTATAACAAACTTTGTTGTTTACTTCTGCTCTTTTTGACTAACTGCTTCCCTGTTCCTGTAAAGCTAAAATTTACGTCTCATAAACTAGTTTTGGCCAATATTTCGAAAAAACGCCCGTTTCTTACCATTAGTTGTTGGCGCTAATTTGTAGGGGGCTCTTGCTCGAGGGGGCGCTTACTTGAGGGGGAGCTTTTATAAGGATTTTCTGTAATTATGAATAATTAGCAACTTAACTGAGGCTGTTCCCCCAGAATTTTAACAAGGAGGCTGATCCTTCCGAGCCACCCTCCCTTTACTCCTGGCATGACACCCCTGATATGATAATAAAAAAATGCACTTTTGCTGAAAAATATATATGGTTTTCACTTTTCGTGGTTTTGTTTATTCATATTTGCTTGAGGTTTAAAGCCTGATTTCCACTAGGCTAATTTTTTCGCGCAAATCGAATAGTGGAGATCTTTAGCCTTTAAGAGAAAAATATTATGTAAATATCACTTTACATTCCAGGTTCACGTGTTGAAATATCAGAGTCAACGTGATCGGTAGTTTACTCAGATTTCTGATTGGTTTGTTTCTTTGCATCATGGGAAATAGTGATTGTTTTTTCCTTTTGTAAATAGTGGAAGAGAAGGAGCAGAAAGTTATGAAACTTTCGGAAATTTGCTAGAAATAGTAAATAATGTTGAAAATGAATTAGAAAAGCAAGGGAAGCATGAGTCAGCAACATTTTCTCAAACTTAAAGTAAGCACGAATGAGGAAGAGAGGTAGCAAATCTCACAAGGAAAAGAAAGGCCTAAGTCAAGTGCATTAGCAGCCTCGCGGTGTCTCATGTAAATATTGCTCATTTGTCAAAGATCAAACTAAAAAGCCACAGGTATCAAACTTGATGTATAAAGTCCAGCTATAAGGTTATCAATGATTCGTTATTTTATATTGGTTCGCTTGTTTTAGATGTATTGAAGGCTTCAGTTGCGAAGACAGGCAGCCTCTTCTATGAACAGTTTTTTCGCTTGGCGGAAAGAAGTTGCCTACCTGCCGTTTAGGGCTCCGTAGAACGACAGGATTTTACTGCAGATAAAGGCAGGCCAGTTCAAAATGTTTCAGGCACAGGATTCGACTTTGAGAAGTGAGGCAGACGATCGTACTAGAAGAAGGTCGTTAGATTTGTCAGATCGTGGGTTAACTTATCTCAACCCAACAGCGACATTGATCACTAGAAATATTGCCATTGCTGAAATTCGAAGATTGACGCTGGTCGACAATGCACTTTCTGTTATTCCTAACACGATATCTCAGTTTGTGAGCTTAGAAGAATTAGATGTCTCTCGAAATAATATCTCGTGGTTATCTGGAGAAATTGCGAGGCTGCCGAAGCTGAAGATTCTCATCGCGAGAAATAATCGACTAAGAACTCTGCCCAAAGAAATCGAATCTTCGCCATCTCTCGAAATACTTAATCTGAGTGGAAATCTTTTCACTGGTATCCCTAGAGAAATTCTTGGCATGAGAAAACTCAAAGAGTTGTATCTTGGAGGAAACTATATTGGAATGATCACAGAAGACATCAATCGACTTGAAGGGTATGAATTTTGTTTTTCCAAGGATTTTCAATTCAATAAACTTTAATATCTATCAAAGGAGAAAGGTCACAGCAATCTTTCATGCCTGCTGTAATTGGAAGCAAAAGTCCTTGTTCATAGATCAAATCATTTTTGTGAATAAAATAAAGGCACTTTGTCTTGTTTGAAACAATTTTAAAAACCTACACCAAGTTGTTAGATTTTGGATTTAAAATTATCCTTCTCCAAGCTGTTGGACTCTATATCATTGGATATATTATAAGTTGATTTGAAGGTTAATTACAGTAATGTAAACCTTTGGATTGACTTTTGATGTATATTATACATATGTCTTTATTGAATTTAGTTTATTTACTCATGCTACCTTTTAACTGGCTCTTCAGAACAAGGTTATATAATCAGGGCAATCATATCCTTGAACAGCCACCTGCATAACATGCTTTACTTGAATCACAAGTGTTTGGTTTCAGGTAACATATATGGAAACTGCCTGCTTTCTAAAACTGTCAATAGAGCTCATGTGGAGAACAATTTATGGTTGCTAAAACCAAATAGCTTGTGAGGCATATTAAAGCATTTCATTTGCTTAAAAATGGCATCATAATATCACAAAATTTTTAAGCCTAATTCACAAAAAAGTGATGTTTACCTTCTATAATTGTTAGCATGACATCCTCATAACATGGAAAAAATTATAGAAAATAAGAAGTCAGAAACAGCTCAATAGACCTTGAAAACTGTTATGCTGAACAACTGCAAGAAGCAACATTAACCTGTGTTAAGTCCAAAGAAAATCAACAGTTTGACATCAGATTTATAAATATGGTTTTTCACAAAAGCCAAGTATCAGATTGGAATCTTTGAAAGATTCACGGGGGGATCTTTTGCATGTCCATGAAAATTGCGCATTTGCAAATAACACAGATAAAATATTTTGTGCGGCTGAGACTATTCAGGTAATTAGTTACATACTGTAGTATGTAACTTTTGGGTATACATTTCAGAGAAAAACATTAGTAACATCATTAGTGGTGATAAAAACAATATAGCAAAGATAAACATTTTCAGAATTCCTAAAAATAAAAACGAGAGGAACCCAACCAGATGAGAATTGTTTCTGTAGACCAAAATCTGCTCAAACTTTGAAAACTTTGTGCATGGTAATAAATTAGATCATCCTGTTTCATGTGTATTTTACTCCCAGAAATGATAAAATATCCTTCACATGTTTGCTGTTATTTGGCATATGCGTGTACAAAAACCAGCCTCGTGTGTACACAAGCAAAAAGTAATGACGATTTAGACGATCTGCAACTCTGAGGGTCTTCAAATTCAAATTTCATTAAAAGCATCAATTATTAAGTACATACAAGATAAGTTTTACATTTAAAGAAGAACCCTGTGCAGCTAGATGAATCATTTCAATAGAAATTTTGTGGCTGCAATCACGGCTGGTACTTGATGTACACGGGGGATTTATCCCCCATGCAAGACAAATATTCCAATCTGGACCAAGTATTGGTTTTTTGCAAGTTTGAATGACATCTTCAAGACCTTTATGCCTCTTACTATGACACAAAATGAAGTTTCTCCGTTGCTACAGTACACCGTACATATCTAGTTAGGACTTTGAATGTTTGGCACTGCCAGAGACTCTATGAAGAAGGAACCTGAAGGAAATTTCTCAACAAATATTTTTACCTCACTCTATAATTATTATGAAACCTAATTTTCAGAGAAAGTTTTGGGTGGCCTCTCTGAATGAAAAAAATAAAAAGGCTTCCTTCCATTTCTCCTCCATGTAGTCAAGTTGGCAGCATGACTGACGCCATGTTTCTTCCATAACAGCAGAGTCAAAACCTTTAGCAGATTCCTTTTAAAACTTGCTAATCCTGTTTTGTATGGTCACAACTTTGCTGATCCTTTGATATTAAGTATAGCTTTGTACATAGGGATACCAGGAAAGAGAACTTGAATCAATATTTGAACTTATTAAAAACTGACAACTGATTGAAGTATCAAGCAAATTATTTATTCAAGTGAAAAGGTTTTCAAGTTTTGTTGGTATAAAGCATAATTAAAATATTGTTGGCTTTCTACAAAGATGAGATAAAATTATTATTAGTAATTCATATTTATAGATTCAACTAGCAAATCCTATCAAAGTGTTCTAAAGTGTAGTTTTGTTTTTTGTGAATTTTTTTAAACCTCTTTTAGGAAGTAGATATCCAAATTTTCTGCAAATTTAATCTTTTAAAATGTGTACTGTCGATAATTCTCTAGCTATATTTATGCAGGATTCTTTCTTTCCTTAAAATTTGTAGCTTTTATGTTTAACCGTGATCATTGTGTATTCTTTAAAGGGCATACCTTGTTCTGAAGAGGCAGGAAATAAAAAAAAGTTATTAGTTAATCCAATAGTAAATGTGCAAATAAATGTATTTCAAAGTTATAATTATTGGTTATTTTACATTGATAGGTTGCGAGTTCTCTATCTCGGAGGCAACCAAATTGTAAAGATCCCTAAATCACTTGGACAGATGCACAATCTCCAAGCCCTCATTCTTTGTGACAACAGGATAGAACACATTCCACCAAAACTCGCTGAGTTGAAAAATCTCAGATCACTTAGCCTGCACAAGAACAACCTCAAGGCATTGCCAATGGAAATTGTCAAACTAATGAATCTACAGGAGTTGAGCCTACGAGACAACCCTCTTGTAAATAAGTTCGCAAGGGATTATGATTTCAACCCACCATCTCTCCTTGAACTCAGTGGCAGAGCTATAAAGATTTTCAGTCTTCCATATGATGATTTTACTTTACCAAGAGACCTGGTTACATATCTTGACAGTGCCCAGAGTTGTGTGAATCCAAAATGCAAGGGGGTGTATTTTGACTCTAGGGTAAAGTGCCTAAAGTTTGTTGATTTCTGTGGACAGTATCGGCTACCTCTTGAGCAGTATCTTTGCTCTCCACATTCGTCTTCTTGCAATGGCAGTGATGCAACCGTATCAGCTGCAAAGATACAGAAATTACTTCTTCCTCAGTAAGGATGATAGCAATTATTCTACAAACAGTTTGATGAAGTAAATGGACAAGCATGTGTTCATTTGTTATTCGCAAAGAAGCACACAGTAACCTGGAAAGATCTCTCCCTTATGCATGCTCTTCAATCAATAAAACCATCCAAGTCACATGTTGTTCCATGTGCAAAGACTATGTTGAAATTTGAAATAAAGAAGCTTTCATATTCTTTGGCTGCTTTCTGATTTCAGAAAACCTGACATTCTAAAATGGAATAAAATTGGAATAAACCGTACATACTTGCACAAACACGGACAGCTACATTGAGATAAAAAAATTTGTAGAAAAGTATTTTAAATGACCATGAGAATGTATTCGCTACACTTTTGTGCCTTATAAGCAGCGATGTTTATAGCACCCTTCTGGAAATGGGTTTGTAATTGCTAATCAAGAAACAATTAAAACTTTAAAGGATTCTTACATCAGGCAATTGTAATAAATGATTGTTCTTAGTAGGAAGACTACCATGTTTTTTCTTGAATTTTGTCCTTTCCCTCATAACTCATTTTCCCTTAATCTCTCCTTGCTTAACCACTTATTTCTGTCAAAGTTCGGACTCCACTTTGGGCATCAGAAAGTGTAACACTCTGCCATTCAAAATTTTGAACTCTCCAATAGAGAGATCACAATATGAAAGGTCAGCGCAGGTTTCCTGATTGTGTTGTGTGGTGACTGTGGGATGTACTACCAAGTCTTTCCCTTCGCTCATGGCTTCCAACATATTATTTTTCTACCCGTACTATTCCATTTAGATCGCTGACAATCAATTATTTGTGCTTTTTATACAATATTGTAGAGAGTGAGTGGCATGCTCATTCATGATTTTCCCTACATCACTCTTTTAGTTTAACTACTTCCACTGTCCCTTTCCCCTTAGCTTTTAATATAAGTGAAGTCTTGAACTGAAAGGGACATACCCTAGCTCTTTCTGCCTTTGAAGGAAAGGAAGCTATTTATAATCTGATCAGAATCTAGGGTTATTGGAAAATGGGTTTTGTGTTGTTGCTTTTCAAGTCATGGTACCAGCAATGCTGTCAATATTTAGTTTTCTATTTGTTATTTACTATAAAAATGATTAAATATTAAAACAGAAAGCTTAATCAAGGGAATATTTTCCCTTTTAGATGTTAGTTTTATTCTTTAGTAACTTATTATTGGAATTCAAGCTATTCTGTCTTTTATAGATATATGATTGGAATACTGTTTTAAAAACCATATACATACATAAACACTTTTTAATTATAACATTGAAATTAATTTGTGGCTTTTTAATTTACAATATATCAAAGTGCTTGTTAGTTTAAAAGTAATCCTTTACCGTTCTTTTCATCGTCTTCTTCTCAATTTCTAGCTTTAGTTTCTAAAAACCCTGAAATCCTGTTTATTTTAGAAAACTTTCATCTTCAGGATATTAAGAAAAGAAATTATACATCTTACCCTTCATTTTGTTCTAATTTTTTAACAATTTTGCCATATATTTACAATCTTCTTGTGTAAGCAATTCTTGACAGTTTTTTCTCATAACAATCCAGCCAGTGATGTAAGAGAGCTGTTTTTGTAAATGCAGAACAATGACAAATTTTCTTTTTCTTTACTCTTAGATGTTTCTTTGCAAAACTTGGTCCTTTTCTTTTCATTCCACTATACCTTTGAATAAATCATTTTGTTATTATGCCTGAACTGAGAAATCATTTTCATTACTATTGTCTGAGATTGAATGTGTATTCTTAAGCCAGCGCACACTAGCGATTTTTGTCGCCAGTGACGTCGATTTTTGCGATTTTTGTCGCCAGCGCCGGCGATTTTTGTTGATCAGCCAATCATTAAGTGTTTTCAAGGCACGTGGAAAGTGTATTGACAAGATGGAGGTCACAGGAACATGCTCGTTCTCTTAGACAACGCATTAAGAGGATTTGTTAGTCGATTTGTGGCGCGAGAAACCCTGCTTGTACGCAATAACCTCTCGAAAATACGACGATAGGACGGCAAAAGCTGCAGCCACGAGCGGGTACTATCGAGGCACATTATGAGGTGGAGACCAAAAATCATTGGCCAAGGAAGAAAAGATCGCAAGTATGCGGGGACAAAAATCGCCGTTGCTGGCGACAAAAGTCGCTAGTGTGCGCTAGGCTTTATTGTCTTGTCTACAATACTTGCCAGAAGTCTTGGTACACTGGCGTCAGTTTCCAAGGGCAAATTCAGCCATTCCCCCTCCCCCCTTTGAACAATGTTGGTTTACTACAAAGCGACGTAAGGAATTAGGAAGAACATTTTTTGGCGACTTCTATGTTATTTTCTGAATTATCAACATTATTTAGGGTGAGGGGATGCAGAATAGGAGTATCCGGAAAAAGATTTAAAAATATAGAAACACGGCGCAAATTGCTGGATGTTCCAAGTACTTTTGGCAATGATTGTAGGTTTGAATGTCCAGCGTGGTATCTCAGTTCACTTAAATCATATTTTGCAATTATATATGCCAGAACTTTCACAGAAAATGCTTTATTTAACTTTCACAGAAAAGGTTTATTTAATTTTCACCAATTTTGTGCCCATGATGAATCAAATCAGAACCTATCAGGGACATTTTTGTAAATTTGCCTGATTGTGTTGTTCGATGCCCCCTGTTTAAACATTGGTAGAACTTTTTTTATCTGCCAAATGAGTACGTCTTTGCTAACTGTTGTGTTATGGACCCCTATATCCTTTCTCAATCGACTTGCATTTCAAGTTAGCAGGGTGCTATAGAGATTTCTTCAAAAATAACTGTACGAATCTGTATAGTCTGAATGTCGACATAAATCTTGTTGTAGTTGTCATTGTTTCTACGCCTCTGAAATTTACCAAATATGTAGATAATGGAGTCTCGAAGTTGCATTTCTATAATTGTATGGTGGCCAATAGATGTATGACCGAGTTGCATTTGCAAGAGAGGGAAATGTGATCCAGACCATCAATTTTACATTGGCTTCAAAGTATTAACCTTTATATTAACCTTTCCTTGCGTGATAAACTGTCCCTCTGTTGAAGTATTTTCTTCTTTCTCAAAACTCAGTATCTTCTTTCATTCGTATCCAAAATTTTGAAAATTAAGTCTAGCTCAAAATTACATCAATGTATACCTACTTAGCCTTTCTATGGGACTGAAAGTTCGAATTCCTAACTTGATAAGAAAGAATCCCAGGAAAGGTCCTCATTTACCATCCCAAAGCATTAAAATTTAAACCACAAAAACTACTAATTGCAAAATCTCAGCTTATACGTTTCATAAGACTTTTTATACTCACGTTTTAAATATTTTAATAAAGAAGGGTAAAAATAGACTCAAAATGTGATCCTTTAATGACTTGATAAATGCGATTAGGTGTTTCACAAGGATCCACTTAAGAAACTTTTCTTCTTAATAAATCACTCGATAATATGGTGAAGTCAAGAAGAATCTGTTTTGCAATTTTGCAGATTGTGTCACCAATTCTTGAGTATGTAAGTTACTTACAACGACCCTAGTATAAAGTTATTAGAAGGTTGTAAACAATTTTGCTACCAAACTATATATAAATTATTAGATTACTGAATTGTATTTTTAGAGGTAACTAAATATAAAAGGGGTAAAAAGAACTACAATTAGACAAATCAACCACTGAAGATTAAAGAACCCCAAAGTAATTTGCAGTTGAATTTTCCAAAACATTAGAAAATGACCAAACCAGCTTCACGATAGATGTTCTCAATTTTTCTAATACTCTAATAATTCTTTGAAATAAATCCCTTTCAATCAAATAGATGAACTCAATAGTCTCTAGTTAACAGAACGGTGCAAAGCATTTTGTAAAAAATTTGGACTAGTGGGGCAAAACCTACAAAGAGGTCAATCATATGAACATATTTAAAAAAAACAGTGAATGCTTGAGCGAAAGGAACAAACAGTGGTGGGACCATGTGGGGCGGTTTTCCATTGTAAAGGTACCGGGAGATGTGTATACAAGGGTATACAGTTTCGGACTTCTTTTCTTGCCAGTATACTTTTTTGGCAATTGTGATCCAGCCAAGATATAGCCGAGGGTATTCATCCTGACAAGCAATTTTTGTTGATAATAAGCTAGAAAAAGAAACCATTTTTATCGAAATTGGTCTAGCCAAGGGAACCATTTTTGTAAAAACTAGTCTAGCCAACGGTACGCTCCACTCTCAATATGCTCACGGCAGACCCCTATCCAAAATTTAGTCAAGAGCCTCCTCCATGTGGGTGTGACAAAACTATTCTTTAAATTTCAGCGGTGGAACAGCAAACTAGGCCTGATAGAGCAGCAAGTAAGGCCTGGTGGGGCAGTATGTTACAAGATACCCTATATCCACGTAGAAAATATAAAATCCCATACCACCATGGTCGCTGTCAATTTTTGGTAAGCTATGCTTTTTCCCCGTCATGGTTTGGAAATGTTGCCGATTGGATCCAAAACTAGCGTTTGCCCCAATATATAAATATATTTATATATAGGCTATGAATTAGTCTGTTGGTGGAAATGTGCATTCTCTACCGCACAGACTGCCCTCATCCAAAACAAAAGAAGATTAATTGGTCTTTAGTATTGAAGAGAGATGACTTAGTCGAATATCTCCATCATAGTGCCAACTGCACCCAAACCAACTTTTCATTAGTGTTGAGGTTTTTAGTAGATAAGGCTTTTATATTGGAAAACACTTTCATAACACCAGCTTCAAACAAAGCCAAAAAAACTTTTCGTAATTAAAAAATTGGGAAATGACAAGCAACAGTGGTTGAGGTTTTAAAAGGGCACACTAATGGGTGAGGGAAATCTTGATCCTTATCTTTCAGAAAATCAAGAATGGTTTGTGTAAAAAGATCTTTCGTGATAAACTCATTCCATATCTTTTCTAAGCACATATAATTCAAGTTCTAGCAGTCACAGTTCGAGTACTAAGGATACTTCGCCGGGCAACTTCAACGGGCCAATTTCTTGTTCTTCGAGTGGCTCCTGCAGAAAAATGTACCTTCAGAAAAGTACAGTTTTTAGGCCAATAGGTTATTCATAAAAAGAGAGGTTCGTCCCACAACTCAAGTACTCTAAAAGTTTAATGAAACTGTTGTGAGACAATTCAAATGATACACATTAAAACCTTCTGTCGTCATATATCATATCGATGTAATACACTATTGCAAATAATCATAGAACAGAACCAAGGGACCAACGTAAAACGGAATTCAATTCTGACCAAATGAAATTTTATCAAAGTTAGTTTCACGAGGGAAATTTTAGAATTTGATTTCACTAGGGGTTCTTATTTTACTTGAGTTGTTTATTCTTGTATAAAGACTTTGTGCAATGCTTTGATGCCATTAGGAATAATAGAGAAGTAAGTTTTGTAGTTTGTATTTTTGCACGAGCGTTTGTTCCTTGGCTCACATGAGTGTACTTAAGCCCTTCAGGTAGAATTCATCATGCTTGTTTGCAATTTTCTTCTACGCTGTTCTCTTCTCTCATCCCTCTCTTCCCTTTTGTTATAAAGTAAAATGTGTTTCTATCGAGTCCTTGTTGTTTTTAATGATCTCTTTGAGGTTAAGGCTTCTCTATGTCGCTGGATTCTTTTCACAGTTCTTTGCGTTTGTATTTAGGATACACTTGGCTCTCTAAGTAAGTTATATTTCTCTCCCTCCCCCATACCATAGGCAGGACTAAGACAGGACTGGTGCATCGGCTCCCTAGTGTGGAAAAGTGAGCTTTTCTTGTCCATTCTCTTCCATCCAAGTTTCTTTGTAATTTTAGTCAATTAAGTTGTAATCATAGGCTTAGGGTTTTATATGGGTTAGGTACGGGTGCTGATTCACCAACTGCCAGTCATCGCTCCTATGTTGAGCAAATGAAGTCTGAAGACCTGATGTGGGAGCAATTTCTTTTGAAGTAGCTTTTTTGGTCAAATTAAAAGAATTCACACTTGTTGATATTTAATAATCATTTTTACCAGCCTGAATATAAAAAGAGTCCTTATAAAGGAGTGTTGATAATTCGCGTACGGTGAAGCAAGAGTGGTAAGATGTGTAATACAATCTGGTCTGGCTTCTTTAAATCTACGCCAACAAAAGCCAAACTCGATTATTTAGCCACCATTTTTTACCACATGTCCCACTCAGATTTGTTTCTCTTAATTAGAGGTTTGCAAAATTTTACAATTTCTGTTGAGCAGACGTTTTATCATTGTATGTTTTCATCTTCTGTTTCCTACAAATCTCCTCACGCAGGGCACCAATGCAAATTCTAAATATCCAGCTTCTTCCACCATTTAACGAGAGGTGTATCCGCCCAGCAGAAGCACTCAGAAATAAGTCAACAGCAGTTCGTCAAAAATTCTTTTCATAAGGCATCAATTCGACTAAGAAAAAAGCCAAGGATTATTTTGATAGCAAATCATAAACAAGCACAAATTAACGTATTAAACCCCTGTATTTCACAGAAGCTCAAATAATCATTAATGTATGGCATAATCAAAAGACTATACATGACATCTAATTTTTCAGTATTTAGCGAATCAAGACATTAGTGTTCGTCATAGCAAATAACACTCTTTTAGTTTTTTATTTCTTGTTTTGGCAACTGTTAAGGTAGCTTTTTACAAAGTTTCCCTGGTGGCTAAATTGAAGGGCCTCTCCAGCCAAAAGATTGTATTCATTTGTATTGACATTACAGAGGGTTTCTGCTACCTATAGTTTGAAAAACTTTGTGGCTAAATATGAGTTCATCTTTTAGTTATAAGCAGGGCCTTAAATAAGAATTTTTTTATAGATCCGCATATTCTTCTAAAATGTGAGTGTCGTACTATGTTTGCATTCACACAATGGGCGTGGAAAGTACAATGGACATGCAGCAAATGCTACCCTAATGCCAACAATATAACCTATTTGGGTTGGGTCCTAAATACAAATTATCAGAAACAAATGTGATTTTTTTCGCAAAATGCGTAGTGGGTAAATAAGACAATTAGCATCAGTTGGTGGTGTCTTTATTTGTCGGCAAAAAAATAATCGAACGCGGAAACCTTTTAAAATGGTTTTCCCGTATCACTTTTAAAGTTTTCTTTCTCTTCTCCCTGTGTCTTCAAAAGCTCCACCACCAATCCCCCCCCCCCCCAAAAAAAAACCAATCTTGCTTCCCAGGCTTCAGGGTCATATCTTTGCAGCGGAATAGAAATCAAAACTTGCGAGATCAGGTATCTTCATTGCAATGTCATATATTTGCGAATAGTTTATGGAGCTATGCTGCTTTATCAACCTGTTTTGATTCTTTAAAATCAAATCTTTGGACAAATGCCAAATAATATCTTATGTCACTGACATACAAAATGTGGCTGTCTGTCTTCTTGTTTTTAACACGGTTTTACACCAAGAGCTCAAGCCTACTATCCAACTTAAGTTAAACTTAAGTTAATTCCAGATTCGAGGCTCGGGTTCATTACGGACTCGAGATCTTATGGCCAGTGGCCACAGACCTTTATGTACTCTTCTCTACAGAGGCTTTTCAGGAGGGAGATGGAAAGGGGAAAAGGATAGGATCAGGGGAACTGCAGAAGAAAAGGAAAAGTGGAGGAGCTGCGAGGGAGTGGCCTACAAGGGAGAGGGAGGCCTTTTCTCGCTTCCTTTTCTTCCTCTACAACATGCTTTACAATAGCCTCTGTGGAGGAGAGTAAATCTTATCCCTTATCTCGGGGACCGATGCCCAATGCGAAATCTAATTTTGTCTTGTTCACCCTGGTGTCCCCATTGCAGTTATAAACCGTTTGATACCACTCTTTCGTAGCAAAGGAAGGATTTTCTACTGAAGAAAGATTAAATTCTGTGGCTTTGGATTATCCTTAGGAGAAACACTGTTATCATCAGATCTTTTGATATGATATTCAAATCTGTATGACTTATGCAAAAATAGTTTTCTGGCAAGCTTTCAAAAAGAAGATTTTCAAATAATAAGTAGGGTGTTCATTGGGAATAGACAGAGCGCTGACTCATGGCGGTGTTTAGTCGTTTCACAAAACCTCATTTTGTGAGAAGACTTAAACAGGAGTCGGCTGAGCTGTAGTCGGCAGTCGAACAGTAAAATATCTTCACGATTGGCAGAAATCTTTCAGCTTTCATCACAAATTCCAAGAAAATCCTTGAAATCAGTACAATTATGTACTCACAATACTGTCTAAATCTCTAAGATTATAAAAAACATTTCTTGGACTATAATTGGCCAGGATAAAATGGTTTAAATTCGGAAGTTATAAATCAGACAGGGAGAAATCGCATTATTTATAAGAACGTCAAAATCTTGCTCTGTATTGAAAGTGCTTTGAAAATGTTGTTTTGAAAGTTGAAGGGATATTTTGTTGCTCTGGAAGTTGATTATTTCTCCTTTATAACAGTGTACTGAATAAGAAGAAATTCATCAATGGTGTGATATTTGTCTTTATCAGTTCAATTGGGATGTTATCGTCACTTTTGTCTCCATAGAATGATGTTCATGTATCATATATCATGATATATGAATATACACCATATATCATGACAGTCAAGGACCGCTGCGAAAAAATTACAGATTGAGGGGGATAAAACTTTTCGGGGGAGTGGCTAAAAATGCAAAAAATAAGAGCAAGGCGATTTTTATATGGTCTTATGTTCATTTTGGCAATAGCCCCTTCAACCCCTTCGGCCCCCACTTCTGTGGTCCATGATCACAGAAATATTTTGGGGATGGGTTTCTTAGCAACCAGTCTTCTAAATACTTTTTCCCAAACAGTTTGAATACATAATAAAGAAGGGCTTCAATCCCTTCGGCCCCCACTTCTGTGGTCCATGATCACAGAAATATTTTGGGGATGGGTTTCTTAGCAACCAGTCTTCTAAATACGTTGTCCCAAACAGTTTGAATACATAATAAAGAAGGGCTTGGCTATAAGAATATATCCAATATTCTTAAAACTTTGAATAAAAGTTTTCAGAGCTGTTTTTAGTTTATTGAAGTTTTCTTCCAATGTAGGTGATTCTCGTGATTTTTAAAGAAAGACCCGTTCATGTTCAAAACTTGTAGAATTTCTTTGATAGTTAATTTGGATGGGAAGAGGGTGCCAGGTGGGTTATTGCCTTTTTCTCTGCAGCTGATCCTAGGATTGCATTGCCATTGCTCAAACCGTCTGCTGTTCCGAAAACTCTCAATTTAAAGAAAAAAGGAGGGTTTGATCCACTGTACAGGGTTGTTTTCCTAAATTTCAGTGTCTAGTTGAGTAAAAAGTACCCAATTTATTTAGCAAAATATGAAGCTACCCATTTCCTTGCTAAGTTTTAAAAATGTAAATGTACTGCTTTTGCCTTCCTAACTTTCACAGTTTTCTACTGCGACTCCCCCCCCCCGCAAATTGGTTGTTCCACAAACCCGATTCAAACCACCAACATATCAATTTCGGTCTGCTGCAAATAAGACGAAAGTTGTATAAATAAACATAGAAATCTTGTTTGTCTCCACGATGTTGTTTTTCAAACTGAAGCCCTCCTATTACGACGAAGAACCGCAATCTTTCTACCCCACGTTTCTTTCATACATAAATTCAGCGAACAAAAAGTTCATTAAATTAATCCTTCATTAGATTCTGCCTTCGTTACAACTTTCATTAAAATGAGTTCAGGCCCTAACATGAAACTGAGAAGCTTCTATGCCCTAATTGAGGTCAACGGGCTCGGCTGTTGATCGAGAGAGCATGGAGGCCATTATATTGGTTAAATTCTCAAATGTCAATCATATATAGTCAAGCGAAAGGAACAATTGTTTTGGAACAAAGGATTTTTGTCACACCCATTTGGTTCGAGTCTCTATTTTTCAGAGCGCAACACTTCGCGATAGCTCAGACAACCTACGAAAGCGTGTGAACACAGGGTCCATCAGGACAAGGTCCATACCAAGCAGAAGGCCTGCTAAAAGCCTATCGAAGAATTTCAGAAGTTTGGAGAGGTTCAAGAAAACAAACCTGGTCGTTTCCGCAGCGAGGGCAGTGACTGAAAACCGAAGATCAACAATGGCAGCCGCACTAGTATCGTGAAATGCTTCAAAATTAATCATTATACTTCAAAGATCGCAAGCCAACGATCTGATCTATTAGGTATGCTATCGGTATTATAACTGTACCAATTTATCGTTCTTATCAATTATTCATCTGTTTTTTATCTATCGAAACTTTGATTTGAACAACGAAGCTATGCTAGGCTGGTGTCAAATGTCAGTCCTCTTGACTACGATGTTGTGGAATTTCGCATTTACAGCTTCATTTGGCTCGTATTCTAAATCATTTGTTCACGATAAAGTAAAAAACCCGAATTATGTTGTTTTCTTCAATTTTGTTTTGTGTCCGCGGTTTTTGCTTCAGAATTCAGTCTTATTTGAGCTGCGTGTCACGAAAACCGTTATGTGATCAGGATGTTTAACGGTGCGGTCAATTGCATAGACGCTTACAGTAAATCTCTCTTTAAATGCTTCAACTTTAAAAGTTTCACCCTAGCCCAAAAAATCTGCTAAAGAAAGCGACCTACATATAAATTTCCTTTTCTTCTCCAGTGTATGATTTGAATCTTCTAAGACCCGATCCTCTCCTCACCCAGATCGGAAACCATGCGTCAAATAATATCCCTCCGCTTATGCTAACCACAAATGCCTTACATCTAACTCTTAGTTGAACCCTGCTCGTTTTTAAATGCCAGTTGCTAAAAGTTTAACTGAACATTGGGCTAGAAATATCTTTCGGGTTCAATCATAGGATAAATTGTCGAAATTAGTGGCGCTCAAGCATTTGTAACTGAAGTTTTTCTACTAAAGTACTTGTTGCTTGAAGCAATCCAGTATTAAATGCCTATAACTGTCCTGTATCAGTTGAAATTCTTGACAGTCGTTAAGCACTGTGTTTATGGCTTTTTGTGGTATTAATTCAGCACACATTAACGTAGCGAAAAGCCGCAACGCACATCTGTTGTCCAGCACCTTTCATCTGTGACTAACGGGTCGAACTAAATTCAATTAATGTTTGGATGAGCCTCCCTTTCTGAACAAAATGGGTCTGTTTCAAACTCATTTGTTGTTTATAAAGAACCTTTTATTCTGTTAAAGAACCGCCTTTTTATACAGAGTTGTGTTCTGTCAACATCCCTAATGTTTTAGCATCGCAAAAGCAAATATGAGAGGGTAATTCAAAAGCTGTGGAATTACAGAGTTTTATTTAAAAGATTGTTGTTAAAATCAAGTGATTTTTACACAGTGGACAGGAATTTCTTTCAAAGTTAGCTAGCTCGGGAAAATTTGTCTGGGAGACAATAAGATTGATGTCTGACTCAGTAGGTGTCCACAGAGCTTTGTTCGGGTACAATTGTAGGAATTACATTATCCCCTAGGAGCTATTTGTTTGTACTGTGCCCCGTTTTTTGCCGTTATGACCCGGTCCAGCCGATATTTTGAAAAACTGGCCCCAGTCCACAAGCCCTTGTCCCCGCTAAGGTCCAAATTGGTAAAAGTTGTTCGTGTTTACAATTATGAGTTATAATTGATGAATTAAGATGTTGTCAGTGTGTGTCAAATCTAACAGAACCGTGGACGTTCCCGCATATTGCTTCAGGCCAAACCCACTTCACTATTATAGTTGATGTCATCTGGAGGAATATGCCCTGTGGGCAGATAACACTTTGATTTGAGGAGATGTTATTTTTTTGATAATATCTCCATAGGAAAAAGTGTTGTTGACCCGATCATGTTGGGAGACATACTTCAAGGATGATGTAATGTCTTGGTGTTTGCTTGGGCAGGGAAACGAGGCTGGCCTTTTTTGGTAGTTTGTTATCGGAATGAAAACTTGATTAAGTTAAGGCGCAAATTGAAAAATTGAAAAATCCAAAGAACAAAAAAACCTGGTTATGAGTCCCTCATGGTTAAACAAAGATCTAGCCATATATATTGTCAAACTTTGAAGCTTACAACCCTGACTTTGTGAAGTTTAGACTGTGTGATAAGAAGAAAATGGGTAACATCAAACAAACTGCAAAGCGTTACAGGATGAAAGATTGGTGAAATAAGAAATGGGAAATTCCTGGAGGGTTCTGTGAAATGTAAGGCTTAGCAATAGCCCCCCCCCCCTAAAACGCCCTTGGATTTTTGCTGTCCTTGGGTTTTTGCTTCCCATGGGTTTTTGGTCCCCCTGGGGTTTTTTGCAACTACCCCATCACATCGAGAAAGTCGATCGTGACAATCGCTTATTCACAACGAACAATGTTTAGCTCACCGTATGCTCTTGGTATGTTTAATTTGACCTTAGGCTCGGAACCAATCTCATACAGATTTTTATTTGGCAAACAATCCATCTCTCAATTATGCGAGTTTGAAAACAGGAACAAATAGAAATAAAAGGTTTTTTGATATTTAAATCCAAAAAATCCATATGACAGTTACTCCAGTGTGTTTTAATTCCCATTATCCAAATTGACCCAATATTGATTAAATTGATTAAGTCTTGGGTTCATCCTCGCCATTAGAAAACAAAAGCCTAGCCAGTGCAACGCAAGCCATTTGTAAATATCTTGTATTGTCTCTTATTCCATTATCTATTGGTGAACTAAATTAATTTTGGTGTCATAAATTAGTTTATGAATCATTTGGCGCCCTTATAAATTAATTTTACGTCACTAATTTGAATTGTAAGATGCATCTTCTCAGTTGGCTTAATTTCATCATATGAAAGATTGTTTTGTTTTGTAAACATTTTCCCTGGATGTGCCGGATATCAAAACTCGATTTGTTCAATAACTAAAGGACCCCCACCAAACGGGACCCAAACTTATTTTTATACCCATCATTTTTAAAATTTTGATCAACTTATCATATTTTACAAAAAAAAAATTAAAGCTTTTTAACTGAACCTTCTATAAATCAGGTCCCCTAAGTTAGCAGGAAAAATGATCATGTGTGCATTTTGCTATTGTATTTGACATATTCAATACCCTTGGGTGGGACTCTCTGACAGCCCCTAAGTTTTTCCTTAGGACCCAGGATTCTAGATGCGTTCCATCAGAATGTAAAACACTTCATTTAATTTTAATTCATTTTCCTTTCAGTGTATAACCTGCGTGTTCAAATTCCTTATTCAAAATGGCGTACAGCAAACCACTCAGCTTCTCTTTCCACAAACAAGAAGATTTCGCATCAGTATTCACGTTCAACAACACAACACTTCCATTGTCAACGATGCGTGACTCCCCATTCCCAGAGCTCAGCTCCAGCCCAAAGTCAAGATTTCCAACCATCCCAAGCCCAACAAATACTTCACCATTCCCATCTCCGTTCCCCAAAGCCAATGGCACAACTCTTGCCAAGTACACAGACCACTCTTCTCACGCACTCCCTGGTGAGTGCATCACAGAATGCAAGATCTGCAAAACACTCTATGGCCTAGATATTGCAGCTTTCTACTGGTCACTTATGGCTATGTATGGCTTGCCATACAGAAGCCCAGTTTCGCCTCCCCTCCCCTCTGACGTCAGAGCCAAGAGCCCAATGGGGAGTGCCTGCAGTGACTCCCAGCCACCTTCACCTGCTAGTTCAACAGGAGAAGAAATCGGCAAAGAATCTGCCATATACCGTTGTAATGTCTGCCAGAAAACATACTCGCATCCACGATTTTTGAATCGCCATTTACAGTCACATACACCATTCAAAAAACACCACTGCCCTCGCTGCGGTAAAGGCTTCAATGATGCCTTCGACCTCAAGCGACACATCAGAACACATACAGGTACGTTTTGTCTCTAGATGTATAAACTTTTATATCGTTTTTAGATGTGTCTAAATGGTGGTGGGTCGATTTAAAGTTCTCTCAGTCAGATGCAGCCCGTTTTGATGTATTCTGGGTTAACTGAAGCCATGCAACGATCATTAAACAATATTCTAGGTTACATTTTTTAAATTTCTCTTCATACGATCATACAATTTTAAGCACTCACTTCGAACGTTTTGTTATCACTCTGTTATGACAACGATGAGATGAACTCAAACGGTCCATTGGAGATTACAGTCTATGGGTTTGTCTCTGACGTTACAAAAACCATACAGCGACACCATATATCAAATGCTATTCAACTATCAAAGGCAAAAGCAAATAGCGAACCTTTTCTACTGGAACAGTTTCATTTACGTATTCAGTGTTTCAATAAAGCGTCAGTGATGAATTGTTTTCAAGGGATGACTGCCAAGATGTTAACGTGTTAGGAATAAAATAACCGCTCGAAGCCTCACGTGTCATGAGTAATGGGTGGAAGGAAACGTCTCAGTGTTCAATATTAAACGTGTTTATGGTTATATACCGATTATCTAGTCGGACGTGCCCACGTATTGAATGATTTGATACGTGTTCTGACACCAACGAAAACATAACTGTGTTCGAGTCATTTAATTCATCTAAAGCTCCTTATCCTTACTGAAATTTATCTGGGGGGAGGGTGTTAGTCCCAACAGGACCTATAACCTACCCTAAAATGAACACCTTACTTACTCCAGTAATATCCAATCCCTTTGACCCTTCTGGGCTGGCTGTTTAAAGACATATTTAACAGAATGCATGCAAATATTTATTGTTTAATTTTTAGGAGTTAAGCCATTTAAATGCAACCTTTGCGACAAATCATTCACACAACGCTGTTCACTCGAAGCCCATTCAACACGTGTGCATGGCGTTGCCCACAAATTCTCTTTCCGAGAGAGAAGACCCAAGGTCTATGTCTGTGAAGAATGTGGAATTACTTTTCACGACAACAGTAAGTTCCGCCAACACAGCAAAGAGCATGGATCTTGTGCCATGGCTTCTCAGATTATTAATTTCAAATAGATTGCTGCCAATTTCAGGTTTGAGAAATTTGTATATATTCGTTAATAATAGCTCACGTGGTTGGTTTTAGGGCTCTCCCTCGCATCCATGTTTTCATGATGAACGCCTTCGAATTACAGGACCTATGTATGCGCCTTCACAGTGTTATTTTTGTACTTGGCGCAGCTGCTTTAGAATTCACCGTGCCTGAAGGGCTTTAAATCGCCACTTGAGCTATTAAGAACGAATTGAGTAGATAGTTAGTACATAGCAGTCAGCTATGTTATAGTATTTGTAAATATATTGTTGCGTTAAACCTCAAAATAATGTTGAATCACGTCGTGTCAGTTGTGTATTGTAAATTAATGGCTTTTATAAGGCTCGTCACTAATACACAACAATTTGCCGATATCGGCAAACCTTTATGTACATATCGTTTTAGTATCGTTTTTCTTTAGTAAGTTTTTCTAGTTTTATTTGGTAGTTTGTTGATAGGATATAGCGTGGCCGAAGAAAAAGGGACGGCAGCCTCGTTTTTAAAAGCAAATATCTGAATTTCCTCATCCATGCGAGGTCTTTGCTGAAATAGGTTTGCTTATAAGTCGAACTGAAAGAAAGTTTCTAAGTGTAGGTGAGCAATTGCTGCCAGCAACCCAACGAGGCTGTTCAGTCCCTTTGGCCTTCTTATCTTTAGGTCTTTTCTAAATCGTTCAATTAAGGTTTGAGTAGATTGCCATCACATGCTGTTACACTGCCACAATTTCCTGTTTGACTTAAGTGTGTCGTTTCGTCGTCATCATTTTGACCAGAATTAATGCTTACATTGTGTTTTCTTACGGCATTGAAGAGCCACTCTTGCAATTAGATTTCCCTCAAAGAGAAAACAATTTTCCTCTAGCACCTAAGCACCTACGCTCTTGCGCAGGAGCACCGTGTTCATGAAGCGTTTCCAGTTACGGTCAGTGGTTTCTTTCAAACGCGAAATAAAAACCACGCTGTTTCCGTTTTCAAACGCGTAATTAAATAAAAACACTGACCATGTTTATTTCGGTAGCCATTTTAGAAGACCATGTCCGTTTGTGGTCAAGTATGGAGCATTTGTTGGTGCCGCGCCATATATAGATCGGCATAAGGACTAGTTTGGATTAGTTTTGTCATTCTTCCAACGGAATGTTATTTCATATCAAGGTCTGGTTAATGCGGCGATTGAGAAAATGAGAAACACACTTTGTTTTCAAGAAAATATTCGCAACCTTTTCGAAATATTCAGTCAAAAAAGTTTTTGTGGCATTTTAACAGGCATTATGTACGGCTTTGGCACATTTAGGGACTTTCTTACTAACTGTTTCTCCCACGGAAAGTTATATTGATACGGTGTCTTCTGTCCGCTAACAAGCCGCTTCACCCTAATTTACTGCATCCCGCTCAAAATAACCTAATTGCTCGTCCAAAAGAGTCCCATAAATATGGCCTTATTAAGAGTCCACGAAAATGTGTTACTGTTTATGAAGACCCCTTGGCTGGCTTGCATGTGACATAAGTCACATTGACGAGCTTACAGACAAATCCACACAAGGCAGAATTATGGTTATAAGGCACTCTTTGATGTCCAAAGACCACACTCTGACAAGCTTTGTCGATTCACGACGTTGTTTTCGAGCTTCGAAAGTTCGTAAACAATCACTCCGGCTAAGATAATATGGCCTTGTCAATTGTCCTATTGATATCAGGGCACTGGAGCGCTTAACCCGATTAGATCTCTGAAGTTGTTCATATTCGATGTCCTTTTATGGAGTTGACTCATTCTCCATGTATTGTTCTTTCCAGTCCTCAATATCTATCCTTACCGCTATAAGCGGCCTCAGCCGCAGCCGTAGCCTATCTGCTTTTCAACTGTTTCTATACCAATTTCCGTCTTTTTGTTGAACATTGTCTGTAAATAGATTGTTTACCATTGGATTATGCAAGTGAAAGCCCTCGCAAATTCTTACCTGATTTGAGTGTTGTACAATGAGTACGTTGAGTTTTCCAGCATAGAGAAACAAGCCTGTTTTAAAAAGCTCGCACCTTCAGCACCGTCCCCTCCTCCAGGTCCAAATCTTGCTGTCCCGCACAGCATAGGCCACATATTTGCTCTAGTCCCTAAATGTTGCTACTTTTTCATTAGTTATTTTACCTAATTTTTTATATCTATACGTTATTGTTTATATTAAACAAATGGCAAAGTTGCCCGTTGAAAGTAAGGTCGCTTTAAATTCGGCTTTGAGTTTTTTATATCTTTTATCTACTATACCGTACAATCTTTTAGTAACGTTGATCGTGAAACGTGATAGACTTGAGATAGGCTAACAATTAAGAACGGTGGGAACCCACACGATATCTTGTTAACGTAATCTTGTTTTTCTTATCACTGATTTAAATTCTAACTGGCCTAACAAACCATCGTCTGTTAACGGAGCTTTTGTGCAAAAGAATGGTGAATGCGTGTTATTCAGTTGCCTGAACGGAAAGGAAATAGTAAGTAAGAGGATCAATTCAATTTAAAAACAGCCCATTCATTTCGATATTCGCTAGCCTTACTCATTTCACCGCAATGCCCCAAAGTAACTTAAGCGCCACCGCAATGCCTATCACGTAAGTTCACGATTAACTTCGAACAATTAAGACAATCTGTTCTTTAATTCCTTGCGAATAGGTTCTGCCGATGAACCGAAATTCTGTCGATAACTGGGTGATTTTATAGAGGGGAATAATCAGTGTGGTTAATAGAGTCTACTTTTCGACATTTTCTCTGTTCAGATTAAAGAATGTGTGTACTGAATTGTGAAGGTGACTAAGCAAACTTTCCCCGAACTCAGAAGCACCAATCTTAAAGGTAATGTGTCCATATAGAAGGACTGCGTATACCCAACATGTCAAATAACATCAAAATAACGGTTTGCGATTGGTTAGTATTCTTGCGATGCAAAACTGCTCACATGAAAAACTAACCTTGCAGCAGGGTTAATAAACAGAGTGACTGTAATGGCTGGGACGATGATATGAAAAATCACATGTTTCTGAAAACCCCCGCAGAGTTACTTGCTTTAGCTGGACACATTACCTTTAATGTTAATTCAACTCATCACCCAGTTTACAAATTTTCGGCAGACTTTCTTTATAAGTATTTTGTATTTACAGTTTCACTCGTTATTTCGATTTTTAAAAGTGGAAACCGTTTTTTATAAATCCCTTATGTTCTTTATAAGAGCCCGAGTCGTGGATTGTCTTAACACCGTTATTAGTTCGGAAAAGTTTGTTAATTTGTAGTAGTGTGAGTTTTTATATATAATCTCGTGTTAATCGGCCTATATGGACAAAAACTCATTGCTCGCTGCCTTGAATGGAAAACAGTTATGCATGAAGTTGCCATATATATGGACCACCGTTATCTTTTGAGAAATGAAAAGATTTGACCGACAAATTGTGGCTAGTAGAATCGCGTGATAGACTGCTACTTCGAATGCTTCTCAAAGATAACCTCAATTGTATTCCTGCGGAAATCAGCTCCGAGGCTAATGCCGAGATTGCTGTAATAGCCACTTGGTGACTTGAATTTTCGAGCTCATCCATTCAAAGTCAGATTTCAAGATACTTTGGATTTCCGCTTCCGGAGATATCCGCAATCACTGAGCTGACTTGATAACTGTGCAATCTCATGGTATAAATGCTTACAAAATGCTGTTCTTCAATGATCTGCTCTATCAAACGAGGATCAAAACAGCTATTTCTAATCGCAAAGCCCGCATTTTAACTGCGGTAGACTTTCACTAAGTACGCGCTCGACGCTGCGCATGGACAAACGTTGGAACGAGACCAGGTCATTGCAAAAGGAGGCAGCGTATCAACTTTTGGCTAACTGGATCTGGTTTGGTCTAAAACGACAAGCGAGTAGTTCGCACTCGCATTTTCTTTGAGGTGTCTGTTATATTTGTTTAAACATAGAATTTGTATGCATTTTTAGTGGTATTTGATTTGCATGTTATTGATAAAAACCTAAGGTATTTGTATAACGTCCCTTTGAATAAAAATGGTAGTTTTGATAAGGTATTTTAGATAAGGTAGATAGAATTATCTTTGTTATTCTAGCTTTTTACAGTTTGGTGGGATTTACGCTGGATAAGTTTGGAGATAAATGTTTTGCAGGCTAGTCATAAAAGACAATTTTGAATGCCCATTTGAAAAGCATGTCCCTAACTCTATAAATCAAGTTTTTGTTTTCCTAAACAGGCGGATAATCCCCGAATTTGTTTACGTGGTAACTAGGTTTTGATCTGCTGACATGCCTCGGAGAAGATTTGTTTTGCTAACTATGCAGATATGTATTTACGAACTGCTTTTGCGATCCGAGGCTAAAAGTTTTAGAATTCTCCTTATTTGGACCCTAGATATAAATACTGAAGAATCACAGTAGCCTATGCATATAACTTTTGCCTACATTTTCGTCTGCTATTCTGTTAAGATAATATGAACCCTGCTATCTAAGCTTCCATTAACCAATAGCCAACTTACAGGTGACTTTAATCAGCAAATCTCTCTTCACACCCCCCCCCCTCCTACCCCTACGCATCCCATGTCGTACATCTAAATGCAAAGCTGCAAATATTGTGGATCCGGATCTTTTTTCAAATTTACTTTTTTGTGAATGTCATTCCCTATTTTCCTAAGTGGCAAATCTTTGTAAAAATGATAACCTTTTCTTTCTCGTCGTTTTATTTTGTTCCTCTATTCAGGCTAAAAAATCATTCTTCTTTGCTTTTATGGCTCGCCCAGCAACAACAACTTTTTTGTAGATTTTTGTAGTTTTTGTAATTTTGCAGACTGGTTCTGCATTTGTATTCGGTAGTTTAATAGTTTTGTATTTGCTATTCTGGTCTTTGTAATTTGAATTTTTGTATTTAGCCGGTATTATTGTGTGTGCACCTCGACTTCAGAGTTTTTGTGTCTGACTTCTTCATCTCAGAAAATTCAGATATAAACTTGCTTCTTTCAGCAAGAGAATTCGGAATTTAGATTTTTATGGACACCAGAAAGTGTCTATAGACGTGCATTTCGTTTTGGTTTCCTTTTGTCTAACTGAGAAGTTTCAAGTGGCCTAATTTTTCTTCATTTTCCTATTGTTTTGCCTTTTTCGTGGCGCTTTGCCCCCGTTGTCCTCTTGTGCAGGCTTCCCTGAAAGCTTCCATGATGAACCACTTTGCATTTCAAGGTCTGTAGCTTTAGACGGGACTGACAAGATATCGAAAGAATGTATTTTTTATTGATATATCAAAAGTCTAAAAGAATAAATGCAAGTTCTTAGCAGCTCTGGAAAAGAGGCTGGTATGAAAAACAGGCTATGGAATGCTTCACCTCAGAAGTCATGCAAACCTAGTCGGTCCTTTCCGAAACCGTGCAGAAATCACTCGAACACGCGCTCCTACGAAATTTTTACTCTCACTCTTTTGAGACAATCGCCAGTGCCAGAGGAGCTGGATGGAGATGGTTGAGGAAAGGAGAAGGAATGGAGAAAGGAAACGCCCTTTCTAATCTTCTTTTGTCTGTAGCTGAGACAATAGGTTTTTCTGAGACCATCTATAGTTTCACATGAAATCACTCGGATAACTATACACTCATTTTTTTTGTAAGAAACTGGCTATAAGAAACGAGTACTGGACAGTCGGAAAAGATTAAGAAACTTAAGTACTCAAAGAAAGAAAATTAAGATACTATTAAATCGCGATAAAACTGAGAACAGGAAGTTTTGTAAAATCCAAGAACATGATTGCCCTGTTGGCCTAGAACTTGAGACAAGGGATAAAAATACACTCTCCACATCTAAATACAGCATCAGAACAGAAGCAAATCTCTTGACGTGATAAAAAGGTCACAGACATTTCATAACATCATTCATGACATCATAATTAAGAAGCTCTTTAGAAACAATGAGTATTGACAATTCCAGAACATTAAGAAACTGGAGTATTCAAGATCGACCTTTGTTTTTTATAAAAAAATGAGTGTAGCCCATGTCAGATGCCATCACCCCAATGGGAGATTCTCGAGAGGTGAATCACTCCTAAAAATCTCGTGAACCTTTCAAAAATTGCCAAAAAATCTCTTAAATATGCTGAAATCTCAAAATCTTTGAAAAAAATCATAAAATTTAAAAAAATCTCACACAAATTTAGAATCATTCAAAATATCTTGAAATCTAGAAAAGAAATCTTGAGATTTAGAAAAGAAATCTTGAAAACTCAAATTTTTTAGCAGTGGCTGCAATGTTTTGGCAAATCCTGGAATATTCGAAGCTTATTCAAAACGAATCCTCGACACAAATCTTTGCAGTTTATGAATCATAATCTCTTGTCATGCGTAAATCGTCCACAACAAGCTTTCTTGCCTGTCTCGATCTGAATCTAAAACTCAATATGAACATTTTTTGCAGTTTTGAAATCGAGGAAGCAAATTCGCAAAAAAACACGGGAATTGTCTAGCATGTGTCTTAAGTTCTTCAAACTGGCCTTTTTGTGGATGAAAACGTTGAATCCTGTGGCACTATATATGCCCATTTCCCCCCTTTGTCCGTGAAAAGCGATTTTTATAAAGTTCATTTGAAGGTTTTGTTTCTTTGATCTTGTGTTTCTGGGTTTAGATTCTTTCTCAGACATTTCGCAAATAAGGAATAGAGTACCAATGTGATGACGTCACAAAAGTCTATTTTAAGAATTTTCCAGTTTTGACCATAGTCCCCAAAAGACCATTGTGAAATGTGCAACCTCTAAATGCACAAAATCAATTGAATTTGCTACAAAGTGGCTGAGATATGGCCACATGAGCACAGTTTTTCCTCCATTAAACCTCTGTAAATAACTTCATGAACTAGGCCGGTATACCAGTAATTCGTTAGCAAACATGAAAGTCCTTCATTGGCCATGTCTCAATTTTGCATGTTGAGAGGTATTTCAGGTTATGCGATCTAGATTAAGAAATTCTAAAAATAGTTTTTTGACGTCAGCATAAAAATTTTCAACATCAACATAAAAAATTCTCTTTCCAACATCAAGTTTTGAATAATGCCCACGAGCCTTAATCGAATTATGACGGTAACAACTTTGAAGCAGCAGTTTCATCTTTGCTAGAAATTTGCTTTTGTTTGGTGTACATCTATTGTACAAAAAACAAACTTTTTACATTGCATTGCTCGGTAACAAACTGTCATCTGAAAAGCAGAGTTGTCATGATCAAGTTCCCAAATCGCAGAATTTTCATTTAAAATTCCAAAATCTTTGAAATCCTGCTTTTTTCATTGAAATTTCAAAGCCATATAAAGATTTTAAAAAATCCCAAATTCTACTGAAAAATCCCAAAATCTCTTGCTTCAGCATTAGATTTTTCAAAATTATCAATTCTCCTCACCTTTTTGGGAGTGATTCACCCCTCGAGGAGTCTCACAATTCTCCTTCTGGCTGGTGATAGTAAGTGACACAGGCTAGCTAACTTAAGCATCTTTTAGACAAACCAAAATAGCATTTGCAATGTACTACATTTATTTCATGGGTGATACCCACCGAAAAAGGGTATGGAACAAAAAACTTGAGGGTCTGAGGGTCTGGCTATGTTCCTTGCCCCGGGGCCCTGACTGCCTGATGGTTGCCCTGCTACTGCCAAAAATTTCAAAAGTTTCCTGTTTTCATATCTTTCCCAGTTATCACTTGAACTATGCCTTGAAAACCTCCTTCGGATATAGCAAGAGAGGATGTTTTGTGGAAAAGACCTCTGAAGAAGACCAACTTAGGAATCGATACCGTTCATAATTTAGCTTGTCCCTTGCTTTCGTCAACATTATATTCCTTCCAAAGTTTTGCATCTTTAAAACAACAGAACAGGAATGCTACAAAAGATAATATAAAGTGTGTAAAAGAATGATTAAAGATTAGAAATAAAAGAGTCTGCTTTTATCAAAGATCTCTTCAATTGTTTGATTAAACAAGTCTGATTACTTAGCCACAAAATATGTAAGAGTAAATCACGAATTATTAAACAGTCAGAATTTAGTAATTGAAGACAGCTGCAGCATAATGAAACCGCAAGAAAAACTCTTTCAGCTGATTGACTTTTGAGATTTTCCAATTCTGTATGACATTTTGGTATGGAAATCTGCTTACTTCGCCCTTGTGGATTTACAAACATGGGAATATGAAGGAAAATGGATCTTAAAGGGATTGTTGTCTTAAAGGGAAAGAATCAGGTGCAACTTCCAAATATCTAGCCAATCTTTGATGGGAAGAGAAATAGTTATGCACTTTTCCTTTCATAATCATATACTTTCAATTAACTATTTTTATTCGAACTGAAGTTTATTAATAACAATACAAATTGAAGATTATGTTATTGATGAAAGCCCAAACTGTACCTAAGCTTGTATTTTCAGATCAGAAGAAAGCTTCTTCATTTTAGCTCCTAGGCACTGAAAGAAAATGTTCTTCATTATTAATTCTTTTTGTTAAAGGCTTTTTGCCGTTTCCATTTATCACCTTACTAGATTACAAAGACGAAAGATTTCTCGAATCTTTTAGAGAGTATGCTGATTTTCAAAAAGCATCTTCTGTGGCCGAGTTAATTAAAATTCGCTAGTACAAAAGTGAATGGGGAATTTGTCTACATCTTATCAGACAAAAACCTTTTCAGGAGTGTTTGTGAGAACAGTGTACCATTGTGCTCTCGTATGTTCACAAAATGTTCTTTTTTCAATCGCTAGTTTTAAGGAAAAGGCCTATAACAAAACTCCATAAAGGAATCTCAATGCATTTAACAATTTATCCTGTCAACAAATGGAAAGTCCTTCGTCATGAAAAAAGTTAACATTGACTACAAAGCAAGCCGATTAATTAGAAAATTATGCCTCCTTTATAAATTTGAAATATCGAATGCTTATTCTACATCGAATGAAGACGACGAATTTGAAGCTTTTGGCAATGACACTCATCGTTGTTCATTCTAATTCAATCGTTATTGAACGCAAAATAAGACTATCTGGCAACAGTACACCTATCGATTTATAGATGATTCTTAATCACATGAAACGGCTTTGAAAATAACTAACTACTTTTAGGGAATTAACCAATTTGAGTTTTGAGGCAGGAAATTGATTGGTTTTTATGATGCAAAATATGACTAAAAACTGTGTAAGATTTTAACATATATATTTCATTAATACATTTTAACTACTTAAAGTTTCGTGCTCTTTGATAACACAGCCTTTTGGTAGATTGATTGGTAGCTCTTTCATTGTTGAGGGTTAGAGTGTTACATGTTGCAGCTAAAAATGAATTGGTTTACTGGTAGCTATTAGGTTAATACTATCCCGCTGATGCAACGGTTGCATAAAATCACTTACTTTTAATAGAAGTTTACCAATATGCTGTAAATGATGTAAGAATATGTGAGATAAGAACATAAAAAGAAATCAATTACGATTTACCGAAATGTGTGAGGCATTATGTTATAAGAAGACAATTTGACTCAGTAATTCTTTTGGCAATGTTACTACCACCATCAGAAAATCAACTCTTTTGCAGGGAGAAACTGCTATCTATACACAAAAACAGAAATGACATTTAAAAGGCATTTTTGAGCATGCACACGGCTCAAAAACCATCTCCATTACGCTCATAAGATTTTCTTGTCACAATCGCACAATCAATTTTGAGACAACTTTTTGTAGACTCTTTTTTTCTCTGAAATGGTTCACTAATTGGTGGGGAATAATTGAATTTTTTCCAAAAAATCTTCCTCATCGCCACCCACCAAGGAAGGTGATATCTTCTCACTCTGAAATCAACTTTACTCCTTACTTCTAGAGCTTTTTTAAGATTATACTAATTATTAATAGATAGTTGGCCGTAATTAGCTTTCTTAAGACTTTGATTTGGTACGCCAACTGTAA